CCCCACATCCCCCATAAACACCACCTCCTCATCCTCCCCACATTCCATCATCTCCCCAACCCGGGCCCTAAACCCCTCCAGCTCTTCCCCCGTCATCCCCTCTGGCATCCCTTTAATCTCCACGCTCGTCGCCCACTCCCGCGCCCCCTCCTTCATCGACCCCGCCAGCGTCGAGCTCACCCACCCCCGCTCCTCGCGGAAGGCGTCGTACATGCCCGCCCGCCACACCCCCTCCCCGCGCTCGAGGAACGCCGTGTTCTTCGCGAGATCGTTCGCGAAGTCGACGCTGAGCTCGTCCGCGGAGGCGGGCGACACGGTGCCTGCGCCGTAGGGGCCGAGCGAGATGCGGGTGGACGCATGGGAAGCGGGGGGCGGCCGCGCGCAGCGGAGGTCGCGGGAGTAGAAGTCCGTGGTGTATTCGCCGGCCTGGAGAGCGTGGTTGCCGCTGGCGGCAACGCGGGCGAGGAAGGTGGGCTTGTCTGGGGAGGCGCGGAGGTGGTGCAGGAGAGTTAGGGTCGGGGGGTCGATGATGGAGATGCGGGGGTGGAAGGGGAGGCTCCAGCGGCCGAGGTCGGTGCAGGTGGCCGGGAGGGAAAGGGTGGAGAGGATGGTGGTTGGGCTGCGGAAGATGTGGGGGGTTGAGGCAGAGGAGGGGGTCCGGGTGGGGTTGTGGGAGATGGGGAGGGCGAGGATGGAGGAGAGGTGGATGGTGATGCCGGAGATGGCCGGGCAGGTGTCTAGGCCAGAGAGGATGGTGGAGAGTTGGTCTGCGCAAGTGGTGTTGTGGGGTTTCGTAGACCAGTCCCAGGGGGGGTAGTCGTTGGGGATGAGGTTGATGTGGCGGATGCCGTGTTCTATGATGAGCTCGGGTTGCTTGATGATGAGAGCGCTTTCGGCGAGGTTGCGTGTCCAGGCGGTTGGGGGATTGATGGCGCTGAAGGTTGGAAGGGGGACATTGCTGACGGCTGCGTAGGTGCGGGTTTGGGAATGGAGAGAACGGAGGGTGGGTTGAAGATGTCTTCGTATACGAACTGAAGTTATACACTTCATGGGCGTTGATGCTATGATTTTAAAGGGATGCTGGCAGCACAACGAGCGTGAGGCTTGAGACGGAAGATTTTGAAGGAGAAGACGATGAAAGAAACTAGAGAGGAATAGGCTGTAAGGAAAATATAGTTGCGGTGTCTTCTTAAACAATTAGGGAGCCTAGCACATAGCTTTTGTTAAGCACAGCTTCACCGGATGCTGTGGGTCTAGCGCTCAAAGTTCGTGATAGCGGAGTAGAGTGCGGTTGAGATCTTCTTGGAAAACTAGCTTATTAATATAATACACCCGCCGGACATTTCATTGGCTAGTCTTTGTAGGCTAGTGGAGTCATCTAGCGGCGTTTTCTTCCCATCTTACAACACCGTTTCTTCTGCAAGAAACACCATGCTTGCGCTTGGCCCCATCGGCATATTCCTTCACACGTCGCATGAGCCACGTTTAGTTGAGACTGCGGGCTGTTTCTGGCAGGACTATTCTAGTAGATGCATCGTATCAACGTTAGCTGGGGTAGATCCCGTTGTCTACGAAGGCTGAGCAAGATTCCAAATCCTTCGAAACGATAGACTAATAGTACTCTGCCGGAGCCCCTTTGACAACAGCATCAGCTCAAAATGACCAGGGAGTCTACATCGATGGTTCTCCAATGATCCGAGAAAGACGAAAGCAGGTTGACGCTACCTCTGATAGAAGGACCAAAGAGGTGGAAGGCAAGGCAAGAGTGCTCATACTAGGGTGGCGGAAGCGCTGGAACTCTTCCACGAAGTGTTGCATGATTTTGTACGAATAGGTGAGGTTTTTGGATTGAACGGTAATGTTGTAATAGGTAAACTCTTTACTCTTCGTCTCAACCTTGCTCCCAGACCCCTCAACACGTAGAACTACATCCACACATCTCACAAACAACTATCAAAAGCTAGCACACAGCCTAATCCGTGTTGAAGTCCACAACCGCTCTTCCCGCAATCTCGCCCTTCCTCAGCTTCTGCACCGCCTCGTCAAACTTACTCATTGGATATACCGTATAAATCGGCTTCAACAGCCCCCTCCGCGCGAAATCCAACGTCTTATCCACATCGCGCATATTGCTGACCAAAGTCCCCTGTACACTCCACTTCCGGAAGCACATCTGGTTCGGCTCGACATCAATGTGGCAAGTGCCCGCCGGCGGCAACCCAATGCACATGACCTTCCCGCCGACCCGGCTGCCCAGGAACTTCAGACTGGTAGGATACGTCTGCACCGCCGTGACGAACACGGCGTGCGCGCCGACGCCTTCGCATAGCTCGACGGCCTTGGCCGCGACGTCCTTCTCTTCCTTGAAGTCGATGAAGTGCTCGGCACCCATCTCGAGACAGAGCTTCTTCTTGTCTGCACCCGTGTCGACCGCGATAGGGCGGAGGCCCATGGCTTTCGCGAGCTGCAGCCCTTGTATCCCAACGCCGCCGCCTGCGCCGGGGAACACGGCCCAGTCACCTGGTTGGAGGCCGCTTTCTCTAATCGACGTGTAGATCGTGCTGGCGGAGCACATGATCGGGCCGGCGATAAAGTCGGAGACGCCGTCTGGGATGAGCGTCGTATACCGCTCTGGGGAGACGATGTATTGTTTATAGGAGCCGTCGCACATCAGGCCAGTGAAGACGGCCTTGGCGCAGTAGCATTCTTTGTCGCTGCGGCAGAGGTCGCAGGCACCGCATGTGTCTTGGATGGGCTAAAGGTATAGGTTGTTAGAAGATGCTTGATAGAGGGGGAGGGGGCGGAGGGTAGGGCGGTTACCTTGAGGCCGGCCCGCATGCCGACTTTTAGCGATTGCACAGCGTCGCCAACTTTCACAATTACACCGGCACCTTCGTGGCCCGCGCATTGGACGTTGAAAGTGGACATCGGGGGGAGATCCCAGTCGTTTGCCATGAAGTGGAGGTCGGAGTGGCAGATGCCAGTGGCATTGAGCTTGATGAGGACTTCATTTGGTTCTAATCGAATGGTTAGATTGTTGCTAGTACAGGAAGATATAAAGAAAGAGGAGGCATTCCCTAGCCTGAAAGTCTGGCGTCCAGGACTAAGATGTGGATTTTGGAACTCAAAGGAGCACGTACTGATCTCAGGGACTGGCACCATTCGCACCTCGACGTGGAAGTTAGCACCTTCGTTCACCACAACACCAGCCTTGCATTCTTTCGGTATATCGAAATGTGGCTCGCCCATGTTGGAATGCGATTAATTAGATGAACTAGATAAATGAAGAAGTCGAAATAAGAGCTTTATAGTTCGCGAGAATTGAAATTGAGGAGAAGAGAGCACAAGTCCCGAATTCTGGGCCCGTTGCCTTTTAAACCCAGGCTTCCAGGAAGCCCCCCCTCACCAGGTGCATAGTACTTTTGTTCCGCGTCGGCGACGCACTCTGAGCCAGTCGTTCTCACGACTCAGTGCACAAGAATCGTAAATTAGAGCTGCTTGAAGGCGGAAGTATTCCGTACGACAGCGCTAGGATGGCAAACTACTCTTACGGGCACCATAGCTACCGCTCTGATAGGCAGCGGAGTCGTCTTTGTGGGGTTGCAGACCGCGGGGGTGGATCCCGAGATGCGGGGTGATGGTGTGGGAGCGAGCCACAACGTCAGTTCACCAATGAAGATGGCCAGCTGCGAGGGTGGGACTATGAACCGGCATTTTCTCCATTCATCCATTTCGTCTGCTGGCTAGGTCTCTCCGGGGGATCGGTACAACTTCAGCGATCTTTGACATCTTAGACGGAGTTACTGAGCTTGTGAGAGGACTTCATGCAGGGTTACACACCCGCAATCCCAGTACATTGATTAACTCTTAATCCAGTTTGGCCTCACGGAGGCCCTTAATATCGTGTTCACGTTGTCAAAACATTTGTACATCCGTCTTAGAAACAGCAGGTAGCTTAATACTCCTGCATCCCATTACTTCCATTACTCCAAATACTAGCTTTATTTTGAAAACATGACAGATGTGTTTCAACTTTGACGTTCGTTATTTCTAAATCGTCGGTTTGCCTGCACCTCACTAGTTCTCTTTAGTAGACAAGGTCTGAATTGGTTCTCTAGCCATATGTAAACAGTCAAAGCTAGCCAAGAATACATCTCACAACTTAGACTTTTTACCGCCCGCCACGCCCGTAACCACCTCATCTGTGAGCAAGAAGTCTGGGTACTTGAACGACTCTTCAGTGCCACCGAAAGCGGTGTGCCATGCGCCTCCGTCAACTGCCAGGTGATCATGTCAGCTTTGCCATCTCTCGTAGGAAGACTTGGACGACGAGGTGGGGAAGCAAATGTAGACTGACCGACAAGAATCTCTCCGTTCACAAAGTTCCCCGCATCAGAGAATAGATACACAGTGGCATCCGCAATCTCCTTAACGGTGCCATATCTGCCAGAAGGCACCTTCTTCATGCTATCCTTCGCACTGCTGGCTTTGGATAGCCGTGCCATGCCCTCAGTGTCCGCGATGGGACCAGGCGCAATGACGTTTGATGTTACACCCCGTGGGCCTTGCTCAATGGCCACTGCATGTGCCATGGCATCAACACCGGCTTTGGCAACAGAGACATGGCTTTGAAGAGGAGTGCCAGCGTAGTGGAGGGTCGCGCTGACGAAGATGATTCGACCGCCTGTTCCATTGGGTGGTGCTTTTACCATTGATTAGCATATAAAATCTGGCAGGGAAGTAGCCTCTACTCACGAGTCTTCCCATCGGTCGTATACTTCGCCGCCGATTCCAGTAGGTACGGCAGCGTAGCCTTGACGGTATTATACGACCCTAGCACATCAATCTCTATAACCGACTTGAAGGCATTGGACGAGATCTGGTTCATCGACGCCAGGAAGTTCCCCGCCGCACCCGCAATGCAGAAGTCTAAGCTTCCAAGTTCTTTGACACATTTCGCCGCTGCTTCGTTCAGGGCCTCTGGTTTCCGCACATCTACGCCTCCAAGCCCGAGTACTTTCGCCCCGGGCCGTGCAGTGGCAATGTCTTTGGCCATGTTCTCAGTCTTCTCGACGTTGCGGCCGATAATGCAGGCGTTGGCGCCAAGGTGGACGAGGGCGCGGACTTGGGCGGAGCATATGGTGCCCGCGCCGCCGGTGCAGAAGACTACTTTGTTGTCTGGCGAGAATGTTAGTATAGATTCCATAGGAGAGGCTCAATGGCTTGCTGGCTCGGAACAACGTACTGAATATCCCATCCTTCCACACCTCGCTGAGATACTCGCTCTTCGGGAGTGGCATTGTCCTCGGGGTTCTCCAGGACTCGTTGCCTACAGTCTGTCGAAGGACAGTGCTGGAAAGAGTGGTGAGACGCGCTATGAAAGTGAAAGTGGTTTGAAGCAGAGATAATGGCTTACGCCTCGGAAAAGTGACGACTGGAGCCCATAGGGAAGGCGGTGCTACCCCATGACGGCCATCTCGGTGCATGAGGGTCAGCGAATTTCGTGCCGAGGTCAGATCTGGCGATTAGTCGGGCAGCTTGAGAGGACCTTATTCGGCTGGGGAATCGCAGTGCTTGTGAAGCCATGGTCGCGGCGTGTCATGGCGAGTCTGCTGTATTCACCAGATTCTCAGCATACTCGTGACGAGCAACATGGGAAACTGTCGTGGGAATTCGGGGCCTTTCACAGGCAAATGCCGGCTCAACCAATGGGAGCCGCGATGATTAAGGCCGCGGAATACAGGGTTTTAGGGCGATGAGCTGTTCGAAGCATCTCGACAACATCACAATCTCTACAACACCACCGTAACACCACCGCGAGGATTCGATTCAGCTTAACTGACCGCGAGCTCGACCATGCCGTCCCCCACCGTCGCCCTCTGCAAATTCGTCGGCACAATCAGCCTGGGACTCCTCACTGTATGCGCCGCTCTGCCGCCACTCCCCGCATTCCACCAGCTCACAATTCCCAGGGCGTCTCCGCTTCCCTGACAAGCCTCACGCTCCCTTCGCTCTTCAACCTCCCGAGCGCCGTCAATGCACGGGATGCCTTAACCTATCTATCTACCCGCACGCGGACCGTCACGACCTACCTCCGCAACACCGCCCTCATCTCGCTCTTCGCCGCCTACGCACTCTCACCCCGCAGCTCCCGACATCCGTATTTGTTCTACACTAGCCTGCTTGCTCTCGCCTCAGGCTCCGGTGTCGACTTTGCTCTTGCGGCTCAAGACAAGCGGGCGGGTGGCAGCAGGTCTCACGCGTCCATTGCGGATCTGAATGTCGAGACACCTGAGGACCTTAACGGGGAGCAGGTGCGGCAGGCCGTGGAGGGGATGCGGTACACAGAGGGCATGAGGGCCGCCGTGTCCGGCCTTGCATTCGCGATGGGTGTTGTTGGAATCTGGGGGGATGGGGCGTGAGCTCCTTGTGCTACAAATTCTGTCAAGAACGACTCGAGAAGTAACATGTGGAAGCCTGAGTGACTACGGCTGCGAACTGGAGTTGTGATCATTGGAGTTCTGGTAGACAGGTGGATGGGCATGGCCAATTGAGGATGGGGGTTCACAGCGTTGGCGAAGTGGGTATTCAGAGGGATCAAATCTCCTATCTATCATGGGTTTAGTGCCTTGTATCTATTGACTGTTAGCTCTACTAGTGTCGGAAAATATCAACACTCTTCACTACGAATGGTGCACCCTGCGTGCAGCCCTTGTATAATGGACTTGCCCTTGTGCTGTTGGATGTGGAATTATTTGCAACTGGATGGACTAGGTGGTGATTTGTCCGAGTTCCATGATAGGTTTGACTCTTGTTGGGATGGTAGTCTGGGTCCAATTGATAACAGAATCCGCAGCCGAGTTGTCTTGAGTGGGTCGCGTGCGCGTTGGATGAGAATATACTCGAGACGTACACTGGCTAGATGCCGAGTCTTCAAGGAACACCATGTCCAGGCTTTACGTGTAATCCTGCTCTTACTAAGAGTTCTTGTGCCTACTAACTCTCATCGACTGGCCTTACAGAACCGACATGAACCATGGAACGTACACCTGTCAACATGGCCTAGCTAGACAGCAACCATGGACGTATACGCTATATTCACAGGACTGTAAGGCCTTTTGAAGAAGGACCTGGAGGTTGGAAAAAGGTTAGCAAACTCAAGCTGTCCTCTAAGAACACTTCTGTTTTTCTCCTCATACCTTGTCCCCACCACTCAACCCAGCTTGATTCTGCCCTCTACAAAGCAGTAAGCCTCCTCAGGCCTTAGAATTCCACGTTTCTGATCTCTGTCTAGGATCCCTACCGTGGTCAAGGTAATAAAGGGCCCCGAATATGCACGAGATCCTTTGGTGTTTACTTTCCTGAAGTGCCACGTCGTGCTTGAACACACGGCTTGGGTCACGTTCGAGCCCACTCAGCAAGGGACACACCAGAGGATTCATACCACCCCCTCCACTTACACCCGCTAACCTCGACCGCCCCTCTAGCTCCAAATGGTCCGCCTCATCCACACCCTGGCTGGGCTCGCCCTAACGTCCCTCGCCGCCGCGGTGGATTGGAAGATGGATGTCGAGCCCTACGAATCGCACGACTGCGAACGGCCCAAGTTGGGCAATTTCGACTTCGCTCATGGAGAACACAAATCCGTCCACTTTAACTCGATGCGCCTGCATGCAACTAAGGATCACGGCGGGTACCTCAAGCAAATCCAGGCGGGCCAGCTCGTGTGCACGGTCGCTGTGCATCATGATGTCTTGAACAAGTCCCCGTTTATGAAGGGCGATCTGAGCGTCCGGATCGTGAATAAGGAGGCGGCGTGGAAAACGTGTATTAAATTTGCGGATAACAAGCCTATCAATAGTTTGTTCTTCAAGTGCGAGACGACGAGGGAATTCAAGATGGGGGAGGCGATCCCGTTGAGGGAGAAGTTTGAGGGAGATGATCCTAGAGCTTTTCCAGAAGGGGATCCACGGAATGAACAAGAGGACGATTAAATGCGCTTGATGACTACAAAAGTCTGGTTGATTTGTTAGTCTGGCCTCCAAAACGGCATGGGCAGTAAACGAGGTTGTGTTCCCAGACGTTATCAATCGGCCACACTACATGCTGGTTATAAATTCACATAGTCTTATTTGTCGCTGGGTTCATTCACAATATACGGATGAGATGTGCTATTCTTGGCGTTATGGTAGACGAATACTTCAGGGTTGTTTACGTTATGCTTGGTTCAGGAGGAGCACCCATGTGCCGTGTAGCATGAGCCGACTCTTGCCATTCTTATAATGTGATGCCGCTCCGATTCTCGCTCAAGGCCGCCTCGATATTCGTCAGCAAGATATATTGGCTCTTGAAGGAATATCTCGTCGAATAGCTTGACGCCCTGATCAGCTTTGCCCTGTTTAGAGATGTGTGCATTAACAAGTTGCTTTGACTTTCCTTGGACACGGTCCGGGGTATCATTTCTCTCTTTTAGGTCCCGTGCCTCTGAAAGGCTTTAATCATTCTCGCTCCCACTGTCAGAATACCGCCTCACAGACCCATTCCGCGACCTCTCCGACGACCCATCCCGCTCTTCAACCACCCCATCACTCTCCTCCTCCATCTCATCCTCCCGATCCAACTCCTCCACCTCATCCCCCAGCGGACTAACCCTCGGCTCCAACATCTCCAAATCCTCCAGATTCGCCCTACTCGGCAGCTTCCACAGGCTCGTCGCGCAGATCCGATCCTTCGTCAACAGATCATCCACAAACTGATCCACATACGTCAGCGCAAACCCCTCCCTCGTCCGCCGTCTCAGCTTGCGGAAATCCGCCAACAATGGCTCCAGCGTCGTGTAGATGTCCACGGGCTCCCACGCAAGCCGGATGTAGAACGCAGCCAGAGCGCGCAGGTACTTGAACTCCCCGCGCTTCCCCAACGCCTGGGGGTTCTGCACGGCGCCGCTCTCGCCATTCCCCGCAGCATCGGCGTCCCCGTCCTCCCCGCCGTCCTCCCCGTGGAAGTTTAGGTACTCGAGTATGACCTCCCGCTGCGGCACGAGCTGTAGCAGCTTAAACGCCAGACACAGGAACGGCGTCGGCTTGCCCACGCCGCCGTATGTCCCGCCGATGGCAGTGAGTTCTGCGGCGCGGTCGCATAACGTGGCTGCGTTCAGCCCGAAGCACTGCTCCTTCCAGTAGTAGGACTCTGTGATGCGGTCGCGTACGGCCTTTTCGAAGAGCAGCGCGGGGTTCTGGCCGCGGATGAGGAGGCCGGAGTAGCCGCGGTCGTCGAGGAGGGCGGTCGCGTCGGCTTTGTGCGTAGTTTCGGGCTTAAATTTGGCGCTCATTGTGGCGGAGATGGGAGTTTGGAGTTGGGCTGGTGGAGGTCAAAGAAAACAGAGTGATGCCAAGGCCTTCACGTGCCGCGTTGCTTGGACGACGCGGAAAAGCCGTAAACAGCCAGCCCTGCCGTCGCCAACATGACACCGCGTCGTTTCGAAACTTCAATTCCGCCTTGCACGAGCTGTGGAATGTACAAATCCTTTTTATGCCGAATTCGATGAGCTGAAAGATGCTTCTCACACAAGGCCAGGTCTCAATGGCCATATCTTCTTCCATTGGTACCTTTTCCGGAAAAGTTACGATTCAATAATTAACATTTGTCACAGTACTTCTATTCACGCTTATATTATTTCTCTCGGGCTACGTCCTTCAGCAGAGGACGGTACACAGCCTCCAAGCTGCCATTAAACCGCGACTACCGAAACCACTGCCCGCGCCGAAGCCCATCGCTGCGCCTAGTTTGAATGTCAAGTGGGCAAGACCAATTGGACAAAGAGTTGGCTCCGATGCCGATTTCCACGAATACATAGGCCAACAGACGATAGACTGGAGCCGGCTGGGATATGTCCAGGTGGTAAAGGAGCATGTGGAGCTATGCAGCGCCATGATGGTGTTTGCGGACCTGAATCGATTAAGGAGCCCCGCGAAGAGGATATTGCTGTTTCCAAGAGCGTGGTTGCAAGAGAAAGAAGGGGAGGCTCCGAGTTCTTCGCTGACGACGAGTCGAAGGCTGCTGAGGGCGGTGGCTCGACGATACGGGGTTGTGCTGATGCCCATGCAGACGATTGTTGAAGAGGCCGATGGTACGATATGTCTCCTAAATCGGAACAACGCAGACTTACCAGTATTGCAGATTCTCTTCCTTCTTCCTACTCACTTGCGAGCATATATTCGTTGGTGGAGTACGAGCGTGTTATACATTTAGCTGCTCCGGGAGTCATATTAGACGCAGGTCCCCTTGATTCTTTACTCGCATTTTCAAAATCACAGCCGCTGGCGGCATTCCCGGCTACATCAGAGAGGAACGACATCTCGACATCGCTCTTCCTGGTCCATCCAACAGTGAGCGATTACCGCAAACTACGAGAGCTGCGCGCGACGGAGCCTATGTCAGACCTCAATCTCTTCCGCAAGTCCTTTTCAGCCCCGGAGTCGCTACTTTCAACATGGTCGCTGTCGCTGGGGAACCTCGTCTATGAGTCGGGGACTCTGCGGGATGCGATCGACGGTTTCAATGCCACCGTCTTCATCGAGGCGACAGCGTATGTGCGCCTCTCGGACCCCGAGCTGCCAGGCCCTGAATACGACGTGCCGTACTACGACCGCGTTCGCCTCCGGCCGCAGAACGAAGAAGCCGGCGCGGTCTGGGCGAAGCTGTACGAGACGTTCAGGGAGCGGCGCATGGAGATCTGCGGTCTGGACCTGGAGACGTGGACGACCCCTGTGCTGCAGGCGGAGGAGGCGAGCCAGGAAGAGATGCCCGAAGAAGAGAAACGACCAGGGAAAGAGCAACAAGCAGAGAATGAAGATTTGCAAGTGCAGGACCCGGAGATGTGATGATGCGCGGGGTTGTGGATATGGGCGTCGATGTGGTCTCGAGTATTGGCTGGAGCATGGCGCTGGGCGGGCGTTTGAGTGGCCGGCGTCGACAGGATAGCGCTGTGGCGCATCCCCACGGCCAGGATACGGGTCAACGACGATATGCCTCTGATGTACTGTATTATACTGTTTGCGCCTCAACTTGCAGCGCAATTTGCACCCAATATGGCGACCCCGTCGTCCGCTGGCTGCGGTGCTGGGCCGCTGCGCTGCTAGAGCACGAAGAAGCTCGCCGCCGCGGTGTGCGCGAGCCGTCGACGCTTCCGGGCGATGGCGGGCAGCGTCTGGGCATGGCCGATTGCTTTTTATGATGCAAGGCTGCCTTTTCTTTGACGGAAGCGCCTGGCGGTTCCCCCCTGCGTACATCGCATCCCGGCCCAGCATCCGACCAAGCTCTCTCCCACCGCAGGCCGTCACAGGCCCCCGCAGCTATCACCTCTCCACCCGCCTCACCACCCGCCTCACATCCCCAACGCTCCGCCCGCTCTCCGATGCCCTCACTCCCCTAACCTCGCCCCCAATTCCTATTGCCACCTATCCCTACCACTGCTGCTGAATACCGCCGGCCCCGCGCATTCCTCGCCCCGTTCATTGAGCGCCAGAGACGTCCGCTGGCTCCCCGGTCAGGCCTGGGCTGGGTGCATTCCTGCAAGCCGCTCTTATGCCTACTCTCGGGTCATTCTTGAAGAAGAAGAGGACGAAGGACTCCACGGGCTCGCGTGACCTGGACTCCCCGACCTCGCCCATCAAAGACACCGCGTCGCCCATCACTCCGACTCTCTCCAAGACCTCCGGGTCTTTCTCTGCTGGCAAGTTGACCACCCAGGACTCGGCCGCTGCCTCGCATTCCACCACGGCCTCGACGGCCCCGTCCAAGTCCGCCGACCCCATGAACCCCTCTACCTATTCCCAGCCCTATGCGACGCCGCAAGCCACCCCCGAACCTTATCAGCAGTCGCAGCACAACCTGCCGAGCATACAGAACCTCATCCACCCTTCCAACACCACATCCTCGCCCCACTCGAACAGCGGCACCCAGCAAAGGTCGCAGCGGAACGATGCTTCAAACGGCGGCGCCATAACACCCGTGCCTGCCCAGCATGTCCCGCAGGTGGTGCGGACGACAAAGGGCAAATACACCCTCACGGACTTCACGATCCAAAGAACACTCGGCACGGGCAGCTTTGGCAGAGTCCACCTCGTGCAGTCGAAGCACAACCAGCGCTTCTACGCTGTCAAAGTCCTGAAGAAGGCGCAGGTCGTCAAAATGAAGCAGGTTGAGCACACAAACGACGAACGCCGAATGCTGCAGCAAGTGAAACACCCATTTCTGATCACGCTATGGGGTACTTTCCAAGACTCAAAGAATCTATACATGGTCATGGACTTTGTCGAGGGCGGCGAGCTGTTCAGCCTCCTTCGCAAGTCTCAAGTGAGCCTTCCCGCCATTGCCGCTTTGTTGCATGTGATCGTCCCTGCTAACCTCAATAGCGTTTCCCTAACCCAGTTGCTAAATTCTACGCCGCCGAAGTTACCCTAGCGCTAGATTACCTCCATGGGATGAACATCATATACCGCGACCTGAAACCTGAGAATTTGTTGTTGGACCGCCATGGCCATCTCAAGATTACCGATTTTGGATTCGCCAAAGAAGTGCCAGACATCACCTGGACATTGTGCGGCACGCCTGATTATCTCGCGCCAGAGGTTGTCGCCTCAAAAGGCTACAACAAGTCTGTTGACTGGTACGATGATTCCGTTGTACCGAAAATCAAATTCGCTAATTTTGGCCTCTAGGTGGTCGCTTGGCATCCTCATCTTTGAAATGCTTTCCGGTTTCACACCCTTCTGGGACGCTGGATCGCCCATGAAGATTTACGAAAACATCCTCAAGGGCAAAGTGAAATACCCTCCATACATTCACCCCGATGCGCAAGATCTGTTGCAACAGCTCATCACTCCCGACCTCACTAAGCGATTAGGTAACTTGCATGGGGGGAGCAGAGAAGTCATGCAACACCCTTGGTTCGCTGAGGTAACGTGGGAGCGGCTGTCGAAGAAGGATATTGATGCGCCATACGTGCCTCCAGTACGAGCTGGTGTGGGTGATTCAAGCCAGTTTGACAAATATCCAGAAGAGACGGAGGCATATGGGCAAGCTGGCGATGACCCGTACGTTGAATCTTTTAAACGACAAGTGATTATATTTGCTGACGTTTCTTCCCTACAGGCACAAACATCTCTTTATGGACTTCTAGAGAAGCTTCAATACTAAAGAACCGATTCGGATCTTTTATGACCTTGGATCGAATACGACTCTAGTTGGTTGGACTGGGGGGCACGAATTTTGCCATCAGGTATGCCGAATCGTCGGCCAGAGTGACTGTGGTATTGCTTCTACGCCTGCCACAGCAGTACCTCCGCTGAGGCAAGATGGCGAAATGACTGTGATATGGGTTTCTGCAAAGCCGTTACTTTACTCTTATTCATCACTGGGATCACGGAGGACCGTGCACGCGGAGAACGTGCTCGGCCTCATTGTTTGGGAACAGGAACCCTGCCTAGGACTCTTGCATAGCTAGGCTTTGACACCTCTTATTTCTGCTGTTATCGTTAACCCTATTTTTGTCTGACGGCCGGTGGCCCACTGTGGAACAAACTGTTCACTTGCGCTTTTTTTGTTTTCCTATGTTGCGTCCCTGTACGTTTATCAACGACGTCCGATGCCCCGTATGTGTACTGTGGTTCTGGATTTTCCTTGCGGGCGTTGGGGTGGGGTTTAAAAGAAGCTTTTGCGCACAAAACAGTCTGTTCGGGGCTAAGGGCGAGATATACGAAGTAATTTACCTACGAATATCTACCTACCACGACCTCCTAACGCATGCATGGTACCTGCAATTGTTGATCCACATGATCTTGGTGCGCGCGCTGTGACGGCTACCGCTGCTGCATGTGATCGGCGGAGCAAGTGTTTGCCTCGCACGAAGGAGGCATTGGTTGAAGGTGTGAACGACGGAGCCAATCGCAAGCTGCATGTGGCACTTTGCGAAGTCGCTCAACGCCCCACAGAGCCTTGTCCTACGCTTGCTTGCGATCTTGTCTAATCATAGCTACCGGGCCGACAGCGAAGCGGGAATGCGCCTGGCAGAGTGCCGGGAGAAGGCAGCGTGGCTATGCCGCCGAAGTTGAACGACACCTCGTACAGTGCACCGCACCACACTCCTTATATTCACCTATATTCCGCGCCTCAGCCCTTCGCTCCTAAACATCTATCTCAATTCTTCCTCATAACCGTCTAGCACGAGTCAGCAGAGAATCGCGCTTTGGCCGCCGCAAGACCATCGGTGCCGAGCGCAGAAGCATGAACCTCACGAGGCTATCGAGGCCATTCAAGCAGAAACAACGCCTACAGCACTACTATCGCAAATGACGATCCACTTCCTAGGGAAGGACTTCACGGGGCGGAAGAAGCATGGGTCGAAAAAGCCTGTGCAGCCCACACCAATGCCAATGCCAAATGGGTATCAGCCTTCGCAGTCGACCGCAAAGGTCCAGTCAACTCAATCGACAGTATTCATGCCGCCAACTCCGGCTTTTGTCGTAAATCAAGCATCAGCGCCGAGGCCTGCAGATCTGGGCTGGTCAGGGAGTGGGAGTCCGAGGCCGTACACGCAGCCGTATCAGCAGCAGCAGCCGTATCAGCCTCCTTTGCCTGTGCGGCCAGTGACATCACAGATGAATAGCGGGCCGTATCTTTCAAACCATCTTTCTACGGTTCATTTAGCTACGCCCCCGCAGAAGGACAGCAAGTGGAAGTCGTCGTTGAATGTTGTCAAGCATCCCGTTCACGCGGCGTCCACTTCTGTCAATAATTTGCAGGGAAACCTGCACTCGAAGAGCACGGTTTACCTGAATCAAGGGGCTGCGTTGTGTGATCTCATTTCGTCGAGGTTTGATGCTGTGATTACGTCGATTGACGGGGAGATCTTTAGTGGGGATGAGAAGGAGTTGAGTAAGTGGAATCATCACATGATGGCCTCGATGGGGACAATATGCTGATAGAAAGGCAGTCGTATACCAGCAATACCCTACAGACTCATCCCCCCCTTTGGAGCAGTCTCGAGGTATCCATAATGTCTACCCAAGCGCTGCTGCCAATCGTGGTCAAGTCTCTGGATCGAATTACTTTTCTAAAGTTTGGCTGTATTCCAATTCGAGACTGCCGCCCCATCTTCCACCTCTTAAAGTGTATGTGAAATTCCCACCCCTCAATTGAATTATGAGCTAAGCTTCGTAGCTATATGCCGACTTACCCACTGTTGTGCCTGGCGGCTCAGTTTTCAGAGAATGTTTACTCACGACCGACTGGATCGGAGCGTGAGGCCCATGTCGAAGCCAATTGGCGGCAGGGCACGAAAGCAATGGTACTAAAGAGCTTGCCTATCGACGACATGAATACTGTGGTGTTCGCTATCAGAGGCAGTCAAACGTTCATGGATTGGGCAGTCAATTTTAGACCTGAGCCCTCGATGGCTACTGGGTTCTTGGTAAGCCTTAGATTCTTACAGCATCCGTATTCTGCTTTGCACTTTCTCCATCAGAACTATCTATCAGATATGCTTCAAGATCATCAAAGTGGATTGGAGTCACCCAAGCAGTGGCAAACGTAAACCTATCTTCTAGTTCTACAATTCAAGTTCGTACTCTTTCACCTTCTTTCCCGAGCTAACAACCCCTACCAGGACGACCCCGGCAACAAATGCCACAGCGGCTTCCTCCACGTCGCCCGCCAGATGATCGTCCCCGTGGCCGCCCGCCTGCGCACTCTCCTCTCCGAGAATCCCTCTCGCAGCGCCTCATCTCTGCTCATCACAGGCCATTCTGCTGGAGGCGCTGTTGCCGCGCTGCTGTACGCCCACATGCTCTCTGAAACCGTCACCTCCGAACTCACCTACCTGACGGGCTTCTTCAAACGCGTCCACTGCATCACCTTCGGCGCGCCGCCCGTCAGCCTTCTCCCGCTCCAAAAGCCGCCGGGCAAAAGGCATTCCAAAAGCCTCTTCTTCGGCTTCGTCAACGAAGGCGATCCCGTCTGCCGCGCGGACAGGAACGTGGTAGGCAGCCTGCTAAAGCTATACGCTACACCGGCGCCCGGCTCAAACTGCAGTATCGGAAACAGCATCGGCCAGGTTGGGAACATGAAGATGGCGACTGTGAGCACCATCGCGCTGACGCCGAATGGGCTGGGCAAGATCGGGAAGCGGAAGGAGAAGCAGAGACCTCAGCCGCAGCTTGGCGGTAAGTCGAACTCCTTTTCTGGCCCTGCGCCCTCGTGGACGATCCCGGAGGCTTTTCTTTCGACGGCTGGCAGGATTGTGGTGCTGAGGGTGAGGCCGGGAAGTAGTGATCAGGAGGATGTGGAGGCTGTTACGGTCAATGATCAGACTTTGCGCCAGGTTGTGTTTGGAGATCCGGTGTGTCATATGATGAAGTTGTATAATAAGAGGATTAAGATTCTGGCGACGAGGGCGGTGACGGGGAATATGGGGTCGTATGGGGGATGATGTAGAGATGGTGGGGGTGTTGGGTGGGATGGGACGATGTTATGATACCCGGTGAAAGGAGTCTTGGGTTTTGAGACGGTCTCGTGACTGGTTCATGGAGCTGCATGTGGTGCTTTTGCGGAAAGTGGTGAGGTGGATGTTCTTTCTTATGCGTTGTTGCTAATGAACCGAGATGTATACCCTTTATAAGCCCTAGATTAGCATATTATATGAAATACAAGCTTTGAAATTACATCGCTAGTCTTGATGGATGTTTAAAGGGCTTTGAACAGCGGCCACATCTAATACCTGCGGTTACTCGAATGTTGATGGGACGCTCAATGGGAGATGAAGTAGTTCACGTGACTCTGAAAATCAATAAACCCCGAAGGTAGAACCTTGAAGACTTGGGAGTAGCATGAACACCTGAAATGAAGCTTTGGGAAGAGGAGGGAGACGATTGTTTCTTAGTATATCATGTCTACGAAACCCCCGTTGAAGTCACGGGGCTGGCTTGGTTGCACGTCCCATCCCGACTTCGCACCTCATCTCCAGGTTCTCCTTTCTACGACCCCGTTGGAATAGGCCCACCTTTGCAAGCTCGACAGTACTTCCATTCGATACGGTACAAAGCTGGTCAACTTTAACTGTCCCCGAGCCCACTATGCGCGACAATGAGTGTCTCCTTCAGCCAGCACGTCCCAAGGCTGAGCATCGGACAGGGACGCGGCAAGCGGTACAGCATCCGGACGCTCGTAAACATTAGCGGAGAGTATATACTCTGAATTTTGAGTCTACCTTTCTGTTTGCTTCCAAAATTGCGGCGTTATCTTCTATTCGAGATGGTTGGGGAATCTGGCATCCATTTCTCTACATCCAGCGACTTGTTCACGTAGGGAGCAGCCTTGAAATTACTATCTTCGTGCAGTGATGCCTTCTGAAATCAAGATTATCGGTTAGATTTCGTGTCACTGAGTCCTTTTTACTTATAGGAGCACTGTCTACTCTTCACCCCGCTAGACCATCAGTCGCGTTTGCTTTAAACCCTCACTCTCGTAGGCCTGCGAGCGAGCCTATTGTTCTCTTGTCAGCTTCTCCTGCAAGGGAAAAGGAAATACGCTCCACCGTTCATCAGTAGCTATCGTCATCCGTCTGCGGAAGCATTTTCAAAGGCCGCACCTCATTCTTCGCTCTAGCAATCTTCTCTAGCAAACTTCCGTATGTTCCTCACTTGAGCTCATTTCACTTCGATCATGGCTCAGGCAAGCCAACACTGGCCTGTTAAGTCAGTCTATCCTTATTCATTGCTTGTCCACCTACTCACCTTGCAGGACTCTTCCAGCTTCTTACTCCTCACGCTCTCCGCCATAATCGACCGTCTACACGACAAGGTAGACCTCGGTCTGGGCCACGGCCAATACCATCAGTTTTCTGGACGATCCAATGGGGACCCCTGGCTTTGCCGACGACGGTGATGACGATGGCGGATATAACGACTTCGGCACCTATCATTACGACTCGAACGGATTTCAGGATATCGAAGGCAAGACGAAAACCTTGCACCTCAACTTGAAGACGACATATCAACCAAGTTGGGGAGGTCGAGAGGCCTTTCGCGAGTTTTACCAGAACTGGTCGGTACCTCACTCATAACGCATGTGGATGGGCGCTGACAGTCAATAGGCGTGATGCAATCGTATACAGCTTCAATCTCAATGCGAGAGACTTCAAGACAGAATTCAAGGAATCCAAGACCACCATCGAAATCAGAGCCGTCAACAAGGGCGTCCTCATGGGATACATCCTCTACAAATGGGACAAATATCAGACGGGCACTCTAGAGCTCGTGAACTTCAATGCATCACTTCGAAAAGATCACCTCGCACTTGGCGCAACTGCCAAGAAAGACGACGATACGCAAAGTGGCCAGTTTGGCGAAGGATTGAAGCTTGCAATTCTAGTGTTTCTGAGGAACCCTCAGAATAACGCCGTCCGGATGAAAACTTCTAGCGTCACGCTGAACTTCAAGCTGGATCAAGAGGGAAATCTAGTCTGTACCGTCACAAAGCATGACAAGGAAAAGGTGAGGGTGAACATGGCGAAAGAGAGAGATCGAATCGCCAAGAAGGAGCGGCGACAGTTCAAAGCTAACACTTGGGAAGACGTATCACTGGAGATTGGCTTCAGTCGTAGCGTCAAGACCGAAACTGGCGAGCGTCAGAAGACGCCTAAGATTTCTCTCCAAGATTTCAAAGACTGGCTCACGATCACTCTTGACATCAATCCTCCCACGGATATCATCCAAACTTTCGCTGGAGACCTCATTCTCGATCCTGCATACAAGGGGAAAACTTATCTGAAAGGGCTTCTCCTACCAAATGGAAGCGCAAGTGGCAAGCCATTCCAATTTGGATACAACTTCTTGGATGGCGAAACCGATCGAGATCGGGGTCGCGTGACTGATCCTTCTGATGAGGCAAGGGCAATTGCAGGAATATGGGGAGCAGCTTCAAATGCCATCCCTGACTCAAGCTCTATAAACAGGGTTACTGTGGAATACACGAATCTTTTGATGACAAAGTTCACCGAACCTACAATTTCAGCGAATGTCCACTCGGCAGCCGAGCACATCTGGAGATCTACAGCAGTAAAGGTATGGAAGTATATGCTCAGCCAACATTCCCACGAGGAGAGCCAGAGTCATCCATTCTACTATTGTCCAGGCAAAGAACCAGAGGTGAGTGCCGCTTCAACGTCACCTTTCTCGCGCTAACGTGATTCAGGGCGCGAAGGTCATTCGAGAATGCATAAAACGCGAGCCTGTCCCGCTTGACAGAACTCTGTGGGGAGTCTTTCGGAAATTCGGCCTATGCCGTACCTCTCACGAGGAGCGCCGCAAGCGTTTCCAGGAAGCTGAACAATCCGTGCTGCCCTCCACGTGCTTTGCCCAACATATAGTGCGATCTCTCGAAGCCTGCCTCGCCTCTGACCCAGCTACGGCTGGCAAGATAATAATCTTCGTTCAAGCCCACGATACTGGTGTGGACGTGATCTACTCGAACCTGGACACAACATGGAAGGTATCGGACAAGTGGCTCAATTATGCCGGGGCACACGAGCACGCACCCTGCGTGCTGAGTCCGGCTGACTCTGAATTTCAAACAAATGGAGGGCTTTCTGAAGTTTTCTGGTGTGACCACGCCATAAGCTCTTTATACAGAGTCATGATAGACCAGCTTTTGGGAGCAGACATCGTCGGTGGTCGCTTTCGCGAGCTCAGAATGCGACTGGAAAGTATTGCGACTATCCAGATCTCTCAGATGGCCAAAGGCGTGCAGGTAGCTCCGACTTCCCAACCTGGAGAGCTGAAAGTAACCTGGAAATCCGCCGAACAAGCCGACATATACTCGGCAGAATCACCTCAGGAAACCCTCGTCATTCTTCATCGAAAAGACACTTGTGCAGAGAAGGCGACGTTGAAGTTGTTTGAAGAAGGTAATTCAACCCATTCCGGCCTAAACGTGACATAGCTTTTGCTTGAGTATATTTTGCCTTAACAACTATGCTAACCTTTTCCAGATGCCTCTAAGTGTCAGTGCCTCTCGCTGAGCGTTCCCCATTCTTGCAGAAAAGCTCTGTTCAACGGGCTCGAGGAAACTCTAGAATACTTCCCAATGATTTGTAGAGCGGAACAAGGCGCGTTCTTTGCCGTTCCACCTCCTGCAGTGCGACCGATAGCTCGAATGAAAAATTCAATCCCCCTCCTTTCGTCCCTAGCATTGGTAGTCGATGACGACGCTTTCCTCGGCTCGTATTCAGACTCAGATACAGATGACACGGAACTGGATATCCCCAGCCCAGTCGGTTCTTCACTGGAGTCTTCAATGGTTGTTGGTGGTACACCTAGGAAAATCCCGGCTTTGAAGGCTCCACCAACAAGCCTTGTCGCGAACGAAGAGAGTGCTGTCTCGCCCAATACAACGTGGAGTAAGTGCACGATTCATGAACAAACACACCTATAGCTCATTGGCTGACCATTTCTAGAAGCTTCAGGAGATGAGGTTCGCGTCGATCAGCTTGGATGGGGTGACGGATTCCCTGCCAATCATGAATTCTATCGTGCCGAAAGCAGTAGCGGCCAGAGCGGCTTGATCGCAAAGGCTCATGTGCAGCCCCAGCCAGCAACATCGACACCTCGCACCCAGAACAGTTCCAGGGTCATTAAGAGAGCGTTCCCCAAGGACAATGACAACAAGACTACTCCGTCCAAGCGATTCAAGCCACTCTGTCATTCATGAAGCTGCTTTGAGTCACACATGGTCTATCTCCTGGGCCCCATGTTGCGCTAAACCGATAGACCTGAGGGGCGGTTTCGATGGTCACATACAGCGGAATATTGGCCATGAAGAGAGAAGAGAGCATCCTCTATGATTTGCTTTTATTACTCTTCAATCTTTCATTGATATTATAGTTATCCGACCAGAAAACTTTAGAGGTTCTACTTGCGAATTGGCGTGGGTAGATCTGATGAAGCGGACATGATCAGGCACTCAGCCACGTATGTGCAAATATACCTTTCAAGTCCAGAAATCCTTTATATATAAGAGTTAATAGGAAAATAGATTTACATTCAATACGAATCACGGGTGGTACCTCTAGTACACTTCTCCACCATCGCAGCTATTCGAAGTCGACTATTCGGCACCGCTAACCAGTCCAAACAACAGATCTCGGAGCCGTGTACGTGAGCGGCGTTTGATGGATATTGATAAGAATTCCAGGATCGCTGTACACATCAGTATCACTCATCCCCCACAAATCTCGATCCACAAAGCAGCACTCACCTCGTCTTGTAAGCGCCCGGAAACTCACCCCCGTAGGCTTCGTCAAACCACCCCCAGTAACATTGATTACACCATACCGATTAACCCACATCCCCAAAAACCCTCATCTCTACAGCTTCTTCACGCATCCTTCATCTCGTAAATGCTGTATAACAAAGGCTTTTCACCCTTGCAAAGGCTATTGCGACCAATGAAATCTCTCTCATCAACTTCCAGTACCGTAATTTACCCTTGCCGCCACCTGCACTCTAACCACAGGATGCGTAAAGGAGCTGTGGGCTTCCTTTCTCCAATGAAATTGGAATAGCTCCCACCTTGCGAGCTCGACAGTGCTTATATTTGATAGCGCCTAAAGCTTCTCCTCTGTTATTTTCCGCAGCCCAGCGTGCGCAACAATGATCTTCTGCCTCACAAAGCTGAGACCAGACAGGGGCGCGGCAAGCGGCACAGCATCCGCGCAGCCTCATGCGTGAGTGGAAGCCAATGACTGGCGGAGAGCAGTGACTGTGAAACTTGTGGCTGCATGTATGTTTGCCTTCCGCCGAAACGGGTTCCCATCACTGGAGATCTTGTTAGAGGGCGGCATGGTCTAGCGCTCTCAACCATTTTGAGGACTACGCAGAAGCTCGAGAAAATAAAATGAAAGAGACAGCAGAACGGAGCAGCCATTTGATTCTAGAATGCCATTGTCACAGGGCTTCGCGGCTTCGCGTTCTAGCTGTTTGGAGCGCTTGGAGGTCACAGCGCCCAATGCGGCACAGAACACTACCCATAGCTGGAAGGCTAGGCGCGCCACTGTCTTTCCTACACTCTTCAGCGATAAGTATGCAGGTAGCCCGTCGTGCCCCGCAACTGACTTTCCCCTTGGCTTCTGCCTGCTGGCCAACCCTCCACGGATTGCAACTCACTAGCCGCTTCAGCAAGGCTCGAACTCATTTGTGAAGACCGTTGAACCACCACCCTCAACCGACATAGAACTTGCTCATTGGAACTTCAATCTTGTGGTACGCTGAGAAGCGGTACGCCTGTGAAACGCTGCGCCGCGCTGTCACCCAACACCACATTGATTGGCATAAATCTGAAGCTCTACCAAGGACGATCGTGCATTGGTGAGATAATCTCGTACTTTCGATCCTTCCTACGGGCTGACAAGGCTTTTCCAGTGCTTGTCTAGTGCCGATAGTCTTTCACACAGTATCTAACCCACTGTCCACAGGCAGTTCGTAGATATGGCAGAGTACCGGGATCCATTCGATGATTCAGATGATTTCTCCGATGGCACTGAGTCTTCAGTTTCTTCCTATGATTACGATCTCACCCTGATGGATGGAAATGGACTTGAGGATATCAAGAGAACAGCGCATGAGAGTCTGAACCTTGGAAACGGGTACCAGGGAACCTGGTATGGCCAAGAAGCTTTCCGCGAGTTCTATCAAAACTGGTCAGTCACTTATCGCACATGGAAGTCAGACCATAACACAGTTAACACTCGATAGGCGCGATGGCATCGTGCGCAGCTTCAATATCGACCCGAGCGACTTCCGCACAGAGACGCAGACGCTGAAAATGCAAATCATCATCAGGGCCATAAGCCCTCACACGAAGAACCTGATGGGATATATCCAATTCAAGTGGGATAAAAACAATCTTGGCACTCTCCAGCTTGTTAATTTCAACGCTGCTCTTCATAAGGACCATCTGGTGAATGGTGGGACGACAAAAGCCTATGACAAAACCCAGAGCGGTCAATATGGTGAGGGTATGAAGTTGGCGGCTCTGATCATGCGGAGAAGACCTCAGAATCACACCGTTCGGATACTCAGTTCAGGCTTCATGTGGAATTTCAGTTTCAATTCCAAGGCAGTACTGACATGCACTCTGACGAAAGAGAAAGAGGACAAGTTGCGCAAACTGAAAGCGAAGGAGGAGGACCGCAAAAAACAACACAAGCCTCGAGAATTGAAGCCTAATATCTGGGAAGATGTCGCCGTGCAGATTGGGAGCGGTCGCAGTGAAAGAACGCAGGATAGGATTAACCAGAGAAAGAAGAAGAGTGATAAGATCCGGCTTGCCGACTTCAAAAGGTGGCTCGAAGTTTCAATCGACATAGCGCCCCCGACAAACATTGTACGAACTCGAGAAGGCGATCTCATTCTGAATCGTGAATACAAAAACAAGACCTACCTGAAAGGTCTATTACTCCCTAATTCAAGCGTCAGCGGCAAGCCCTTGAAATACGGGTACAACTTCCGGGAGGGTGATACGAGTCGGGATAGAACTAGTATGGCTTATGCTGATGACGAGGCATTCATAATTGCGAAGATCTGGGGAGCAGCGTTACGCGCCGACGGAGACATCTTCACCGAAGATTCGCTCATTGCGAGATACACGAAGCTTTTAGAAAAGACATTTGGTGGACACAAAGATTATGCGGATGTTCACGACGCTGACTGCCATGCCTCAGAGTCCACAGTCAAGAAAGTGTGGGCATACATGCTCAGTCCAGCCAAGTATCGAAATGGAAAAGCGCCATTTTACTACAGCCCGACTGATAGCACTGACGTGAGTACTGCACGAAAGTTGACAACGGAATCGCTTAGCTGACACATTTGTAGGCATCAAAGATAATCCGAGATTGCCTAAAGCGCGAGCCGGTCCTGGTTGAGGAGCGCCTATGGAATATGTTCTGCCGGCACCACTTGTGCCGTACGCCGGATAAGGAGCGTTACCATCGATTCCACAAAGCTGCGCTATCTGATCTCTCAAACGCAACTTGTTTCGCAAACCACATGCTGCAAACTTTAGCGGCTTGCCTCCGCTCTGACCCAGCCACCAGCGACATGAAGCTCAGCTTCGTAGACACCAGAGATCTGGGCCTTGATGTAATTTACTTACGGAAAGAAAGGATGTGGAAAATAAATGACAAATGGCTAACCTTCGACGGAGCCCACGAGCATACGGCGTGCGTTTTGGACCAAGATGACACCAGATTTCATCTTCTCCACGAGCTCTTCCTGTGCGACCATGCAGCTACCTCTTTGTTCAGGATCATGATAGACGAGCTTTCTGGCCAAGATACTGGCAACACGCCTCTAAAAGAACTCAAGATTCGTCTTGAAAGCAATGGCTCCATTCGGATCCCCCAGATGGTTCGCGCAGTGAGGTTGAGTGTCAAACCTGAAGCATTGATGGTCACGTGGAAGTCATCTGGACGGCTGGCTATGATATCAGGTCATTGCAAACAGCAGACATCCGTCGTTCTCCATCGTACAGATACATGTAGAGATAAGCGAAATATCCCGTTGTACAGGGAAGAAGAAGGTAAGTGGACCCTGAATGTCTTCCCAGTGCAGGATTTGTTTCCATGGAGAAAGGGCCCATTTCTAATGACATCTAGAGTCCTGTGACTGCCCAAAGCAGACGGTTCCTCCTACATGTCACAAAGCTTTATTCAACAACCTTAGCGCAGATCATTTCTATTTCCCCATGATCTGTACGGCCGAGCATGGCTCTTTTTACGCCGTTCCTCCCCCGAGTAAAAGGCCCCTCAATGGTGAAGAAACAGCAGCTGCAGGTCTTAAGAAGGAACCTTCAGAAACCGACCTCGTCCATATATCATCGGGGGACTCCTCGTCCGACTCTGATATCGATGCTTCCGAACCTTTCTCTCCAGGCTTACAAACCCCTATCGAGAGTCCTCGTACTGCAAGTCGTCCCTCGACCCGACACTCGTTCCCTCAGTCTGCAACTGTTGATCGTACATCGCACTCTTCCCCCATTCGGGCAACTCCCGATAAAGATCTCTCGAATATCGATGACGTGCTAAGTCAGCTCAGAGACTACAATTCCAAAGCGCAAGAGGCTTTGAAATCTATGAATACTGAAGCAGCATGGAGTAAGTCAGCAGTTACATATTTCTATTCACAATATTCTTGACTACTTACATCGCCACTAACACCGCGTAGGAATCTTGTTTGAAACCCAGATTGAACATAAGGACCTTGGCTGGGAGGCCTTTCCTGGTAACCACGACTGGTACCGCGCGATTAACAGAAATGGCCAGAGCGGCTTCTTTGCACGTTCCCGGGCACCACCTGCCGAGGACGAGACGTACGCCGATAGTGACTACCAGGTCACCGCCAAATCCGCCGCTGCTGCTTTGCAAGACATGGAGCGCTGCATGCTCACTCTCTCCGCTCGCAATGAGAAGCTGGGGGACAGGGAGCTTCGAGAACCCCGCTCGTCAAAGCCTGTCAAATTTACAAACCCCAAAGCTTCCGCAAATGCTAGACCCACCACAGCGACTCCCCATGCTGATGTGGGTGTCAATGGCAGTGCACGCGAAGATAGGGCTATTAGTCAGGATAGTCTCTACAGATTGACGCCGCGACCTCAAGAAAGGCCACAGCTTCCAGATCAAGGCCCAGTTCAGGCTTCAGTTCTCGGAATCAGCCGGAACACTCCAATCCGGACTATTCAAAGCGTTACCCAGTTTACTGGTATGTCGCCTCCTCACAGCAAGCGCGCTTACTGCGAGAGCGTATCCGACCATGATGGGAAGAGTGAGAACGAAGAAAACTCGACGGTGAAACGCTTCCGCCACTTGTGAAGCTTTGGCAGGTAACACATTTTTGTGTGATACTGAAAGAGCGTCCGATGTGGTTGGAAGTATTGTGGCGACACATACTGTTAGGTTGCAATCAGGTTGAATAACAGGATGTGCGTACCTCAATGATATGTTTGTACTTTCTCTACAATCACGCATTCGGATTTTTTTCGTTTGCAGGCTCGAAGGGTAGTTTTGGTTTGAACTCTTTTGCTTTCTCTCAGTATGCGAAGTAAGTGGACGTCACCAAAGACGGCAGATGGTGTTATGCATGGCCCAGCAGGAATACATTGCGATCTTTCACTTCTCATCTTGGAGGAAACCAGGATAGACACTGTGTCGCTTCGCTACTGGGACAGCAATTAAAATGTAGATCCTCCACTTCCCTAACCAGTCCACATAGCAGGTCCCGGTGCCGTGTATGTGAACGGTGTTTGGGAAATGTTGATAAGAATACCAGGATCGCTGCACACAGTCAGTACTACAACTCATCTTCTCTATCACCAGCACTCACCTCGCCTTATAAGCCCCCGGAAACTGCACCCCCAGGCTTCGCCGAGCCACCCCCAGTAACATTTACTACACCACACTCATTAATCTCAGGCCTCTACACATCACACCAAATCCACTTACTCTGATAACAACTCATATAAATTTGCGCCCCGCCCGTACCACTCGCCGCATGCAGCGCAATCGCCTCGGCCCTGACCAGATAATTCCCACCCGCCAGCGTCTGCGGCACCGAGAACGTGGGCTTCCCACAGTTCGCGTTCAGGATCTCCGTACCCCAGCTCGCCATAGTGCCGGCGTGCAAGTCCTGCGCGACCTTGAACCCGGACGAGGAGCCGTCGGCGGTGGTGGCGTCGGAGACGGCGGACATGTAGACCATGGCGGGCCCGTAGTGGTTGCCGCCGATGGCCGGGTTGGCGCAGGAGCGGTTGCCGGGTCGGGCGAGCATTTCGGCGGTGAGGGTGGTGCCGGCTGGGGAGGGGAAAGGAGAGTTTAGGGGAGGGGAGTGAGCCTACCGGCGACTTCACAGACCCCCAGAGACGCCTGTTGTGCCGCCAACGTTGCAGCGCATGTCGTTGGATATGCCTGAGGTTACGGGGTTGTTGTTTGGGGGTAGGCGAACGCAAGTGCCGGCTTCGTCGGCGCTGCCGACCTAGAGTTCTTGCCAGGTGGAGCGGGCGGTGATGGATGAGGCAGTGGCGAGGAGGATGAGGAGGGACTTCATCGTGGGCGAGGATGGATTGGAGCTTCATATAGCATCAGAAAGTCTGCGCTTCTTTTCTTTCTACGTCATGGAAGATACTCTATTTGCTGTTTGAAATTTCTTGAAAGACTCATGCTGAGTGAGTGCTTCGTGGTCCTGCTCCGAGTATATTGATGTTGGAAGCATGTTGAATTTATTTTGGCAAGTGACGTGAAAGATAATGCGAACGGTAGCAAGTAGAATTAAAGGCCGGGGGCCAGCAATATTTGATTTGGAGTTCAGTTGGTTAGCCCCATTGGTGGGTATTCATTAAGATCCCTGCTGATGCTTAGTTTCATTCTAGTGCATAAATGCCGCTGCTGGTACAGGGGAGATTTGCCTGAAAGAGTGTAAGTTGCGAGGGTTCGCCCTCATCTGGCAGAGAGTAGCGTGGTAGGCTTGTTTGCGTAGGCTTCGGAAAGTTCTAAAGGGACAATGAGGGAAGCTGGACTCCAAATCCATCTCTCAAATCAAAGACAAGACGTGTAGATAATCATGATAGACTGCGACCTGAGCGGGAGTTTCGGCGCCTAGCACGAGGCTTCAAGATTGTCATTGAATGGGTACAGAAGTGAAGTGTTTAGGTTGGTTCATAAAATGCAACCCTTTTTGTTTTCCCCATGCCATGCAGAAAATTTCGAGGTTGCAAGCTTACGGAAAGAAACCATCTTTCATCCGATAGCACTTACATGATTCGTAACCAAGCAAGTCCAATCGCTGGTGCCGTAGAAAATGGTATTCCTATCGTCGGAAGTCTTGCTAGAGGTAAGCTGATCACCGTCATCCCAGAAAAGATCTGCTGCCATGCCAGCGGTAGATACGGAAGTCTTTTCCCAAGCACCTTCGACGCTACAATGGTCAGAAGAGACACCATATTCTTCGAAATGACACGGTTTGTTGGCTTTGACGCATGCCGCAGCGTGCGCCTGAATCCAGCCATTACCAAAATCGTTAGAAGTCCCCCTGAGATCTATATTAGTATCACATAATCCTCTGATGACAGAACATTATGCTTACAACTTGATGGGTAGAGATGAAATGTCCCGAAATCAATAGTGGAGATCGCAAGATTAGTATCCCAGTTCCAGCCCTCGCCAGAAGCTAGTATATTTCAGAAATTTCATCTTTGAATATTGATTTGACTCACTGTAAGGATAGCTTCCATCACCTCCGGATACACCAAAACCCTCATCACCAACAGTTACCATGTGAGTGGGGTTTAAGCTCTTGATATAAGCGCTGGTTTTTTTGATCCAATTTCTCAAGATAGATCTTTCGGTAAGTCAGACATTGTGTTCTTAACCAATAGAGATAAGGACGTTCCTTCGAAAGGGAGACTTAGGTATCACAGCCTGTACATCTCGGCTCATTCGCCAATTCCCAGGCAAAAATGGCCAGAGAGCTCGAGTATCTGCTAACGACAGCCTTAATGTAATTTTGGTACAGGGTCTGGCACGAAGAACTCTGATACCAGTCTTTGTTGGTGGAGCCACCGCATGCTTTCATGTACGCTGCCATTCCGCCGTAGTCGATCCAATTATTGACGAAATTGACGATAAGTTTGATGCTGTGGGCAGCGGCACTTTGAACCACGTAGTCAAGAAGCTGAAGGCCATTTGCACCGCTATGGATCGTCGCAGACGAGCCGGAGAATGACTGGTAGTACACCGTTCCGGAACCAGGAACGGAATTAACGTCGTTGAAGCCCCAGACGCGAAGGGTCTTTAGTCCGGACGATTGCAGATGGCTCATGACGGTATCTACATCCGCGTTGTTGGTAAGAAAGCCGATCCAGTAAGCATTGGTACCAGCAAAATATACTCTAGTTAATGGGTATCCTACCAAGTACTGTATTATGTAACTAACATTTCGTGACCCCATCAATGGTAAATTTCGTCCCGCTGGCTTTGGAGATCGTGCCTGTTGCTCCAGTGGTGGGTGGCGTAGTGCTCGTGGCAACTCCTACAACTGTCGACAATGTGGTTGCTCCACCAGACGCTTTGAAGGTCAGACATAGCATCAAAGGTTTTCAGAAGTGGAAACTACCAGTACCAGGAAGGCATTGGGCGTAATAGTCGCTAGAGGCTCGGTAGTAGTATCCTGAAACACAAGTAGTTTCTCCGGACCATCCATTACCATCACACTGCCCATACCAAGGCTTAGTGATCTCCCGAATTGGCCATGGCGTTTCTCCGTGTCGAAATAGGCATGGCTACGAACATGAGAAGCCGGGTCGATAGTGGCACATTGACCCGTGGCGTATTGACTCTTCCCGCCCCTGGGATACTGAGAGCTCCCTAGACTCATAAAAACTGAAGGCAGAATTGGCAATCTCTGGAGACAGTTGCAGAGATTAGACGATTCCTGTTGCGTTGATGAAGATGGAAATCTAGGAGGTGGTATTAAAGTTTTCGATACCTCGGTTGTTCTAAATTTGGATTGGCGATTTTGAACCCTTCCATCTCGTCCTTCCATTTTCCTCGCTCTTCAACCTCCTATACGTTCCAACTGTTCAGTACTTGAACGTCTCCCCAACTAGCTTCTCACTCAATACCCATAACCTCTCCGCCTCAACACCACTTGTCGCCCACGGCTTCACCGTATCCGTCCACGGATCTCCAACATGGCAGTCCTGTAGATACGCGCCATTGTGACCTGTTTACTGTTAGGATGATTTCTCTCCAGAGAAGAATAAATTACGGAGTTAGTTACCTGACAAGCTTGGGTCAAACGCTGCGTAGACGTGTGTCGCGACACCACTGCCTCCGTCGCCCGTTTTGAACTTGAAGTCGCTCCAGCCCTCCCTGTTGCCCTGTACCCTGTCCAATTTGCCTTGAAAGCGGTCAGTCAAGACGTTCATAGAATCATGAGAAAGGGGCCCTCACGAAGGTCACCAAAGTCAGCGTCCCAATCCAACTTCGCGCCTAGATTGGTGATAATAACGCCGGGATGCAAGCTGTATGCATTGAGCCCACGCTTCCCCAGCTTCTCGGCCAAGGAGAGAGCCATAAGCATGTTCGCTGTTTTAGATTGGCCGTAGCTTCGCCATCTGTTGTAAGTCTCGCCATCCTGGAGTCATCTATTAGCTTTGCGGATGAATGTATGAGCCAGCTGGCAACTACACACCCCGAAGTTGTAATCAGCGAATCGAATCGCACCTAATCGGTGCCCGTCACTACTGACTGCCACGACCCTCGGTTTGCTAGCTGCGAGCAACTTCTCGATGATCAGGTTCGTAAACAGGAAAGGGCCAAGATGGTTCGTCGCAAACTGCCTCTCGAATCCCTCCTCGGTCTTCCCGTAATCGCAGGCCATAATTCCGGCATTGTTCATCAGCATATCGATATGCGGGATATCGGTCCATGAATTCACTGTAGCGGCGGCCTCCCGAGTTTGCTTAAGTGAGGCGAGGTCTAGTTTTAGAACGCGTACTTTTACGTCCTTGTGTGCTGCTGTGATGGTGTCGGCAGTCTTTTGGACTTTGGTAGTGTCACGACCAGCGAGTATTAGTAGGGCGGGTTGGGCCTTCGATATGGTTTCAACGAAGAAGGCTCCTAGGCCTCCGGGGGAGACGCCAGTGGTCAGTATCACTTTCCCTTTGATCTGACTGGCGAAGTCCTGGACAAGCTGCTCGCCTGTCGTTTCGGCGCCGTACGGAGGAGACATGGTGGTTCTCTTTATAGTGAAGTAGTGATGAAAACGACCTCGATAGGTGATTAGATTTGGATAGGTCGTTAAGGTTGTGCTGACTTGGATTTGACGGTTTTGAGAACGCGAAAGGGGTCCTAGGACTTATATATGCGCCTTCCAATACTGCGCTGGACCTTAATCTCCCCTGTACCGACGAGGTCCGAACTTCATACAGGTAACTTTAGCCTCAAAGCTAACTAGATGTAGTAGCTTATTTTCAATGTCGTCGACCGCACGCACCTCCTTTTTAATGTTCACGTCGCGCTGACGTCATTGGTGGGAATAGTCGGCATTACCACAGTAGCTCGGCGTTCATTGATACATTATCAACACCAAGTTGCTTTGTGATTCTATCATGCGATCCAGAAGGCTTATCTCCTATTTCCGTAGACTTGCCCCACCACGCAAGGACTTTGAGTCTACCTCCTGTATAGAAGTATAGTGTTTTGTCACACGACTTACAAATGCTACAATTTAGCGTGGGTCGTGGTAGAGTTCATGACCTCGCAGCTAGTTCAATTATCAAGCAACCGCTCAAAGTGTTCGGTACACTACCTGTCTCCGGTAGCCCAGCAAGATTCTAGACTTCTTCAAAGTAGAGAACTTCCATCTCGTACACCTTTTTGATAACTTATCGAAGTTCTTCAGACAGTAGTAAGAAAAATGACACAGGCCTAATATAGTGCGACATACCATGAACGGACTACCCTCAAATGTCGTGCCTGCCTCCATCATCTTATCTCAACCCTCACTTTGTCTTCGCCAGGACGGAGTCCTTCCCATAATCAAACAAAATCTCATCCCTAACCCAACTGACAACCAGACACACACTGCCCGGCCCAGCTACCACCGCTCCAACCAAGACAAGAGGAATAGTCTTCACCCAACTAAACGTCTTCCTCTTCACCTTGGCCACCGTCTCCAGTTGCATCAGCGCAACGATCAGCATAATCGAGTACCCAAAAACCTGATCCCACAGCAAGAAACTCCTTAACCCTTCTCCCGTTGTCTTACTCTGGATGATGGCAATCGGCGGCGCAAAGACAGACGCCGGACTAAGCTCATCGGCATACCCAGGTGCGAAGAGAGCGGGGAAGAAAACGGTAGCAAGGCTGAGGCTCGAGACGGCGACGTGGACGGCGAAGCTGACGGCAAGGACGAACGCGTTGGTTAGGCGGATGGCTTTGAGGTGGGAGATCGGAGATGTCTGTTTCAAGAAGCCTCTTTTGGGGAGGAGGAAGGAGAACGTCTTGTGCAGCGCGAAGACTAGGAGCGGGAACACGTTCCAAACGACAACAGCGAGCTGCTGGAAGCGGTTTGAGACGAGGGATGGGGACGGAATAGCCATGATAATGGACGGGGCTATGAATCCGAAAGCTAGGGCCGGAGTGAGGAATAAGGTAGACGAGGGCGACGCGAGAGATGCTTGCTGCAAGGAGCTCAATGGTAGGTTTCTGTAAACTAGTGGAGAGCTGGCGGTGTAAAGAGCTGCCCAAATGCCGCTTGAGGAACCTATTGCTAATGCTTGGAAGAGGAGGGTCCAGGCAATAGCTCTAAGGAATTAATTGCTCAGTATCTCCCCAAATAATGCAGAGGCGGGATGCGCTCACTTCCCAAAGCCCGACACCTGGCCTTTTCGAAAGCTATCAGTCAACATGACCGTGAGAATACTTAGGTATTGTCCGAGGAAATAGATGCCAACGGCGGATGTTGCCGGGTGCGAGCCATCGACTGCTTCCCAGAAATATAAGATAAGAATTCCTAACTGATAGTCGATGGGATATCGTATCCCAGTGATCGAAGTCAGCAACGGCTCTTTTGTCCCGGGAAGAATGTAGGTGCTCTCGCTATTGACAGCGGCGAATACTCGCGCGAAGCTGCCGTCCAAGACGTTTCGGCCCCAGATCGCAATCGTGCCGAGTAGACTGAGGGTATAGAAGGCTGGTTTCAACATATTAAATGATGGAGAGAGTGATTTCTTGGGGGGCTTCGAATTTAGAATTTGGTGATGAGGAGGAAGACAAGGACGACTTGTTGAGATTGCTCAAGTTATAAACAGCTTGAGAACCTTGACATGTGAACGGCTTACTGTGTACGTCAGATCGACCTCAAAGAAGCTTAGTTACGAAATGGTATGATTCGAGGCGTCCAGCGATAGCTAGCTGCCTCCCCGGCAAGACAAGGAAGTGTTGCGGGGAAACCGCGATCACGTGAACTTATCGATTACACGAACGCAAAGTCTCGCCATAGATCTTTCACCCTTTTCTGCTAAAGTTTGTAGTAATTTGAAATCATTTGATTTTGATTGTCATTGAGAGCTAGGAAAAGTCTGCCACTAGGCCCCAGATTCTCAGTACACTCAACACTAAAGAAGCCATCTCCGGTACATGTAGCCCACAAGTCTCTTTTACGTATCTTTGATCTTCTATCTGCTGGCTAGGAGGATGAGGAGGGTAAGAAGACAAAGCTACTCCACGAGACCCGGTGGGGTATCTACCGGATGGGTGTGAACTATTGCTTTACGCTCATAACGCGGACATTTCTTGAATTCCGTTGATTTGGGCATAGTACGGCCTGCTATAAAGTATGGCGACAGTCCTCGAAGGAGCAGACCAGCTGGCAGTACATATTTGCTATGGAAGTGGTATGTTCGTCGGTGGTGTGAGTGATGTATTGGTACTTCTGGTGACTTTCTAGTAGAGTGCGTCCAAATGACTTCTTAAGGAGCACACACTAGTTTATAGTACCCGGTGAGCTTTTGATACTAAAGCTGTTCTCACTGAAAATATTTTTATATACTGCGTCGTCAAGCACCTCACTCTTTCATCTTACGTGTCACTGCGTAGACAACATTTCTCATGACAGCGCACTGTCCGGGTACCGCTGGGATTCACTCACTTTGTAAAGCTACCTTCATACCGCACATACTGCACTCATCTATTTCTCCTTTGCTTTTCAGATCCACAGAGTCATTATCACCGCACCAACCACTAACAGCGCCCACCCACACCCAAGACTCACTCACCAACATCATCATGTGTTTCACATCACACACCGAGTTCTACTCCTGCGCGCACAGAGTCTGGTACAATCACCTCCCCTGCGCAAGACAGCGCGAGTTCTCAGGACTCAGGCCTTGCGTACCGACTCCGAAACCGGACGTGCATCATCATCACGAGTGCCCGGAGTGCCGCGAGCGCAAGAAAGAAGGACTTCCCCCAGAGCCCCTACAATTGACTGCTGCCGATACTCCACCGCATGAGCCAGAGGTCAAGTGCACGGCTGGAGCGTGTAGGCCATTGCCTTCGCAGCTCAATCCGACTCACTTGAAGAAGGAGGAGTGGGAGTTCTGAGGAGATGATGCTTGCGTGGAAGCTCGCGTGTGCTTAGCATCAATGCTCTGGTTTGACTCTTCCACCTCTTAAACTCAGACTCTTGATTTATTTTTCTATTCTATTCGTGTGTCTCACTTGTTGAGTCTTCGTTTCAGTGTTATTACTTTTGAAGAAGGGGGAGTAGAAGTTTCGCGGAAATGGCGTTTCCGTAGGGGCACGCAGGCGCTGAGCACCAATGCTCAAGTATGACCCTTCCACCTCTTTAATTCGGCCCTTTGATTCACATCTCCTCACCCTTTACGAGTTTCATTCGTTGAGTCTTCGTTTCATGATTCTTACTATATTCAGTCAGCAGGTATGTGATGCGTCAGTGGCCAATCTCCTACTGGTATAAGTAGACCTAATCCTGAACATTCTCAAGCACCAAACTTCGAACCAGTACTCTAGCTCAAGATCAAGTTCCAATAACTTCCAACCGTCTTCAACAACCAATCTTGTCGAAACCAGCCGTTTCAAACCCGACTTTTTCAAACCCACCTCTGAGCACACATAATCCTTTACTCTTGACCGACTTGTCAACGACCTTCGACTTGAAGCCCGCCTATCCTACTTTACTACCTCCACTACGAAAGAAACCGTCTGCGATTGTCACAATGGGCGTCACATACTACAGCGTCTACTTGCTTTGTTTATGCGGGAAGCAGGACGAGGAATACCTAGATGAGACCATATCGCATCCCTCAGAGGACCCCAATATAGAAAACGGCACCGAAATTCTATATCACATGCATGGATGCTCCGATTGCCAGGCACGAGTCGAAGCGGGAGGCGAAAATGTGATCCAGAGGATTAAGGAGCTTCTCAAAAACACAGAAACCGGGACGCGAGTCGGAGACCGACATCGCAACTGTGAAGACTGTAAAAGCGTCGCAGAGCTCGTGAACCCTGTTTACAAGGCGCTGGGCATATCTGAAGAGCTGCAGGATAGCGATGCCGGTAACGTTTCTTCATCGGAAGCAGGTCTTATGATGGCAGCCGGCAAAGGGAAGAAGAAGGCTGCTGGGTCTTCTTAGGAGTCGTGGATGCAGGGGTGCATTTTGTGGACCGATTTCTTTTTTTCGAGGCTTTATGTCTCATGATCGCATATCTTTCACCAACACGTCCGTAGGATATGTCTAGATCGAGTCTTTCTTTCTTGTTTTCGGGGGCAGATGGTGGAGTTTGTGGGCCATTTCATTCATACATACCTGTGTTCCTCCTACATATTTGTCTGGTACCAACACGTCTTTAGGGCGTGTCTAGATCGAGTCTTTCTTTGTTACTTGTTTGGCGATGGAGGTGCTAGGGAGGAGCTTTGTCTTGTTTCCAGTCTCAATACTCTCTTTAAATATGAGAACGATTCCATATGGCCTGGAAATGTGGACGCGTGATGATGATATGACTGTTATATCCTTTCAGAGACCAATAACATGAAATAACGAGGGAGTAAAATAAGGCAGTCTACGAGAAGTTTCAAAATCCTTAAATCGACCAGTATGGTAAGACGTGGCATGCTGAGAAAAAAGCGTTGAACGTAGATGCGTAAAGTGCTACACGTACCGCGCGATGAGCTGCAGAATTTTGGAGGATTGGAGTGGTTGAAGAACGGTGGGTTCGCGAAATCATCAACCACGAACCCGAAGGACCCATCCATTAGGCCTGATAAGAGAGTCGAAAGTGCACCGAAATGTGAATGGCCATTAGCAGAGAAGAAAACCGATCCAGGAACTCGCGGTAAAGCTAACTCATCCCAGAGAACCTAAACACACCCGCTCACCCCCCATACCCCCCATCCAACTTCAGAATCCTCTCCCCAGCCCTCACCGCCACAGCCACAAACACCCCCTGCAGATTCGCCGCCGGAACACCCCCAACAATCCCGGCATCCACAATATGTAAGCCCTCAACCCCACAAACCCTCGTCTCACCATCCACAACAACACCCTTGCGGCACTGCTCCCCCATCTTCGTACTTCCAACCCAATGATTCGAGTTCAGCGCCATATTCGGCGGGAAGTTCTCCTGCAGGTACTCCGCGACATTTTGCCCCTCCGCGAGCATCACGACTATCACGTTCGGTATCCCTCCCACGATCTTAAGAGCATTCTCGAAGGAGGAGACGACGGCCGTGAAGTCAGCGCCGGAGTCGTCATTGAAGTAGGGGACTTGCGTCACATTAACGGTCAAAGGAGTAGAGGGGTCGAGAGAAAGCCCAAGACGGCCACGAGACGTCTTGCTGCGCCCCAGCGAGGCAGTGAGCACCATACCGGTCGTGCCGTTCAATTGGCCGCTGATAGTAGACCACTGGATTTCCCGCGCTATGCCGTCCGTGCCAGTGACGCTGTCCCACCAGAAGGGATTCAAGGGAGGTTCGATTTGGGCAAGGGGGGCTGAGCGATTGGTGAGATACTCCGCGGCGTCTTCTGGAACGGGCGTGTCGAAAGCGCCGACGTAGTCGTAGGTGTCGACGTCTAGGGCTATGATGATGCCGTAGATGCTGGGGTTATCGTCGAGGTTGTGGCCGACGGGGAGGTCGATCCAGTCAGCCTCGTCGACCATGTTGACGCCGTCTGGGCTCCCTTTGAGGAGATAGAGTTAGTCTCTGGGGCCGATACCACTGCGGAAGAGTATCTTGCTGGTGCCGAAGACGCCAGTGGAGAGGATGACTTCGCCGGTATTGGGCGTGACGTTGATGGTTCCTGACCAGCCCGAGGTTGCGACTTGGACCCCAGTGATTTTCTTGCCTTGTCGAATGACACGATTGACGGTTGTGTCTAGCTGTAGCTTGAAGTTCTCTCGTTCACTAGCGCTCACTAGGAAGGTCTCCATTACTCCGCCTCTCTCGCCATGCATAAAGAAGTGCTCAGCGTTCGAAACAGTGCGGTCCTTGGAGTTTGGGAAGTCGTTCGCCTTTTTAAGCTCATACGGTGGGTCCGCGGATGTAAGTGCTTTCTTGAGGATATCTGCGCCTTTCTGCAGATACAATCCCCCGTCCGACGATGGTCTCTCTGTCCCTGGGAGACGAGCGAACACCTCCTCGGTCGGTGCTCTCATCTTGGCAGATTTCCAGCCAGCGGGTATGATGGTGTCCCAGTCACCACTTCCAGGCTGTAAACTAGTTAGTCAGATACTTTGGTAACTCATGCTGCGGCGCTGAGTTCATGTACAGAAGACGTTCGCGCTGACCTTCCACCACAAGCCTGCGTTGATAGCCGTGCCGCCTCCAAGGACGCAACTGGCGGTTGCTACGTAGTCTGAGCAGAGTACGTTGGCGCCTGCCGCTTCGGTAGGGTTCGCCCATATGTACTGGTACAATGCCGGTACGTCGAAGCGCGTGAGATTGCTGCCTTCAAGCCATTTTGGCCGGAGCTCTGATCACGGCGGTCAGTCCACGAGCTGTAGAGGCGTGAATGCACTGGCAGTGTTAGACTTTACGTACTTCCACCCCAGCGGTAGGAGGATGCAAAGCCTCGCTCAAGGAGCAGGACGCTTTTACCACTTTCGGAGAGTTTGTCCGCAAGAGGGATACCAGAGGCGCCACCGCCAACTACTATGTAATCCCATGTGGTATTCGAGATGGACGATGTTGCTGCCCTTGGGAGATCTTTGGATGCTCGTCAGCGATCTGAACAGTCTTTTCTAGGTGCGTCTTGGTGAAGTTACTCACACCGTAGAGTGGAAAGTGCGCCAGCGACCAGGAGGTAGTTGAAATACATGACGGCGAACCCATTCCGATTGGACTTCTGCGGATTTCAGACAAGATATGCGAGAGGGTGGCATTCACATATTTGCCATCAGCCAACACGAGGCTAGGACAGGCTGTGTAGACTACCAATAGGAAGGATAACGATCCTGACTTGGATGAAGTCTCTCGAAAGGGAAACGAATACGGGGTGAAGGAATCCATGAAGTCTGAAGACAAACATTGCTGGAAGGCGAAAGCTAGTAGCATTATATGATACTTAAGTGGGTTTTATTGCCAAGCGGGGTCTGAAATACTCTTAGGTTAATTCTAGCTGGGATAAAAGCAACCCTTGCAAAAGGAGGGCTTCCCGGTTCTCCGAGACCGGTACTCCATTTCCAGGTTATGGGGGCCGATGGCGCTGTTCCACGAACCAGTCTCCTGTCGTTCAGTCAGGAAACAAGGGGGGGTTGCATACGAAAGCTAGGCTCGTGGATTTCATCCGGTTAAGCGATAGGATGACGGGACATCCAAACCTGAGAGACTAGCCGATTCCCAGTCAACCCCCTTCACAGCTTAGACATAGACATACCAGCATTAGAGCCCCGCAGCGCGAAGCGATCTTTCATTAAGTTATGGTACAGAAGTGTTGCATCATGATAGAAGCGCCGGATCTTCCGGCTACCTCCATATCCGTCTTTTGCGCCGGTGCCAGTCTCTGGCTGGCTTTGATAAATCTTGACGCTCTGCTCGAATGGTCCTTTCGGTGATCTGGAACGTCGGGGGTGGAACTTCTGGGGCAGCTGGTGGTGGAGTTGCTGGAGGCGGACTGCTCCCTCCCTTCCGACTCAGTTTCAGCGATAGGAGGATGAACATTCCTGCCACCAGGATCACTAGCAGAAGCATAATCTTCCTCTTCACGCTTCGTTTCTGGTATCCTGTAGCGACAGTCAATTCCTTGTCCGCAGCCTTTACGTCCGTTGCCATGCGCTCCACGTTGTAATCGATTCGGTCGAGCATGCTACCTTGGTCAATGACCATAGTTTGTAGCTCCTGGAAAATGTTGGCCAGCTCGATGATGCCCTGGGCAATGTCCTCAATCTCGCGCTCGCGTTGTGCGATTAGAGTGGCATTCGGGTCATGTGTCAGCCTTTTCTGGGCGGTTTGTAAAAGCGTCGATTGCGAGAATGAGCGATCTGCGTCGGATTCTTGAAGGGCCGGGTCGTTATATGGATTTTGGATAGGAGTTATGGAGCGGAGGCCGGAGGGCGAGGCGAGGCCTCCAAGGGCTCGAAGTTCTAGTTTAACAGTCAGATACAGCGGTTGCCATGTTGGGTTGGGAGGAGCCTACTCTTGAGATACGCAGACTGCTTCTTGCGGAACATGGCGCTGACGTCTCCTACCCGTGAAGCCAGGGATATCTTGAGATTCTTGGCCATGGTCTCCTCGCCTTTGCTGATGGTGCCATTCTGCTTCGAGTCTCGCACCATCTTTTCAATACGCTTAATTGCTTTCTGGCAGCTCTGAAAGCCACGCGTGATCTCCTGGGTCAACTGTTCAATCTCGCGCTCCTCCCGCTTCTTCACGTCTTCGTCGTCGAAGCCGGGCAGAACGTGCTTCTGGTGGAGCTGCTCTAGGCGCCGGTTCTGCTTGGATATCTCGGCCAGGTACTCGGTGACCTCGTCCTGGATGTCGAGCCACCGCGGAGGCAGCAGATCCATCTCTATCACCGCATCGCCGTCGTCTTCAAAGGCCCCGGCGGACATGAGCCCCCTACGCTCGTCGCCAGCGTCGTCGCCGAACCCGTTCGAGGGTCCGCCATACCGTGGCTTCTTCTGTGGATGATGCGAGTAGGATTGGCGGTAGGAAATGAAGCTGCATCAAATGTCAGCTCGTATCTGGGCATCGTCTCAAGGGAGTTCGGCCACGAACAGATTGGTGCGGTCCCGCCACATAGCGTCGGGGTGGAAGAGCGGCGGCCCTTATGGCATTGCAGGTGTCGAAGGCGCAGGTCCGCAGGAGTTCAGGAGCTGGCAACGGTCAAGCAAGAGAACAACGTCGGCCTGGCGTGGCTGGTGGCCTGTGGTGCTCGCGCAGAGCCGCATCGCAGCGGTCACGTGTCTGAGCGTAATTAGGGGTCTTTTCCGCCGCTTTCCACCCTATTAGGGGCAGTCGCAGTGCGGCTAGAGCCGTTTGGAGCCCCCCGCCAGGCCATTTCCTTCCTCCGTCTCAGCCCAAGGCCTCTCTTCAGCTTCACCATCTCCTGCACACTCCTACCACCGACCGCTCACTGTCTCTCCTGCATCCATACCGACTCACGTCTCGCATCCTCGACCCCCCCGCGACACCTACCCAGCAATGGTGCGTTGCCCTCTGACGTTGTGGAGACATACCCCGCCTTCGAAAACAACAAGATAACGTTGTTGGCCTGCCTCGTTCGACCGCGCTGACACCGTTCTCAGGCTGACTCTCTCACCGAGGAGCAAGTCTCCGAGTTCAAGGAGGCATTCTCGCTGTTTGTACGTCTCCCCTTTCCTTCGCGCTGCCGCCAATAGTGGCTGCCTGATTTGATTTTGGTTGATTGCGTGCCTCCGCTGACGCTGCCGCATTAGGACAAAGATGGCGATGGTCAGTATCCTGTTTACTACTACGAGCTCTTCTTCCATGGCGCCTTGGGCCGTTGGCATCTATGTTGGCGCAAGGCTCTGATTCCCACCGTTACTCCTACGCTCTGTCGATCGGTCATGCGAGGCCCCACTGCTTTCAGCCGCACGCGAAACCCACATCGTGCTTACATTAGAGAGGATGCGGAATGCTGATGGCGGATTTTCCAACAGGGCAAATCACAACGAAGGAATTGGGCACCGTCATGAGGTCCCTCGGCCAGAACCCCAGCGAGTCCGAACTACAGGACATGATTAACGAAGTGGATGCCGACAACAACGGCACCATTGACTTTCCAGGTACATCTCACGGACGATATTCGTATGTTCAATGCTGATCGCGGCATTATCTAGAGTTCCTTACCATGATGGCTCGCAAGATGAAGGATACCGACTCCGAGGAGGAAATTCGAGAGGCTTTCAAGGTCTTCGACCGCGATAACAACGGATTCATTTCCGCCGCTGAGCTACGCCACGTCATGACGTCCATTGGCGAGAAGTTGACCGACGACGAGGTCGACGAAATGATCCGAGAGGCTGACCAGGATGGCGATGGGAGGATCGACTGTAAGCATGGTGACCTGACAGCACCATCACTCTGCTAATTATAACCTAGACAACGAGTTCGTGCAGCTTATGATGCAGAAGTAGAGTGGCGCGGGACGGTTTGGCATGGAATAACGACTACACACTCCTCTATGTTGATTTGTTTGAGGGACCTCGGCAATGGTTAAGGGCTTAGTATATCCACAGAGGCACCGGATGCTTTTGAAACTTTGAATTCCTACCCTGGCCAACTCATTTTGTTCCGTGTTTCGATGTCAGATATCCTCAATTCCACCTCTCTCGTGGTGCCCTGTGTTACTTGAATATGTTTTGGTGTAGCCTGTCTAGCTAAGATCCTAAGCTTCTACGAATCACTAGCCAAAGGAGGCCGCTATTATGATGTTGACTAACATGTAGTATGTCAATTGTCCGACGTTTGAGAAAACACTTTTTGACCGTCCTGATGTTTTCCTCAGGTCACACAGTCATCAGTTCAGTCTGATGAGAACCCCGAATTCGAGGCTGTTCTGTATAAAGAACACGGATCCGCCATCTTGAGGGGGTATATGTAATATACACCTTCGATACATCTTACTAAACTTTCCGGAGCACTTTAGCTTCGGACTCGGGTCCGTCCCCGTGAGTCACGTGGAGCTCACGTGGATCTTGCGTATGCACCTAACGAAAAGTCATGATCTAATGTACAAATCCGAGTAAAGTCGATACATACTAGGATGGCGCGCAATATAGTGAGTGCTCGAGACGGAGCTTTTTATATCTTGTCGTGTCGGTCTGACGGCTCACAGACAGCTGGAATTGTGGCCAACACTTACTGGTTTAGCACAGCTATGAGCACGTCTGACTTACTACAATGTTCTTTGTTAAGTTAACGAGTTTCCGAAATGGCGAACTGAGCAGGGTGTCGTGAGCGGCTTTCACATTCCAGCCTGATCCGGGAACTGCATTCTTTGTGTCGCTTGTCCCTCAGCCACGTTATCGAAGTCGGCATCAGGAGACTTCAGATGGGAACAAAGAGCGCCGGTCTCATCTAGAAGTGCCAATATGGGAGCTTCTCATGTTTGCTATACTTGTTTCTTTTACTTCTCCAACACTCGCTTCTCTGTGTCGTCGACCGAGACATACCTGCAGAAATCTGTCTCTGAGATTACTTTCGGGATTTTCTCTTCTCGAGCTAAGACGTGGGGACATCAAGTATTCAGATACTTGAGATTGTATGTAATAGCCCGTAAGAGATACCAGTCTAGTAGGAGCATGCTCTGACGTGTCTCTAGGACCGATGCAACGCACTGAATTGAGTTTATCTAACGTGGACTTGACTACCATCCATAATGGACTCCGGCCAATCATCAAGTGCGAGCCAGGGGAATGTACTTTTCAACGCCCCGCAGATACCGGGACTAGGAGCCAGCAACTTGTCTCCCAGCTTCAATATCTTTTCGATGAGTGACAAACAGACGCCCACCAGTGGGAACTCTCCAAATACGAATGCAGGGTTCACATCACCACTTCAGAAGTCCACATTTACCGATAACTCAAAAAATATCCTATGTCGCCAACCAGACAACATTCTCCGAGGGATATTCTTGCAGTGCGGTCGCGAGGCCAGCTACCTCCTACGGAGCACCTGCAAATACTTGTACCATACTCGGGCAGCTGTGTCTCTTGAAGGACAGTACTACGAACCGTTCACCTACGCCGACTGGAAAGGCTTGACCCAGCAACAATGGCAGACGGGTACAGACCGCAAAGCAATTCTCGGCCTCAATCGCAGACCAGGCCAGAAACAACGGGGAAGACAACGATGGCTAGATTTCAAAGCTGCCATTAACAAATATGACGAAAGCCGTTGGGCTGTCCGACGCATTGCTGTCTCTCACTGGATGCTCCTAGATGACTTCCGCTGGATCGCGAAGGAGCTTCCGGCGTTGGAAGCGCTGGATTTGAGTGACCTGAGCGACTGCGTCTGGTATCCTGAGGATACAGACGATGAGTATATCTCACCTTCAGATGGGTACGGCTTCAAGTCTAAGAAGCACTCCATCTCGTATAAGCGGGAAAGGATCATCGATGACTCTTATCCGCCTTACTGGGACGAGATCGAGCGCGCTATCGTGGATGCTGGGAACTGGCCTGTGAGGCTGTCCGATGACAATCTCAGGCTTCTTCCCGAGCTCACCGATGCCGAGAGAGCACGGTATCGGGCTGCTGCTGACCCTCTATATGCGGATGCCAAGAACTGGGCCACAGATAAAGCTCGTGCTGAAACGGCTGGAGCGCAGTTGACTAGCCTGAGCATGCAGATATTAGCACGGGAGTCTTTTTGGGACGACCAAGAACCCCCGACTGGGATTAAAGCGAAGGTGGAAGGGGCCAAAGAAGCTAGTAAATCTGATGGTAAATATCAAGCCCCCCAGAAGGAGGGAATGTATGGGCTGGAAAACAGCTTTACAACTCAAGAGCCCCCGGACGACTCAAGACGCCGCGCTCTCATCAAACCAAAAGAGCCCCCGAGCCTGTTCAAGAGATTGAAATGGCTGAGCCTCAGAAACTGGGCGGATATGCGATATCATCAGCTTGCACGCTACAAGTCTGAGCCCGGAGAATCTTGGGATGATTATACTTTACGGAAGAGCGATATGCTGAGGCCGACCTACGGATCCTGGACGTTCATGAACAAGTGCGTGAACCTGGAAACGTTGTCGATACGGGGCTTCTACGAACCGGATGATCAAAAGACAACGCCGTCGCAAGTCCACTGGAATATCTGCGCCTTCATTGATTGCCTTGTCGAGACTGTCTCCCCAACGGTGTCCAGACTGGAGTTGCGGCAGTCTATGGAATGGCTAAGCCTGCTCCTAGAGCACATCGCCTCTACGACAAATATCACCAAAGTCGGCATAGATCTCGGAGCGTGGCTGCAGACGTATCCCTTGGACGCCTACAGCAAATCCAAACTCGAGAAGCCAAGGCCGCTCAATATCTCAGCACAAGCCATTGCAGCCAGTGTGCATAATGAGATCAATATGGAGGAATTACGCTGCGAACGAAGGCACGAAGCTATAGTAGAGCGTAATGACTTCGACAGAGCGAGAACCGCTGCTCAGTGCCTTGGCCGAATCACCAGAGCTTTCGAAGTGTGGCTAGCTATCAAAGCGTTTCCGCTCTCGCCAGAGATTCCAGACACCAGAGAGATTGAGGCTCAACCCTCGACGTATAAGAATATCCTCTGGCCCAATCCATCCTGTACGTCCGTTCTATCTCCACTAACGTTAGTCGAGTGGTTCGACGCAGCCAGAAGACCAGTCAGAATGGGCGATTGGGGTACAAATGCCCAGGACATATCAGCCACAGACTTTCGCCCAACTTTCCGTCTCCACATAGTCTTCAAATGGCTACACGACAACCTCAACTGGCAGCCCATATTCGACTGGACGCCCCTAATCGAACACACCCTCCCAACCCACGACCCATCCCCTCGCCTCCCATCCCCACCCGTCCCCACCTCCCAACAGCTCGCCTCAATCCAATCCTACTTCGAAATGCTCCGCGACGCCTCCATCCCCCTCCACCTCCTCCTCGGCAACCGCCCCAACCACGCCTCCACCCTCTACTGGGGCTCCCCCTTCCACCCCACCCCCTGGCAAACCTGGCTTACGACCCCTTTAAACCTGCACCTCAAACCCATCGCGCCCCTCGTCCGCACCCTCAGCATCTTCTACGCCCTCGCCGACCCCCTCGACCGCTCCACCCTCTCCGCTATCGCCGCCCGCGACCCCCTCCTCGACACCATCCCCTTTTCCACCCTGGCCCGCCGCACCTCCGCCCCCGGCGGGCCCCAGATCATGGCCAACAAAGCGCCCCTCGCGCCGCGGCGGCGCCGCCGCCTCTCGCCCACCCCCGTGCTCTGCGCCGCCGGCTGCGCCCTCGCGCCGCCGCCCGGCGCCATCCCGCTACCACTGCCCCACACGCGCGTCGCCGGTGGGCCCGACGCCGCGTTCCCGGACCCGGACGCGCAGGACTGCGCCTCGCTGCACCACCTCGGGCGCGCCGCGGCGTACGAGCGCGAGGCGCTAGGGTGGCAGCGGTTCTGGAAGGCGTACGCGCTCGACTTCACGGGGCTGATGGTGCTGCGGATCCGCATGCCGAAGAGCTTCGACTACGTGAGCAGCTGGCGGTTGGCGCGGTTGCTAGACCGGGAGGTCGGGTGGGGGATGTTGGTTTATTTTGATGAGCGGGTGTATGGCGGCGGTGGGGGGGAGGTGGGGTTGGTGCCGCCGGAGGGGGGTGCGGCGAAGGTGAGGAATGTGCAGCCGGTGCGGACGAGGCCGGGGTTGACGTTTGTGCGGAGGAGTTGGGTGTGGGATGAGAGGTGGTTGAGGGAGGAGAGGGAGAAGGGGGGCGTGAGTAGGTTGAAGAGGGTGGAGTTTGGGGTCAGGGCATTTGGACAGGGGGATTGGGATGCGACGGAGGCGGAGGAGGTCAAGGGGGAAAGGAAAGCGCAGAATCGGGCGGAGAACGCGAGGAGGGCGGAGGCTGGGTGGTTGAATCTGGTGGAGAGGGCGAAGGTTGCAGCGGCGAGGGAGAGGGAGGCGGCGAGGGAGAGGGAGGCGGCGAGAGCGAGACCACAGCCTGTTCGGACGACGACGACTGGGGAGGTGCCGTTGGGTAGGTTTGGCCCAGTCCGGGCGAGCTATGTCCACAGTGCCGAGGGCGTTGACGCGGATTTAGATAATCCAAACGGGCCACGGAACAGCATCACGATTAACGGCATCACGTTTCAAGCGACTGATAGCCAAGGCTCGAGCCAGGACGAAACGACGGATGCAGAGCCTGAGAGACCACGGCCCCCGCAAACGCAACATCGAGCTATCCGGCTACGTGCAAACGAGCCTGTCCAGCAGGGCCGACTGGAACCTCCTCCAGATCTGATGGCAGAGTTGGAACGCCCAGAAATGGGCGATATGGTGCTAGAAACCGAGTCTGGGGTGCAATTGTTCTTCTCCGCAAATCCGCGTGGCGGTGCGTCTACCACACAAGCAGATCTGAGCGAGACACAGAAAAGAACACAGGAGACCAACAGGGAGATCAACAGGATTTCAGCGGAGACGGAGAAAATTGCGCGAGAGGCAGAAGATAAGGCTGAGGAAGAGCGCCTTCAAAAGCTCTTAGAGGAGAAGCGCAGGGAGTTTCATGAGGCGAGGAGGCGAGAAGAAGAGAGGCTGGCGGCGGAGATGGCGAGACAAGCTGCTGAAGCAAAAGCGGCAGAGGAGAAGCGGAAGCAGAAGGAGGTAGAAGCTGCGTGGGAAGAAGCTGAGTGGGCGAGAGAAGATATGGAGCGGCGGAAGGCTGAAGAGGCAGAGAACAGGAGAATCGCTGCGGAACTGGCGAGACAAAACGCAGAGAGCGCTAGGCAAGCAAAAATCGCCGCGGATAAGGCAAAAGCTGAGCGCGGATTGAGAGCTGCCCAAAAAGCAAAAGAAGACGAAGAGCAACGGGCTATTGAAGCGGAGGAGAGGAGGCACGCCGAGGAAGAAAAAGTAAGACAGATAAGGGAAGTGGAGGAATTGTGGAGACGACGGGAAGGGAAAGAAAGAATCAGAGACAAGGAAAGGAGGATTAGGGAAGAGGAAGAGGAAGAAACGAGATCGGAAGAGGACAGAATAGTCCGAGAGAGCGAGGAGGCTTTCGAGCAATTCGTCGAAGACCATAAGGATAGAGGCGAGGATGTGAGACGGGGTTTCTTGGCAAGATGGGCAATCTCCCTTGAAAAGTGGTTGGCCTCGAAGCAGACTAAGGTTGTATATGTACAGATACAGCCCGAAGAACAGCCTCAGGAGCATCAACCTCAGGAATCCCCAAGATCTCAAGAATCTCCATCTCCTCAAGAGTCTCCACCGACTCAACAACCTTCCTCAACTCACGAGTCCCCACCGACTTCCCCACGGCTACCAGTATCCGAGATGCAAACGGAAGATATTGTCCACGAGGTCAATCAAGCAGAAGAGAACATCACCCCCGAGGAGGTCGAAGTGATCAGACAGACATCTGAGGAGATTACCCCCAAGTCTAGAAGGAGGTCTTCAAATCTCACCAAGCTCGTGCAAAAAAGGCAAGAAGCCGAGCAAAACTTAGAAAAGGCCAAATTAGAAATGAAGCAGATCAAACTGCGTAGTCCGGTCCAGAACGCTGCCACCGAAAAAGCAACGGATACCACTGAGCAAGTTATAGATACTGCCGACCAAGTAAGGGTCACAGTAGAGCAAGTCAAGACAGCTGCCGAAGTAGCAGAGGAAGCCGCAGAGCGCCTGAGAGAAGAGCAGGCGCTCATGGTTTACAGAGTGCGTGCAGTAGTGGCATATGATCAGGTGGCGACGGCAACCAACGAGGAAGAGAAGAGGAGATTCGAGGCGTTTGCCCGGGCGGAGACAAAAGGATTGAGATGGGTGCATGAGATAATCCGCGAGAAGAGAAGGAGATCGTCAGAGATCCGACGCCTCTTCTGTCCTCCGCTAGAAGAGGAGCTCGTGGTTGATCTGCCAGAGCTACACCCTGTGGAAAAGGAAAAGGAACCCACTCCGCCCATAAAGACAGAACCTACCGAGTCGAAGTACAATAAACAGACTGTCAAGGAGCTTAGAGCGCTGCTGAAAGAACGCCAAATCCCACAGACCGGGATGAGCCGCAAGGGACAGATTGTGGAGGCGCTTGAGGAGGCAGATAGGGCTGCTGAGGCCGAGGGTAGTGGGAAAGCCAACCAAGGTATGAAGCGAACTCATGAAGACACCACACAGGAGGGAGAGGAAACGCAGCCAAATGCCAAGAAAGCGAAGCCTGCTCCGGCAAAGGCGAAGACGAGAAGGAAAGCGAAGATAGAAGATGCAGAGTACACGCCTGAGCCAGAGGCGTCTCCTCCACCAAGACGAAGTGCTAGAATTAGGGGTAGTAAGGTGAAGACTGAGGACTGATTTCGCTGATTATTTCAAGTTTTCTTTTTAGTTTAAAGCTTTATCATGTAGGGTAACTATCCAATTTATAAGCAGCTTTGAATGCACATCTCGTACAAACATGGCCGAGTATGGCAATAATCGTGAGGTTCTACCAAGCCAGCTACTTCCAAGCCATGCCACTAATCGCTAGATTCGACGAGCCCCGTGGGATGTACATCGTACGCGTCCTTAAATGGCATTCCCATTTATTGATCGTGCTCGGTAGGTGTGCCTCGATGTCGATATCTTCCATGTTTTCGGGCAAATGGAAAGCAAGATATAGTTCTGTGAGTTGAGAGGCCTTGATGAACATCAATAGATCCATTAACACCTCGATCTTTAGTGTACCGCCAGAGTGCACCTTTAACCGCCGCAGTGTAGGGCAGTGTGCACCCATTGCCGCGATCATCTCGCTGGTGAGGTACGGCGAGTCGCCAGAGTCAGACATATGAGCAATCTCGAACGATCGAAGGGGGTTAATAGCTTTAAGAATGTTTGGCGTGATGCTGGGTAGATCGGGCGGGCCCGAGGCGTTATCGTTACGGGAGGGGAAGCCGTAGAGAGAGGGGAAACCATAGAGAGCCAACGAGTCCAGATGTTTGAGATTCTGAAGGATGGGAAGCGCAGCGACAGCAGGGGTTGAAGAGAACCCTTCGAACTGAAGAGCTCGTAGTTCAGGGAGGGATGAGAGAAAGTCCATGGGCAGTGGATTAGACGGGTAGGTCAGGTTGTGCAGGTCCGGGCAGGCCACTGCGATCATGGAGTGAAGTAGTGTGAGCTCTAAGTCCCAACGCAAGGGGAATGACCCAGGATACGAAGGGCCATGGATGATTCGGAGGATGCGGAGAGTCCGGAGAGTCTTCAGCGTCGACCATGTCTCGGCGATGCTGCCTTTCTTGGGTGGTGCATTTCCATGAGGCGTGAAGAGTCGAAGGCCTTGCGAAAAAGAGGCATAGAGCAGCTTCTGCTCAGACGGTAGGGGGCGATGTAAGCATGGCGGTGCTTCCTTGACTTGGGTTGCGTACTGATACTCCCACCACTCTGCCGTGTTGGGCTGCATCTTGGCGGGGTTGGAGAAATAGTTTGACAAGCATCCTGCGAAGCCTGAGAGAGAGTCGTTGTGTAAGTGGATGGAGATATCCTTCACGAAAGGCACCAGATTTGGCGGGGCTTTTGTGATCCATTCTGCTAGGCGAGGAAGACTGCTGAAGTGGCGAGGCTGCTTGAGGAGCACCTCGGTAGACTCGCTGCGGATCTGGCGATTCGTTAAGGTGATTGCGGAGTAGTTGTACAAATGGCTTGGTCTGTTCTTGTCGAGGAGCTCTTCGTATATCTGGACGCGGAGTTCGACTGGCAAGGCAACAAACGGCGAGTACTGCGTTGCCGACATCGTGAGAGTAGGAGGCTGTGGAGGAGAGAAGTTGAATGATCCAAATGCTCAATGGTCGTTATGGTAAGAGCGGGACGTGTGGCACGGCGCGCTGGTGGCGGTCCCGGTATGCAGTGCAACAGCCTTGAAGTACCTAGTGGGGCGCCTGAATCTTCAGCTAAGGAGCATTAGGGCGGTTTTGCAGTGCGACTCACGTGACTCCCTGCGATTCAAAAGCGGCAGATGGACCGCAGTATTGAGCACATAGGAGGAAGAAATATGCCAAAGGATTGAAGGGCAGTAAGCTGTATTTATAGCGGCCATACCTAAGGCTCGTTCATGGATTGTCTTAATGGATGTGCTGACATTCTAAGCATATGGTGGCTTGAGAGTCGATAAGATCAGGCATTGAATTAGCGGCATGATTGGTCTCCAGCCTGTGCCCTGCTTCATCTTATTGACATTGCGTTGAGCCATTACATGGACTCCAATCAGATGGACTGAGAGGCGAGAAGTGCGATCAGCCAGGTCGCCTTGCTGGGATTCAGGGACTAGAATAGGATAATATCGTCGCAGTGAAGGATGATTCGACCGAAAGCAAGGTCGAGCAAGTTGCAAGGCGTTCTCAGGCCTCGAAGTGTCCGGCTGGCACCCGTTTTGATATATCAGTAGTATGCTGTGGAGTTGGAGTACAGACGGAGTGTCGATGGAGTGAATATGGAGTGAATTTGGATGCAAGGTAGTTAGCCGTTGTCAAGCACCTAGGAGGGGAGGGCCTGTGCACCACCTAACTCCGAACGTCATGTCGATGTCGAGGTTAAGCTTTGCTCGCGGGCTGCACCTCACCACCACGCTTTTCCACCGCAATTCACCACTCCAATGCTCGACTACGCAAAACCCGCCTTCCGATCACCCTCGCCCTCGTAGCGTGTAGGGTGCCCTTCGCATCGCTGTCGACTTCCAGCATCCTACGATCCGGCTATGGCGTCGTCCTCAGCCACTGAAAGCACGCCGCTGATCTCCTCACTGGCCCATCTCCAGCCTTCGAGCCAGCCCATTTCCCCCAAGCCGCAACGGAACGTGACATTTAGTTCTACCGTCTTAAGCAGCAGCCCTACTCCCCAGCCTACGCCCTTACGGCCATCCTCGCACTTCCCCGTGGCCTCCGCCGTGTCCACAGTGCCTAGCCATCATGGCGGGCAGCCAATGCTATCAACCCTCAACAGCAGGCTTCGAAGGCGAAACAGTTCAGGAGCGCCTGCCATGACACCTCATGTCCCCGCCCCCAAGCTCGGTCCCCAGAGAACAACAAGGATTGTCCAGAAGCTGAAGCTTTTGCCGGATCCGGAACACGGCGAAGATGGGCCTGATGAAGAAAGCGGGAGAGACGTCTATGCCCAATATACTCGCATAAAGGATCCTACCGCCCGGCGAGATGCTGCGCGGCTCGGTAAGGCAGATCGAGAACGCCTGCCGAGAGTCACTGCATACTGTACAGCAGGTTCCTACCGGATGGACGACCTGATGCGATTTCTGAAAGGAAAAGCTAAGCTAAGAGGTGCTCTTCCGAAACTCTTCGACGAGTGTATATACACGCCGTATAATTATAATCACTCAAAAGCACCAGACGTGCACGCCGCCAGCTCCAGCTCGCAAGAGGACTTCCCTCCACAGGAACGACAACGTCGGTTTTCAGACAGCGCCATTGAGGTGGAAGCTCACAGCGAGCATAGACGGGACCTAGTAGACCTGCACACGCAGGGCGGAGACATAACTTTGGACAATGGAGAGAGTTCGGTCCCAAACCACACGGCGTTGGAGATGGAACAGCCATCGGAACCTACGTTGGATACCCTAGACTTTGATACGCAAGTGCATACGCCGGAGGTATTCCTATTTGATTATGGCACAGTGGTTATCTGGGGGATGACACTATTGCAAGAACAACGATTTCTAAAGGAAATTGCCAAGTTTGAGGGCGAAAAGCTTGGTAAGGACGACGTGCAGACGGAAGATTTCAACTTTTATTATACCCGGGAGTACCAAGCGAGAATCTACAACGACTTTATCAGCTTGAGAGACAAGAAGAACTACATGACAAAGCTGGCCATTAGTCATGCATTGTCGCAGAGTGTCAAGGTAAGCGTGCAGCTGTATCTGCCATGAGGAAATGTCTAACAATTGCCGCAGACTTCATTATATGAGGACCTTGTAGACAACACCATTGAAACAACCAAAGACATACCTTCGCAAATTGCGGCATCTGGGACAATCAATCTCAACAAGAAGCAAATCAACATGCAAATCGGCGAATTGTTCATTTTGAGGATTAACATCCATTTGCAAGGCTCCGTGTTGGACGCCCCTGAACTGATGTGGGCCGAGCCGCAGCTGGACCCGATATACCAGGCTGTCCGTAGCTACCTGGAGATGGACCAGAGAGTTGGGCTACTCACAGAACGACTCAATGTCATTGGGGATCTGCTTGCTGTCCTAAAAGACCAACTTACTGTGACACATGTAAGTCGCCCACGAATACTACCATGACTTCAATACTGAGTATCTTGTATAGGGCGAGTTGCTTGAATGGATTGTCATTATTCTTATCTTTGCCGAGATCGTCGTCGCTGCGATCAACATCTTCGTCGATTTAAATGCCGCCGATTGATAACATGGACCCGATGCCTCCCTTTGTAAATATCCTGTCTTTCTTCTATATCAAATGGGGGTTGCCTGGGGGTTGCAGTGGCGCCAGGTGTTGCAAATTAGCAGGCGTTGGCTCTCAGCCTGTCATCTGTGTACCTGAACGCCACCTAGGCCTAGTAGCCGGCTCCGTTCTTGATGCGGTTTATTGTGAGATTGATCGAAGAAGATAGTAATAGAGCAATGGAGATATTGTGCTCCAGAACGAATGATTCAAGACTTCTATCACGGTAAATGTCAAATCCACTTGCAGCCAATTCGCGCTTTGCGTGCTGTGACGAAAGCGTTACTCCGTATTGTGCTGTAATTAATCCCGGCAGCCTTCGAGCCGCGCCAAGCTCCGAGCATCCTCCGGCCTTTCGTTCTGCGTCCGATGCTATAATGCGCCCGTCCGCTTCCCTCCAATCTTTCCCAATGATCCGTTCCAGATGAGTTGGAACCTGCTAGAGCGCTTCATAGAGTCGGATCACTTTAATAATGATCCTTCGCTCTCCGTAGCCTACCTCTCGTGAGTCAAGAAGACACCTGGTCCGCCGCCGGCCATAAAACCCCCAGCACTGCCGCACAAGAATGTTTGCTGACGGCACCTTACATGCAGACGATACGCAGATCACGTCGGGATTCACTATGTGCTTTGTTCGAAGCTCCGCCAGTTTGCATACGAGGAGATTGAGTTCTTCCTCCCGCAGTATGTTCCGTCCTCGAGTCCTGGCTGCCAATGCTCACATGTCGAAGGCTATGCCACCTCCTTATCAGCGTCGACAATGAGTCCATGGCCTTGGAGGAATTTATAATAGACTTGTGCGAGGAGTCTGTAAATAGTGCGCTGCTTGTAAGTTGTGGAAACGTCTCCAACTTCCACACCGTCTTTGGATTCACAATTGCTAATCCTTTGTTTCAAGACTTTCTGGCTCTTCCAAACATACCTACATGACCTGTCCGGCGATCCGAATTCGAACTCGTTCAAGACGTGTAGACGGCTGTATAATAAGGTCCAGCGAATTGTCTTTGGATCCGCAGAGCCGCAACGTACGGAGAAGATCAAGGAGAATGTTCTGCCTGTCATGCTATTGTCGAGCTTAGTGCTCACGAGCGTCGCCGCACCTTTTCTACCGCGACATGCCGGACCCCTTGCCTTAGCTCAAGCTCGCAAGCCAAGACCCGTGGAGGATATAATATCGGATAATGTGCAGACACAGAAGCTTGGAAGGAGTCATACGGTTGCTGGCTCGGGGCGGCCAAGGAGGCAGAGAACTCAACCAGGGCATTCGGATTCAGAAGACCAAAAGCCACCGAAGTCTCCGCTACCTCGATTAAAGGAGCCCCAGTCTCCGAAAGACCTGAGACGGAAGGTTATCAGGACCGTTAGCAGACCTGCATCTTCACAACACCGGCCGTCACTGCTCACCACAATGACCAACGAGGGCCGACTAAGCTCTTCTTCGCTCCCAGATTTCAGGAGTGCGGGAGTCTCTCCTATCCCAACACCTCCTGCCACAGCTGGACTAGTCCCGAGACCAGACCACGTGCATCGACGACACTCGCATATTGCTCGACCCCTTACTCCAACGGCTTTACCGCAAGCTCAGAAGGTGCGGCTTTTGAGATCGAACTACTTCCGCAGCGAGACCCAGTTTCTTAGTGCTCTGGAGGACATCTCGAATCGTCTGGTCGTTGTGCCAAAGCCTGCACGTTTGAGTGCGTTAAGAGCAGAATTGGCCCTCATTGCGCAAGACTTGCCCGCCGAAGTCGATATACCTGTAATATGCCCTGCAGCGCTGGAGGATGGGGCCGCGGCCCGAAGCCGGCACCACCGGATAGTTCGCTTGAATCCAGCTGAGGCTACGAGTTTGAACAGTGCTGAGCGAGTTCCGTATTTGTTGATGGTTGAGGTTCTTCGAGAAGATTTCGACTTCGACCCAGAAACTGCATCTAACCAGCAACTCCTTGGCAAGCTCATGCTTGAAAAGGGAACGACGAAACGCCGGTTGTTTGACCTCACAGATGCTTCACGATACACACTGCAAGAAAAATCACCCGCACCGGGCGCAGACAGCGTCTTCGAACCTGCTACAGGAGATCTTGGTAGTACTGAACTCATAAAAGACCCAGTTGAGGAAGAGATATCACTAGGGCTAGCTCGAGTAGCGATGACCAGCAGCAGTCTCGTCAATAAGATACCAGCGCCCAGGTCGTCTAGTGGAGCCAACACAATGTCCTCAATGGCTACTATATCTACTCCAAGGACATCGGACATGGACATGAGCAGAACGAATAGCCCGGGACCCCAGGGACTTCGCAAGATGACACTCGGCATGAGTAACAGGCCCCAGGGCGCTGACCAGCCGGACTTTTCGGCATTAGCGACGCACATGCGAACAGCAGCCCAGATGCTAGCTCAGCTCGAGTCTAGTGGTTCCAAACGGCCGAAGACAGAAGTTGCTGCAATCAAGGCTAAGATTATTGCAAGCATGCAGAGTCTTGAGGAGCAGAACTTCTACGTTGATGATACAAGCAGTCCGACCTTCGACAGCATCATGGCTAGCGCAAATCCCACGGCTGTCACGGCTGAACCTGAAGAGCTCGAAGATGGTATGGAGACAGCGCCCGACCCCGGATCAAGCTCTGGAGCTGGTGCTGCCCGAATGGAGAATGATCTTAAGACGGGTGGCATGCAAAGGAAGGGGGACCGTGACGACCCTAGTGCAGCGACGTTTGGTGAAGAATGGTCAGCCAAGAAAGAGCGGATAAGGAGGTCGTCACCGTATGGCTGGATGAAGAGCTGGGATCTCATCAGTGTCATTGTCAAGACGGGCGCAGACCTGCGACAAGAAGCATTCGCATGCCAACTCATCCAAGTCTGCTCTAAGATATGGCAAGACTCTAACATCCCCGTCTGGGTCAAACGCATGCGTATCCTCGTCACAGGCGAATCATCCGGTCTCATCGAAACCATCACCAACGGCGTCTCCCTCCACTCCCTAAAACGCAGCTTAACCCTCGCCAGCATCGCCGCAGGTACCAACCCTCGAAAACGCATCGCCACCCTCCGCGACCACTTCGTCAAGACATTCGGCGACGTGGAAGGCGAAGGCTACGCCGCCGGTGTTGATGCTTTCGCCCGCTCCCTCGCCGCATACAGCATAATCTGCTACGTCCTGCAGCTCAAGGACCGCCACAATGGCAACATCCTCATCGACAACGTTGGCCACATCATCCACATCGACTTCGGCTTCATGCTGTCGAACTCCCCTGGCAGCATGGGCTTCGAAGCCGCCCCTTTCAAGCTCACGCAGGAGTATGTCGACGTGCTGGGCGGTGTGGGTGCGCCTGCGTTCGAAGACTTCAAGACACTGTGCAAGCGCGCGTTTCAGGCGCTGCGGAAAGATGCTGAGAGGCTAGTCATGCTGGTTGATATGATGGGGAGGCAGAGCAAGATGCCGTGTTTTGCGGCGGGCGTGACGCAGGCGAGTAATGCGTTGAGGGCGCGGATGATGCTGCATCTCAGTAAGGAGGAGGCCGAGGGGTTTGTGGATGAGCTGGTCGCGAAGAGTGTGGGGAGCTATTATACGAGGCTGTAAGTTTTATCACTTCACTAAAAGATATTGATGTCGCTAACTAAAGGATGCAGGTACGACACGTTCCAATACCGTACGCAGGGCATCTACTGAGGACTGAGGCTTTTGGGAGAGATCTGGTAAGGGTAGATTCGAGAACAAGAGGCTCAGCATAGGCGTTGTCATGAGGTTCACGAACTTGCATTCAAGGCGCGATTTAGGGGTAGCATGTTGCGGTATATACATATGCAATAGAAGAATATATTCTTTTGCCGTGGAACACGCCCACTTTGCCATTCTCACAGACAGTTCATTGTGCCGATCTCTCGATTCATAAAGAGAGACTTTTTACGAGTTCGATCCGTATCTGAAGTATCAATGCATTTGGCGTTACATGCAGTAGTGCGCCGTGGTGTATGGCGAGGCAGACCGAGACCAGCGCCAGCTCAGCCTTACACTATTTACGCATTTCCATTTAGTGGTCCATGAACCAATCCCTTACGCTGTGACTACGATGGGATTCTATCGACCTGCTGAATACCGACAGACCGAGCTATAAAGGTCGTGTTTTAGATGACAGCGGTGAGCTCAGCCTTACACATGCTTTGAGCGCCTTGCAGCAATCGGGCGCTTTAGCGGTGGGTCTTCAGCTGGACAGGGGGGTGTCTGAGCCGGGATCCTCAATCACCGAGGGACGGAACGTTTGGTGTTTCACTGGCGTGTGGCTAGGCGGTGGTGAGTGGTGGTTGCTGGGTGCGCGCCGTGGAATGTATGGACGGGGTGTCTGGACCCGAATTGACAGGTGGGTGTTGATATCACACATACCTCATCGCTATGTATGAAACTCCTCGATCTTTAAATCGACAAAAAGCAAGCAGGCACACAGGTACGCCCCAGCACCCCCAGGCCCAGATATCAGGTTTCTGCACAATTACGCAAGGCAAGGCGCTGACAACCACAGACCGACTCTTGCCAAGTCCCCTGCCTCAAACTCCCCCAATCCTATTCCGAATTCAAGTTCTATTTACATCTTATTCCCGTATGCAAAATGACACCCTCGGAACACTGTCCCCGTGAATTAATCCCTCACCCCCTGCCCTGCTCACGGTGCAAGGGTGGCTGTCTTGCTACCCGCCCTGCCGCGTCATCAACACCCCCAGCCCGCCAGTCAAAGCTTGAGCGGGCTTAGCAAAGCTTGGATCGCGCGCCCCGCCAATCAGAAGCGCCGACGCAAAGCTTATCTGGGCTTGCGCAGGCTTGATTGGGGCGTGTGGGCCCCGGGACCGTTTGCAAGTGACACGGTCTGACGGGCTGCAAGCTGCCTTTGCCCGTTCCCGTATCCAGGCAGTGGGCGAATTGGAGGTATCGATTGGGTCTGATGCGGTGACGGGGAGTGGGGAGAGGGAAGGTGCTGGCGGGATGGGGCTGGCTGGCTACGTGGCTCACTGGTTGGGTGTGTGGCCCCGGCTGAGTAGGGATGCGTAATGGGTGGCACATGGCAGGAGGGGCTGAGGAGCTGGGCTGGGGGATCGGGGGGGGAGGAGTAGATAAAGGGTTGCTGGCCTCTTGCTGGGGCAGGTTTCTACTTGACATACATACACGACTTCTCCATCAATCGACTACACCACTTCAAAGCACAGCTGAAAGCTACTACTACCACTTCACCAACACACCGTACGTCTCACTGCTCTCTCCCTTTCTCTCTTCCTCTTCTGTAGGCGAGTTAGAGTTGATAAGAGAATAACTGAAGCTGACCACCCCCTCCCAGACACCCAACCCACACCCACCACAATGCCTGGCTCCGTCTCCTCCATCGTCAAGCCCAAGCCGATCAAGACCTCGTGCGGCGAGAGCTGCGACTGCTGCGGCTGCGACGAGAGCTGCTGGTGCGTCGTCATGTAAACCGCCCCACGCCCAAACCTACCACCAACAAACACATCACATCGACCCGAGTCCCACTTTTTCTTTCTCCGACAACGACATCGACATCAACATCGGCCTTGAGATGGAGTTTTCATGAAGGGATTGGGGGATGGGGGAGATACCGGGGTTGAGCTTGCTTGAACTTTATATGAAGGGGCGGCGATGCGGATATCCAAGTCAGAACTGATCAATTGAACCGATTTTGATCAGTGTGTGTGCTGCGTGCTTTGGTGATGAGTTTTGTGATCATCGTTTTCGTTAAGGTGTAGTTCTTTCAGGGCTTCAAAGAAATTGAATCGAATCGACTTAAACTTGGTGCCTTGTTGATGATATCTAGGATGTAACTCGCTGAACTGATTCCTTAATTTTCCACTTAGACGCCTTGCTGGTGTTCTTATACCAACACCTCCCGAACATCCCCAATCCCATAACGCCAAAACGCTCAAATGCTCCCAGCGCCACAGAGATGCACATACGAAGGAAAAGAAAAGAAAAAAAAAACAAAATACGCTACTGAGATAGATCCTCAACGCCTTCCCCCATACCCACTCCCACCACTAGCCCCCGCCCCCCCATCCCCATACAACTCCGCCGCCGGCTGCCCCACGGCCTGCCCATCCACCTCCACCGGCGCCGGCGGCACCGGCTGGTACGTCCCCGCATACACCGGCGGCTTGTACGCCCCGGTGTACGCCGTATCGCCCGCCTCGATGCGCGCGGGGCCGCTATCCGCCTCATACCGCGGCGGATTCGCAGCGCTCGCGTTGCGGCGGTAGCGGAGCAGGAACCACGCGCCGAGCGCGAAGAGCGCGATGAGCGCGACGCCGCCGACTGCGATGCCGGCGATGGCGCCGGCGGAGAGGGTCGAGCTGCTGGAGGCGGAGGAGGAGGCGGTGGTTGAGGCGGACGCGGAGGCCGAGGAGGTCGAGGTGGCGGAGTGGGAGGAGGCCGAGGAGACGGAGGAGGAGAGGGGCTTTGTCGAGGGGATGAGGTTGAAGCCGCGCGAGGGGGACTCGTTCTGGATGTCGCTGTAGAGCGGGGGGCTGGTGTGGGGCTTGAGGCGGAAGACGTAGCGCGGCGTGTGCTGCAGGGTGGCGTCGGAGAGGTTGGCGGTCCATTTGAGCTCGCCGTCGGTTTTGAAATCGATGTTTGCTGGGGAGGGTTAGTATCAGGGAACGGGACTGAGTGGGGCTTTTAGGCAAACGTACATTCGAGTAGCTGGGAGAAGGAGGATTCGTCGAACCATGTTATCCACAGGTCCGCGACTGTGAGAGGGTTGCCCACGCCTTTCCATGTCTTGTTCCACTTGATGTCGATGACGTCTCCGTTGGAGAAGGTTTGCGAAAAGTCGTCTTGGGTTCCGTCGGGGTTGAGGAACTGGAGCTGGCCTAGACAGGCTCCTACGATTGATGCGAGGACCAGGAGGGAAGAAAGTGCGCGCATCGTGAAGGTTTTCTTGTGCTGAATGTGATTATGTGGAATAAATAGTCTATCATCCACTTATATTCTTCCCAAAACGACAGAAAGGGTATCAATATGTAACAGAACGAGAGCCTGGTTACCGGAAATCGAAGACAGAAAAGTTGAATGAACGAAGAACAGCTGGGATGACAAGGCAGATTCTCTGTGGTTATGCCTGATCTCTTCCACTCCTGTTAGGCCCGTCCTAGCCTCGAAGGATCAACATCCTACTCCGTAGGCAGACCTTGCTTATGCCTCCGCCTACCTCGAGAACCCAATTATAAGTGCTGGGTGGCTGGTACATGAGGCTCCGCCTCGGTCTCATGGTACTCCGTCGGTATTAGAGAGATCGCCGAACATTTTAGCCGCCCCCATGTGGCAACTTTGATCCCTCTTGACGGTTAAGCTTATTTCTGCATAATTGGATGGGACTTGCTGCATTGCCTTCGCCGTCGGCAAGATTTACTCTCTGCCATGCTCACTATCTCCATGTCGTTGGTCTGGAGAGGCCGTAAATTTCTGAGATCCTTCATCGGCAGATCGTACGCTAGATGCGATGAAGTTAGCAATGTGATATTAATAACACTGGGCTGGGGGCCGTGGGAGGCCTGATCTTGGTGGCTGAGCAAAGAGGCGCCCTGGATTTCGTTTTGGCGGGGATCTGGTGGGGCCTCCGTTTCATCGACGAGATCCATCACGTGAAAGGACCCCGTACCTCAGTTGGGCAAGTCTTGGCACGCTAAAATGGCCAAAACAAGTGTCGAGTCTTGTACACTCACCGCTAGGTCAACGAAATGGAAGATCCACTTCTCCAGAACTTGTTCAAAAATACTAATGGACTAGGCGAGTCACATCCTGGTTTCGGATTTGAGTTTGGAGGTGTGGTTGTTGAGCTATTCGTCGAACGGTGATGAAACGTTGAAATTGCAGATTTTCGATCTTGCTGCAAGTATTACATAAGCCACCAAGGAAGATCACGTGAGGATCTGCAATTACCTTCCTGGCCTTATTGCAACCACACGAAGGTACTATCTCCACGTAAGCGGGACATAGATGGCGTTCCGGAGATCGGATTGTCGTCGTCACGTCAAGATCAATTCACCGAGTTTTCCGCTTCAGCACGTGACTATGGCCTCACATCGATCCACGTATACGCCAGATACGCTGAACGCCCATACAACCGCAGACCCGCGAGACATGAACTCGTGTTCCGAAGACTGGAAAACCTCACTGCCACATGATGCAATCAAGTCTATTTTGACAAACGGGAAATACTATGCTTGATCATCTACGAGCGCAATGCGAGTCTGTCTTAGATGCCCTCCCTACCATCTGCTCTACTCTTCCCATACAAAAATTCAGATCCCAGGTAACGGCCCCACAAAAACGCCAAGCAGTGCAGTACCACTAAAATCTAATGCCCATGGTATCGCAAACTCTCAACTCGCTCATAGAAACCTCCCTTCCACGCTCGACGGGAGCTTCGATGTATATCAACCGCTACATGGGTATGTCGAACGTTGTACGACGCAAGCGATGATATATGGAGTGCGCTAATGCCCTCCGGCTTCTAATTCTTTGATGTATTTCACAAATGCTTTCTTGTGGACCTGCCCAGATCATTAGTAACAGACTTCCAATCGACGTCAAGGGAAACTCACCAAACCAGCATACCGCCCATCCCTCACCACACAAATATACCTCAATCCCAACTTCACAAAGCACTCATACACCAGATCCATCGGCGAATGGATATCCAACGCCACAGGCGCCGGATCGATATACGCCGTGAAGTCCGTCGGGTCTTCCTCCGGCTCGTCTTCGTCATTGGCGTTCCAATGCACCTGCGTTGACATGAGGCAGAGGCTGTTGTCTTCGTTGTCTAGCTTGTCTAGCGCGAATTCGAGATCTGGTGCTGGAATGAGGCCGACGAGGATCTGGTCTCGGACGATAGGTAGGCCGCCGTCGAGCTCGCCGGCCATGTGTAGATATTGTTGCTTGTGCCGGAGATCTTTCGCGGGGACGAGGGGTGATTCGGAGATGTCGATGATACGTTCTTCGCGCACTCGGGGGGTTATGTCGCCTAACTCGGTAGTGAAGACGGGGCGCACTTTGTTGTCTAGGAACGGGTAGGAATTCATATTGGTCAACATGTCCTGTAAACGTTCAGTATTAGCGCTGGAACACCTTCAAGCGAAGACAAGCTTACATATATGCTCAGAGGCTCGAGTGCATCTGCGGTCCACTTGGCCACCAATATGCCTATTGAGAATGGTAAGACGTGATCCAGGCTGCCCGTGAGTTCGAAGAGAATGACGGCCAGCGTAACGGAAAGTCGCGTAACACCTGTCATCGTCGCTCCTGCGGCCACCATCGCGTATACTCCAGGGACAACACATGATTCCGGATTGTCGTCCGCTTTGCAGTCCCCGAAAAGCCCGGTATGAGAGTAGTTTAGGGCAAGATATTGAACAATATGACCAACTATTCGGCCTAGGATACCACCGACAACCATAGATGGCACATATATTCCGGCAGGTACTTTAATGCCAAATGTGATGACTGTTAAGAGTGCTTTGATCACGAAAGCGATTGAGAGGTACCAGATAACGGCCGGAATTTGATCTTTCGTAGGACAGAGGCCGGTGCCACTGTTCGTGAAAGTATCGCAGGGGCTAGCAAGCTCGAACATGAGCTCAGTGACCGGCATGTTTGTATATCGGTTCCAGAAACTGATGAGGCCCGTAATCAAGGCGACCAACATGACTTCTAGCATGGGCCACCGTTTGATAACCTTGAAACGCCGGAAGGTTCTGGCCCAGAGGCCGGAGGCTTTGATGAACAGAGCTCCCAAGATGCCACCTAAGACACCGAGTAGGATGAAGGCGACCATCTCGAAGAATTTCCAGTCTGTTAGATATCGGACCTCAAACAGGACGATCTTGTTTGTTCCATAAGGGTTCAAAAACTTCAGGGAAAGCGCAGCGGCCTGTTTAACAGTCAGTAGGCTTTTCTCCTTCAAGAATTTATGAGAACCTACGATACAGCAGAAGAACGTTCGGAAGAGCGTCTTTGGCGGAAAATAATAGCTGACTTCTTCTAAGCTGAACAATACGCCACCAATTGGAGCACCGAAAGCTACGGCAACTCCGCTAGCTGCGCTCGCACTAAGGACCTCTCTGCGTTTGCCATCATTGTCTCTGTATTTGGAGAACAATCGACAGGCAATATTTCCTACACACGTAGCGATGTGAACGTACGGCCCTTCCTTTCCGAGACTGAGTCCTGATGCTACACTGAGAATTAGTCCCAGTGTCTTGATGACAAGGGTCCGAAGTCCAAGGTAGCCGTGGAGAACGAATCCGCTGAGGATAACCTTGACTTCCGCAACACCACTTCCAGCAGCGGAGTAATAGACCATAGGTGGCCGTAATTGGGATTCGCTGTATGCCTGAGCAGGGCTGAGACTCCTTTTTCTTCCCTCCTCATCCTGATCTTGATCGGGGTCTAGAATGTCTGCGGCAAGATTCTCATCGAGAGTTGAGAGAGATACGGCCGAAGGGATGACGGTCTTCGTAGTCAACGTCAACACGCAAGATGCCATAGCAAGAGCCATCACGCCGACCACAAAAGCCACAAACTGCGTCCCCTCATGGTCCAGGCCGTCCGTATGGAACACCTTTCCCCAGTGACTCCAATCTTCACATGTGCTTGCCCCTGAGCAGCAGTCTTTCTTGCTATCAAGCCATTTTGTAGTGCAGTATCCGGACTTGTAATCGAAGAGCAAGCTTTCCGTCACGTTGACTATATACGCCAAAAAGGCAGTAATGCAGCCAATGATCGCGACTAATATCCACCCTTGTGCACCGTCAAACCAGGCAGCTATCCGTCCTCGAATGTCTTTCCTACTCCGTAAGGCCTTGACGCGGTAAGCGTCCGCTATGCTATCATGGACCCAGTCGGTGGATGTAAACTGGTCGTACCAGACACGGTCGTCCTGCCAGAAAGATACGGTCTTATGTATACTGGTTTCTGTAGAGAGTCAGCGATTACTGCTTAGTATAGAGCCAACTACCGTGCAGTTCTGCACTCAAGTTCTGGCTTACCGAGCGCTTCCCGCCGTTCTGACCCAAGGGCATTCACTAGTCGTGTGCTGAAGGACCCGGAACGGCTATGTTGACGAAGTCTCATACTCGCGTGCCGGATGTTAGGAGGCCGCGGGGTGCCCGGCATGGAGGCTGGCATGCTGGCATAGGATCGGGAAAGGGTTTGGCTATTCCCAAGCAGGGCTGAACGCTCGTTGGGGGTGTTGCTTCGTAAGTCGAGCTCTGAGGGTCGGCTGGATCGAAAGCGTCGAGATATCGTGGGAGAGGTGGGAGTCGTGCTGCTAATAGTGTCTTGTCGCTCCAGAGGATCCCCACCCTCTCCTTCGTCGTCCTCATCGCGAGCCCTATGCCGGATACTTTGAAAGGAGGCTACGGACCTGGGCATCGTGGATAGTTGGGAGCCACCGTAAGAACTGTAGATCAGGTACCGTTAGCAGACGCAGCGGGGCGGTAGAGGGGAAAGGAATGGTGGTGGAGACGCGTCTTTAGCACCATGTTGCCTTGATCATGTGGATTCGGGGCAGCACGGGGCTTTGTGGACTCGTGGGAAGAAGGTGGCTCATAGGTTTCAGATACCAATGAGGCATCGCCAAGAGATAGACCTACCGGCAAACATGCTCAAGCCACCACGTTGTTCGCGACGAAAAGCAAGTACGTGGGCCGAGTGGCTGCAGAAAGGTCTAGACCAAAACTGAGATGTACAGAAAGATGTCTGGCTTTTCCAGAGATGTCTGGCTTTTCCAGAGCTCCCCGCCAAGAGCGGTGGAGGAACGGCGCTCCTGTGACCTCGGTGGGCTTACGAGGGCACGCGGGTGACTGGCGTCACTTTCGAAGCCGATTTAATGCAGGGTCCAGCTATCAAACCCGCACCGCCGTGCTCCTCTGCTAGTCCGGGTTGCTTTATTCGACTTCCCGCGGTGCAGCTAGGGCGGCTACATATGTCCCTTGCCGCAGAACCCGCCTCGACGGGAGTTCTGCTATCACTCAAATAGTGTGCCACCCGCTTCTAGCCATAACACCGCCTAGGAAAGAGCGATGGTATGGTATAGAACCACAGCCGTGATATACTATTCACAACTAACATCTAACTGGCAGGGTATCCAGTACGACCAATTCCTTCTGTTCGGCGACTCCATCACCCAGCAATCCGGGAATCAAGACCGCGGCTTTGGATTTGCTCCTGCTTTGCAAGATGGTGCGTGACTTGAAGCATCCGGTCGCGGTAGCGATCGTTGATACTTTGCATGCGGCCCGGCTAATGAAGCAGCCTACATCCGCCGTCTTGATGTCGTAAACAGAGGGCTGAGGTATGAAGGATCAACCTGAAAAAAGGCCGCACAAGGTGCTGATTCGACGGCAGCGGTTACAACACAGACCAGGCTCTGAAGGTGTTGACTTCTATCATCCCAACTCCAGAACAGGCTCGAGTTCGGTTTCTGGTACCGTGCCAAACCGGAGCCCACCCCCAGGAGTACTAACCAAATAAACAGATGGTATTCTTTGGAGCAAACGATGCCTCCCTAGCAGAAGCTCGGAATGGCCAACATGTCCCGCTTGCTACGTACAAGGAGAACCTAGCCAAGATTGTCACCCACGAAGCCGTGAAAGTCCACAACGCAAGAATCATACTCGTAGCACCGCCGCCAGTCAATGAGCACCTGATGCTGCCTGGCGACATCGCCAGGGGAATGGAGAAATGCTCGAGGACTGCTGTTACTACAAGAACATACGCCCGGGCCGTCTGTGATCTCGGCAAAGAGCTTGATATCCCAGTGCTAGACCTGTGGACTGCTTTCATGTCTACGACTGGCTGGAAGATCGAGGACCCTGACATTCCGGGTGGCCTGCACCTCCCGGAAAACTCCGCATTGGTAGACTTTCTCCACGATGGTGAGTCGAGCGTAGATTAGAGGTGGGTTGAATAGCTGACATCGAAACTACTAGGTCTACATTTCAATCCGCCGGGATACCAGATCCTGTTCGATGAGCTGATGAAGCTAATCTCTGTTCATTGGCCGGATCAGATGCCAAGAGAGCTTCCATTTCTCCTGCCAATGTGGAACGATTTTGCCGCATGGGATGCATTCGAGAAGTCCTCGACGGGTGTATGAGTCCTGGAGATATATATTGAATGTTCGCGTTTCGGAAATTAGGGTGCTAATAGCGTGAAGCTGAAGTTTCTTTTCGTTTCTGAGTAGAGCGTAATGCTCAGACATGAGCTGCGAGGGAGTAGAAGTCCTGTTCGCCAAGCTAAGGCCGAGATCGAAGTCCACAAGAACTGTATCTTGTGTCTTCTGCGTGTAGCCAGGCTTCTCATCCTCCGTAAGTAAAACAGCCGGAGTGAGACGGCTCTGAATAGCACATGTACCGTGTCTCGTCACAGATATCTGCACACTTCTCTCCCACCACTTGTGGTGCCTCATAGTATTTTCAGAATTCCAGTTTAGGCGGAAGGCCTACCTTTTAGATATCTGGTAAGCTCGTTAGGCCACCCCAAGCAGTGGCAGGGGAGTGTACATAGATTGAAACTGTGATCCGTCCTTCTGGATTTCTGAAATACCATGACACTCTACAAGCGGTGGTAGAGGAGTGTGCGGATGTCTATGACCACTTACTGTATTACGTTTCCAAGCTGATTCACCGTGATGTGCTCGTTGTTCGAACTAAGGAAGCAACGGGTGAGATTGACGACCTCAAGCAAGGGAGAGGCGACCGAGATGAAGGAACATGATGGAGATCAGTAGCGAATACCGCATAATGCAGTCTATATAATCGAATAATAGATGTAATAGATATAATATTAGCATTTATATGTTGGTACGACCGAACGGGTGTTCTCGCCGCAGCCTTGGAAGCACGGGGTGGATCTGGAGGATCTGCAGCTAAGCCAGATCGGACTCCCTCGATGAAGTGGATGCATCAACCTCGCTGTTTCACGTAACACTCACTCCCATGTCGTCCTCTTGATTTGACGCATGTTTCCTCTCCCAAGTCCTCTTTGAACGGAAATCCCACACGGCTTGCCCCATCAAGGATCCACACCAAACTCCTTCCGCAAACACTCCAAGACCCCTCGCTCGCCGCAATCACCGCGACCTACCATCTTCTGATTGCCGTCCTCTGTCGAGATTCCAGGCCTCTACTCGCTGAGCCTACATCCACCTGCCTTCATAGCCCCGCCAAACCGCTCACATCTCCTGCTCAAGCTCGTTCATTGCCTACGAAGACCTCCGCCACCGTGATCAAGCTCCGCAATCGACACGACCACCGCGCTCTCCCCCAGGCGCTACACCGCTCCGACCCGCACGTTGCCCCGCTCGGCGGTCGAAACCCATAGTTTTGTTGCAAAGTTGGTGGACCACAAGTCTTGGAAGTTGTGGTAGTCGACGGCCCTGCCGTTCGCTGGGCTTCGGCGACGGTGGCGTGAAGGGCGAGGCTCGTTCGGCATTGATATTGAGGCATCAGTGGCTCCTACCCACTGAGTAATGCGTAGCTCTTGTTATGGATCCTCAGAGCGCCTCCTTCACCCCTCGAGACGATATCTGGCGCATGCAGAACGATATGATTCGCGTTCAACAAAATCAAGTAGACCTCTCTGAACGTCTATCGCGTGTTGAACGACGACAAGACGAAGATGCTAGAGTCAAGTCGGTTTGGGGGACTTCTTCGCCATTTCCTTCTGTCCTAAGCGGTACCCCTCAGCAGGGTGAGTCTCTATCGTCTTTTTGAGCTACAGTAATAGCTAACGTAAATTCTAGGCCCGTTGCACCATCCTCCTCCAGAGGCGTTCTCCAATTTCGACGACGATCGGAGCAACATTATTGGAAGCCTTCAACTTGACGCTGATGACGAGCCGCGACGCATGGGCGCATCGTCTCGCGCAGCCAGTGTTCGGTTCGATGAGACTGCCAACCAGGGCCACTGGGCACATGCCTCGAGGTCTTCCCTAGAGTTGATACCCCGTACAGGCAGTGGTATGGGTGGTCATCCTATGACTGAGAGGAGCTACTCGCACAAGTCTGATGGTCGACAAAGCTCTACTGGTCACTCGGTTTACTCCGCAACCTCTGGGCGTGCAAACAGCCTTGGCCTGGACACTGGATATGGTCTTGGTAACTCTGGCATCTCGCCGTTGGACCCTCCTGGACTTGCGCCAGGGCTATTTGTTCTCGGAACTGTGCCCGCAATCATTCGCTGCTGGCTCGATACGAACTTTAAACACGATACTCTCCTCTACGCTGCCGTGTGTAGCGGTTCATACACCTCGTCACTGGACAGGCGTTTGATCAACCGTCTGGGATTCGGCGAGCGGATAACCGAACACGAGGACGGAACACGAAAGATTAAACTCGTCGTCTACCTGCCCGAAGCTGTCCCGTCCACAGCATCATCTCGGTCAAGTAGCCCTGTACCTCAAGTCCCATCTCTGAATGTCACTTTCACTGTTTTTGAAGGTCACGAAAAGGGTGATGGAAAGCCCATCCAAATCTTCTTCGGGAGTGACATGCTCCGTTACCACAATGCCGACCTTCTTCTCTCCTCAAACAGGCTCACGCTGTTTGACGATGAGGGCAGCAAATTACAGATTCCCTTGGTACGGCCAGAGGACGAGCGCACTTTCAAGTCACTCTTTGTGTCTAGTGCGACGCCCGACTACCCCAAGCATGCTAAGGAAGTAGAAGAAGTCATGGTCTCTACTCAAATGGAGCCTCCGGCGCTTCTTGAACACCAAGCTTCCATAAACAATCAGCACGCCGCTCCAGCGCCTGCAAGATCAAACGGTGCTGCTAGTATCGTGGATTCAGATGATGGTGCCTCTACTGGGCGCAGAAGCCTTGACCAACGACCCTTGATCGGAATCGTGACCGCACGGACCGAATCCAAGGAAAGCGATGACTTCAACTCAGCAGCCGGTAGTGCTCTCCGCTCCAGTACCTCGCCAGCAATCTGGAGCAACTGGAGACGCGACAGTGAGAAGACCAACTCAATGGACTGGGCCAACGCGAGCAAGAGTGCGGCCTCCACCTATCAACGGAAGGATACCGGTATTAAGGTGCTGAAACCGATAAAGCCTGGAGCTCGTACTGCCTCATCTAGCAACATCCACTCTCCATCTCCAGTCACGGGGCAGTCTCGCTTCTTTGACGAGGGGCGTCGGAGGACGAGCACCACGTCCGGCAGCGATGTTCATGATCCACAGCTGAAGAGATCAGTATCGGGTGAAAAGGCGCCGTCAGTGTCGAAGGATAACCAGCCCGCCCTCTCAAAGCCGCGATCGGCGAACCCTGTGGGTGGTGCATCGGCTTTTGCGTGGCTCAACAGTGGTGGCCATTCGAAATGATGCGTGCTAACTGCCCTAGGGATAACTTCTTACTAAGTTCATGCATTCGTTCTCTCTTGTATCATCAAAGCTCTCGGCAGAGACAGGCCTGCTTTCTCAAATCGGGGACGTGGGAGTTCTCTGCCTGCAATCTTGGCTGCGGCCGGGCTCTAACATGCTCAACGAGCATTGCGATTCTATGGGTGCATCGCATATGGGGGACTCGGAAGGGCGTGGGATACGTCTCGGCTGACGATATCGGGTGCTGAACAGTACCAGGGTCTTTGGCCCCGTTTCTGTTCTGCGTCTTCACCGCTATTATAGCAAGGTCACGACTATGTAGAAACGAACATGGCGTGTTCCCATTTTGCTTCCCCTCTAGCTACCTGTTGAGTGAAGATGGCGTCGCCAACGTGACTGATACTGATGCTGATGTAGATGCTAGAAAGTTGTAAGGATATATTTCAGGGGATATTCACCCTTGCAGAGAAACTCACTGTGCGCATATGGATGTACCGTGGCCGACTTCCACCGAAGTTCAGGGAGGTCCAAATATAGCATCATGGAGAGGAACACGTGAATATTGGCTGTACCAACCACGTCCACCCGGAACGCGAAAACGCGTCCCCGATACGTATCTAGATTACACTGTGCCCGGACGTGGCGGTGGCGGAACTACATAGGTACATTTTTATCTCACTGTCGCCTCATGGGGCAACTGATCCATAAGCAAACACGGCTGCAACCTGCCCGCTCATAGTCAAGCAGGCGTAGGCAGCTGTCTCGCAGCACGGAGTCACTCACATTCACCCTGCTGATTGCCTGGCAAAGTCGCCTTGCTGTCGGCAGCCTTGCGCGGAGCAGCGGGCGATCTGTGGTTGGTGACTTTGGCGAGCCCGGCAAGTTTTGGGCAGGGCTGAGTCCGTCCACGGCATGTAACCAGCTGCGCTTTTTCACGACCACATCAACCTCAGGTACAACTTCACTGCCGGCTCCCCTATGCGCTACGCCTTCCACACGCCCTCTCGCACCCAGCCATTCGCTTGCTGTCCCGGCGTCACGCGTTCCCTTTCATTGCACCGTTCTGCCGCCCTCGGAGCTTCATAAGCTCCCAGGCTGGCTGCCTCTCTTCACGACGGCTTCCATAAAGGCACCGGCCAAGAAGCGCAAGATAGCACCCACCGGACCCCCCGACACCGAGCCGCGTATCGACCACAATCTGCCTACCTCACTGAATGACGTTCCAGGGCTGACCTCGCCACGATCGTCCCCGCACCCTTCCTCCGCTGCCTTACGGACTTCAGCCTCCCCTCCGCGGTACATACCACCACACCTGCACGAGGAAGTCCTCGAAGCATCACAAGACGCTGGAAACCAGCCTCGAGACACCACAGCCACCGGTGCTAGCTCCCCGAGTGACGCTTACTCTCGCATGACGTTGGAAGGTGGTGATTCTAGCTCGAACATGACCCAGGGCCGGCGGGACTCTACTGCATCTACTCTTTCGCGGAGCACCGAACCCTCCTCCCAGCCATCTATTCGACTCCCGCCGCGCTCATCTTCGCCAGCAAAGAGACCGGCATCTGACATGGAGGACGGTGGGAAGGAAGCCATGGACATTGACACGCTCACGACCACCGGATATGGTGACCAAGGGGCCGTGCAACACAGCCCTCGTGCCGCAAAACCTCCCCCAGTGCCAGCCAGATCGAACCTTGGTGACCAGAAGAACACGCGGGCGGCCTCTGTCGAAATGACTGATGACACTCTCAATGGTGTAAGCGCCGCGAGCTCGGACACGGCTTCAGTTTCCAACCATGAATCAACTGCGACAAGCGTTTCTACTACAAGTTGCGCCCAGCCATCCTCCCCCGCCACAGAAACCGCTCGCGACGAGACATCCGATTTCGGCGTCAAGACTTTGCCCGCTCCACCGAGCATAGATGACCAGGTCGCAAAAGTGTATGAACTTGTTCAGCAACCACTCGTAGAAGGCCAGGAAGGTTACATAGTTTCCAGTAAATGGCTTGAACGCGTGATGGCGCGGGCGGCAGACGCTACGCCTGGCCAATTCGACAAGTCTGCCACAGAAGGGGAAATTGGGCCAGTCGATAACTCGGCACTCGTTGATGAAAGTATGTTGCCAGCGTGTCGTTTGCCGTGGTTTTGAGATACTGACTGGGTATAGGTTATTTTGAGGATGAGCTTACTGATGAGCGTGGCGAACCGTTTGTGCGCCTGAAACTCGGAGTGGACATGGCCAAGGACTTCGAAGTCGTCCCCTCCAAGGCCTGGGACTTGATTGTGTCCTGGTACACAATCAAGGACGGCACGCCGACGATTCGAAGATATGCACACAATACAGCGCCACCGGAGGCGCTGGAGAACTTGCAATACGAGCTCAACCCCCCTATCTTCACTATCCGCAAACTCCGGAAAGAGTGCTCGACCCAAAAGCCTCAAGAGGCCCCAGTCATAAGCCCAAGGATTGTTGCAAGTCGTAGCGAATCCTATCAAGGCTTCCTTCGTAGTGCCAAGTCAAAAGCCAGCATAGACATGAACACCAAAGTGCGAGTCTGGCGATTACTAGCACCAGCACAGCAAGTCGCTCCAGCAGAGCCTCGGTCAACTCCTTCCGGAATCCTGACACCTGAGTCTTCCAGGAATGGGTCGCCAAATCCTAATCCAACACGCATTCCACTGTTAGTGGATTTCGCGGAATTTGAAGCCTATGACGATGCGCAATGCGAGAAGATATCGGGGAATGACGAGACCGCCAATAAAAATTACAACGGTCACCTCAATTTACAGACTATTGGTCTTGCCGAGGATCAGGTCCTCATCTTAGAGGAGCAGATTGGAGGTCCTGCTGGTGGAGAGTTTCCTTCTGACAGCACTAAGAAGCCCACAATCAAGAATGGTATCCTGGGCAAGAGCAACGCTGGGAGATCACGCAACAAAGGTGCCGACAGTGGTAGAGGAAGTCCTGCTCCTGGTGGGCCTATTACAAGAGGGAGAACACGTAGAGACGGCCGGACAAGAGGCTCCGTCGGTTTAACTAACCTTGGAAATACCTGCTACATGAACTCAGCACTACAGTGCATCCGAAGCGTGGAAGAGTTAACCTTGTACTTCCTTGGTAAGCCCATAGCATGGCGATCGTGAATCACCTACTAACAAGAAGGTAGAGCAAAAGTACAAGGACGACCTGAACCCGGGCAATCCCCTAGGCCATGGCGGAGCGATAGCAAAGAATTATGCCGGTTTACTTGCGGCTGTTTACGATGACACTGGTCTCTCGACGTTCACCCCGAAGAATTTCAAGTATGCTGTGGGGAGGGCTCAGCCGCTGTTCTCTGGCTACGGGCAGCAGGACTCTCAAGAATTCCTCAGTTTCTTGGTCGATGGCCTTCATGAAGATCTAAACAGAATCTTAAAAAAGCCATACGTAGAGAACCCCGAGTCCGATGACGCGACCGTCAATGACCCCGCGGCTATTCGTGCCCTCGGCGAGAAATTTAGGGAAATACACCACGCCCGCAATGATTCTGTTGCCATGGACCTCTTCAACGGCTTCTACAAGAACACCATGGTGTGCCCTGACTGCTCTAAAGTCAGCATCACATTCGATCCGTTCTCTCTACTTACCCTTCAACTGCCCATCGAAAACACCTGGCAACATACTATTACTTTAGCCCCTCTGCACGGTCAGCCAGTCCAAATCGATGTCGACCTGGATAAGAATGGAACCATCCGGACGCTCAAAGAATTTGTGGCGAGGCGTATTCCTGGTCTCAAATGGAATCGTCTCATGTGCGCAGAGATTTACAGTCACAAGTTCTACCGCACGTTCGAGGACAGTAAAACCATAGCAGAATCCAACATTCAGAGTCGTGACGATATCGTCATGTACGAGCTAGACGCCGCGCCCACGAATTTTCCTCCGCCGCCAAAGAAGAAGAGCAAAGGATATCGATCAATGGTGTCTTGGAATAACTTTTCTGATGACGAAATCCCGGATTCTGATTCACCCCTCGCGGACCGCATGATTGTGCCAGTATTCCACCGCGTGCAGAATAACAACACGTACTCGAACTCCATGAGTCTCAAACTATGGCCATCGTATATCTTGATCACCCGGGAAGAAGGGAGAGATTACGACTCCATTCTCCGAAAGATCATTGCTAAAGTTGCGACCATGACTACTCGCCCTATTCTAACAGAGCTTGGGGGTAGCTATGGCCCCTTTGATGAGTCGCGAAATGCATCAGACACTGTTATTACCACAGAAGACGATGCCTCGTCAAATGTGGACCCGAGGGTACAAGATGGATCCATCGAAGGAGAGGGAGACATGGTCGGCATTACTGTCGACGAGCCCGTTGAAACCCCGGTCGACCAAGCCATGGAAGAGAGCGCTACTATAGAAGCTTCACGTCAACTTCCAGACGTTCTTCAGCCTGGAAGCTTTATCCCGCCAGACTTCCGTAACCTGTTCCGGATGAAGTATGCCAATGCAAGCAAGGAACTTCTCCCTACTGGTTGGCACGCTGTCGAACCACAGAAGAACTATGCGACTATTGAGTCACGAGTCCGCATCCCGAAAAGCCGGAGGTCGTCGATGGATTCGACTGAAGATGTGCAGCCTTCATCTTCGGGCGAAGAGGCGGATGACACCATCCAGTTCTCTGCCACTGCACAAGATTCCTTTGATCATGCAGACCAGAGCAGTGATGAGGAGCTACCATCCGTGGAAACCTTCACACGATCTGATCGGCGCAACAATTACAAAAAGTCCAAGCGTGGTACGAAGAAGAACAAGTTCACCACGTACTCCAAGAAGGGCAAGGGTCGCTTCATTGATCAGCCTATCTATCAGAACTCGGAGCCTGAAGCAGATGAAGACCCTGCTCTGATTCGCCTTGGCGAGGCTATCGTACTGGACTGGCTCCCCGCAACTTTCAATGCTCTATTCGAGGGAACTAACGAAGAGGAACTACGTGGACAGGACACATGGAAAGTAATGGGGACCCTTGACGACCCTGAATTGAAACAGACAAAGGCCCAGCGAGCAGCACGCAGAAAGAACGGCGTCACTCTACAAGAGTGCTTCGCGGAAACCTCGAAAGGTGAGATTCTGTCTGAAGAAAATGCCTGGTACTGCAGTCGTTGCAAGGAGCTACGGCGTGCAAGCAAGACGTTGGAGATTTGGACTCTTCCCGACATCCTTGTCGTGCATCTCAAACGCTTCAGTGCCAATCGTGGCTTCCGTGACAAGATAGACGTCCTTGTCGACTTTCCTATCGAAGGGTTAGACCTCAGCAAGCGCGTCGGTTTGCCAGAAGACAAAGAGACTGTCTACGATCTCTTTGCCGTCGACAATCACTATGGTGGTCTCGGGGGCGGTCATTACACTGCGTTTGCCCAGAACTTCTATGATAAGGAGTGGTACGAATACAATGGTAAGATGTGCCTAGAAAGCTCGATTGCTGCTACCTACTAATCACGACCAATAGACTCTTCTGTCAGCCGACGTAAAGATCCAGCCAGTGTCGTAACTCCTGCGGCATATCTCCTATTCTACCGTCGTCGCTCGGCTTCCCCTTTAGGCCCTCCCTATTTGCAAAAGGTAGTCGAGGCAGCCTACGCTCCAAACTCTGAGGAAGCCCCCGAAGATGGCTCCCAGGCGAACTCGCGCCAAGGTTCCCGATCACCGGCGGGAAACGGCTTGCGCCTCGACGGCTTGTCCCGCAATGGGTCGTCGAGCGCTGGAATAGGAGCCGGAGCGGGTCTCCTGCTGCGCGGCGGTGGTTTGGCCTCGGCAGCAGGGAAGGAAGCCGGGAACCATCGCGGGACCGAGATTCAGGAGGAGGATGAAAACACGGACGTGGACCTCGACGAGCCGCTCCCGGGTTATAACGACTCGGGCTACGAGGACGAGGACAACACACTCGTTGGCCTCGGCGGCTACAGCACCGAGCTGTGGAACTTTGCTGGCGTGCCTATTCAGGATCACGGCATGGGCGATGACGATGACATGGCGTCGAATGCGGCTATGGGCTCGAATGAAAGCGATGATCTGGGTGGCCGTATGCTGCAGGATTTTGGGGACGATATGAACCAGCACCCGGGCACGCCGCAGAGTGAGAACGATGAGGTGCCTGACTTGCTGCCGGAGGACCGGGAGATGATTCGAGGTCTGCCTATTCCTATCCCGACTCTAAATGTGCAAGGGACGGATTACGAGGACGACAAGGTGGCAGATGTCGTCTTGGACGATGTCAGTCCTAATTCTACCTCGCATGCGAAGTCGGACTGAGTGGGTGGTGATTGAGCTTCGGGTAGCTTTCTTCCCTTGCTCTCACCATCCGTCCCATTTTCCTCTTCTTACTTTGTTCTTCTTTCCCTAAAAGTATTGGTTCTGGTGCGTTCCTGCTACCTGTTGGGGCTGTGGATAGAGCAAGCGGGGTCTCCACTGTATTGCTTGTAGAGCTTCGCCTGCACCGCGGCGTCCTTGGGGTGGAGGGGTGTGATGGACGTGGCAGGCTGAGGATGGCATGAATGAGATGACTGATGGGGTTTGGCGGTTGGGTTGGTAGTAAATAGTGCTTGCATCGGTAATGGCGTACATAGGTTCTGGAGTCATGAATGATAGTTGGTACTCTTATGATGGGCTCTTCTGGCGTGTAGTGATGATGGATGGTGCTGCCCCTGAACGCAAAAGAGACAAAATGGGAACAGAAATAGAACACGATTTGAACCCAGTGCCTCGGGCATTCCGACGGCAACTCACATCGGGTCTCTCCTGGTTCTATCCGTAGCTCGCGCTGCCATGACGGTTGTTGTCGCTTGCGACTAGAAATGTTAAACAGCGAGTGCCCTTCATCGAGGCTAGCAGTATCCTCATGCGTTTCTTTACGAAGATATTCTATAGTAGCTGCTACACAGGCTCAAAAAGGACCGGATTAAAGGTAAAGTAAAGGACTTTCCGCGCATGAAGATGTACCTTTTCACTGCTGACGTTGTAATGCGTTCTCGTCTAACCGAATTAGGAGCTATCTTCGAGGTTACGCGGTTGGCGGATGCTCACCATTGCTTAGCCTTCTAGTGGCGACGACCATCAACCACACAATCATCTATTCATCAATTATGTACCCATGAACCACGAAACACTACTGCGGTAGTTAGGCTCTGCCTATCTTGACAAGCGATAGGGCTTACTTCGCAATTTCCATGGGCCCAATGCTTGCCTTTTGACACGGGGCTCCCTTGAACGCCGGACTGGGGCCACTGGACTCTGAATGAGGCTCGGGGCTCGATTGGTCTGTTTCCTGGACCCCATGCTGGCGAGTGCTCTACATAGTACAGACTATGGCTATGTCCGACGGATAGCTGCAGGTGGCTTTCCTGACAGGTTTGGTCGGCGAGGTAAGGCATGGAATACGTCATGCAGGACCAAATCTACAGCATCAAGGCAGATAGGGCACGCTGATGTGGAACTGCGCCGCCACCTGCTTTTGTGGCAATCTGCGGGCCTCCTTGACTTCTGATGACGGTCAGATCGCGCGAAGAACGCTTATCCGAAAGCTTGTCGCAAAGATTGTCGCATCACCGTGGACTCCTTCACTGATCCTCGCTTTCGCGACCGAGACTAGCCCGACGCCATGGTTGGGAGGGGAGGTAAAAAAAAGCCCTAAAGTAGCTACTATCTAATAAAATTAATAAATTCTATTTTAGGTCGGTCCAGAGGATGCAAGACATGTCGCCGGCGCAGAGTAAAATGCGATGAGATCCAAACCCGTCTGCACGCGTTGCCAAAACAGCGGATTTCCATGTGAGGGCTACCCCAAGGACCTAACATTCGTCGACGAAGGCAGCCGCTTCGCCTCCCAATCATCCACTCGGTCATCCAAGGCCGGCAGTCGCACGGGGGAGGTATCGAGCGTAGACGCGCCTTCACTGTCGCCGAAGGGCAGTCAGACTCCCAACGTGCAGCTAGCCATCAGCAAGCAACCCACACTATCACCTTTTCAGGATGAGATATGTCTGGCCTATTTGATTCGAACACTCTTCGGCGACAACCACAATTTTCCTCTCGCCTCGCATGTTTGGGATTCTGCCGTGGCTTCCACCGACTCGGCAAAGCTCGGCCAAACTGCTGTGAGCAGCCTCGCTACGACTTACTTTGGTCGAATGCATGGCAGCAACATGCAGCTCCTCCACCAAGGCCGTCGACTCTACGGTCAAGCAGTTCATCGATTAGCTCTTGAGATCTGCAAGCCCGAAGAAGCGTCGTTGAGTCAGCAGGTTATGCTTTCAGCCCTAGCATTCTACTACTATGAGATGGTCATGAACACGAGCGACATTGGCTGGGTAGAGCATGTTGGTGGCACTGGAAAGCTAATGGAGGTTCGAGGTCCGCGAAGACACCAATTCGCGCCAGATCACGATTACTTCCTCTACTTTCGACGAACTCTTATCGGACAGGCTTTCGTTACTAGAACAAGAACCTTTCTAGAAAGAGAAGAATGGAAGACAGTTCCTTGGGCAATGCAGCCAAATTCGAAGACGACGGAACATTTGATTCTCGACGTTTCTGCCAACGTACCCGGTCTCGCCGAAGATATGGACCGCCTGGAGCGGAATGGCCCAGTCGCAGCGCGCAACCCCCTTGGCCCAAACGAAGAGGAAACTCTGCGAGAATCTCTTCGGCATAAGCTGATTGACACGTTCGGGAGTCTCCTTGAGTGGCGCTTCAATTGGGAATCCACCTACCCGGACGTCGTTGCCGAAACAGTTTCCATGCCTCGGAGCAGTCTTGTGAGCAACCTCGAGCGGCCCAGATGCTTGGACAGAGTTTTCTATTACAACGATATCAAGCGCGCGGAAGAAATCCAACAATACCATCTAACTATGTTGTGGGTGCTTCAATTGGTCGTGCGGCTGCAAGACCCCTCAGTAACTCCATCCGCTTTTTCCCCATGGCCGCCACATCGTAGGCCCGACGCCAGCAATGCTCTCGCTCTACCCCACGATGAGATGACTACTCTTAATGTAGCTAGAGAGATAGCCCGTAGCACAGAGAACTTCACGCAACCGCAGCATCCCAGAAGACAATTGCTCAAGCTACTCGGGCCGCTACGAGGATGGTGAGTACTCCAAGCAAATCTCTTCGTGTCTATCTTGACTGACGTCGACACCAGTGTCTTGGTGTTTATGCTTTCAGCGCAGGCTGAGCAATATGAGTTGTCTTGGGTCAGCGGAGTGCTCTGCCGGATTGCAGACGAATTTGGATTCGATTTCTGCAAGCGGTTCGCTCAATTACCACCCCTTGGGTACTATCAGCCGAGCCAGAATGAGAGGGTGAGCGAAGGGGCTAGTACGTACACCTTTGCAGACCAGACAACTGGTTTTAGGCAAACCTTCCTGTCACAATAAAGCAGCATAGTGGTACAGCACTCCAGTGAGAGGTAATCAGGCGATTACTGGAGGGAATGTATGATGACTTGTTGGACCACCAGTGAAAATCGGTGACTTCAAATGCAGCTTTGCTCCAAGTAAGATCAAGATGCGATAGAATACTGCTAGCCAGTGCTCCAAGCCAATCGTGAGGTGGAGATTAGTTTCACAGGTTTAGACGATCCTTATAATAGCGTGCCGATTTCAAGAAAAAAAAGCGACGACATGGATCTACTTGTCATGGACGGGAATCTCAATGTTCCATCCCAGAGGCTGGAGGCTGAGCCAGCGCGTAACCGGAGCCGGCACTGAATATCGGGGGTATATTCTGTACAGGTCGCCGATTTAAACGGTCCCAGGGTTTGGGGGCGAAGACTAGCACCGCCTTAACGAAGATCGTCGACTCTTAGTCCATGGATGCTATTGGTTCCTAGTGGTTCTTAATACTGCAAACCTTTGTAAGCCCAAACCAGCACCTCGCTGCGAGCACATGATTTGGGGTACAGTCCACGAGCCGCAACACCAACATCACTATAACTCCGTACGCCCACAGCCTCAGGTTTTATTCTTGAACAAGGGCATCGATCCTGTTTTCATGTGCGGTAGTCTGTCGAATGATGAGGATCAATACGCTGCAGTATGAACGTCGTACCTCTATTGCCCCTCTCGAGACCTATAAAATGGATGCTCAACCCGCTTTCTTGCTCTTGGTTATATCAACACACTTATTCCTTCCGACTCCACATCTTCTGCAAAGAGTCTCAGTAGAAACATTCAATACTTTTTCAACTTGCTCGACACCATGAAATATCATATTCCATCACTCCGATCACAGCCTGGCTGTTTTGTGCCAAAACTTGCGAGTAAGGATCGTAGCTTATGGACTTGAAGTACAATATACTCACCTCGCTGCAGCAAGCAAAGTTACGTTTTCTGATGGCCTCACCTTTCAACGCATCATCCTCATCGTCGCTGCCGCCACCACCGGAGCGACTATCCTTATCACCTTGTTTCTCACGGGGCTCCATATCCGTTACTACACGAATCCTGCCGAGCAGAGGCTGTGAGTATCTAAGCCGTACATGCATGTAGTTATTATGCTGAATGTTGAATCCTAGGATCATACGGATCATATGGATCCCTGCCATCTTCTCCATCTTCGGTCCTGCTTGTATCTCGTCCTACACTGCCGCTCCATACATCGAGCCATTTGCAAAACTATGCGAAACCATCGCTCTCGCCTCAATATTCCTGCTTTGCGTCAACTTTATTGTTCCGGATCCGCTCTCAGCTTCAAACACAACGATCGGTGATCTATGCGTAGAGGTCGGGTGTCGGGGTAACCCAAGCAGCCTCAGAGACAAGCTCCGAAGAAGCAAGAGCAGCGCTCTCTGGCTCAAGGTACACCTTCCCTTATAGACTGCTATGATCGATATATGTCTGACATCTTGGATCTAGAGAGCCTGGATAGCTGTTTTCCAATACCCCGTCATTGTCTTCGCAACAACAATCGCAACAGAGGTCACCATCGCAATCCTCTGTCCCACATCGCTTGCCTACAGCCGTGCCCGCCTCGTCATTCGCATCGTCAACGCCATCTCCACCTCCGCCGCCATCACCGCCATTGTCAACTATTCCATCCGCTTGAAGAAGAGCCTCGAGGGCCGACGCGTCGGCCCAAAGCTCGTATGCTGTAAGGGACTTGTGATTCTAGCTACACTAGAACTCGTTGTCTTCGCCGCAGTAGACCGCGTCACACTTCGAGATGCCACGCCCCGCCTTACCTACTTCGACTGGATCATTGGCGTACCTTCAATCATCATCTGTCTTGAAATGGTCCTCTTCATCATCTCCTTCATCTGGGCCTTTCCACCTTCTCCCTACCGGCGACTCGGTCCCTCTAGCAGCTTTAGGAGTCGCTTGATTCACGCTGTTGCTGATGCTGTCAATCTTATCAATATAGCTAAGGGCATTGTCATGGCCTTTGGGAGTCTCAAGGTGGCGAGAACGACGGCTGCGGATGGTATGCTCCAGTCTGGATATGTCGCTGCTAAGACTGAGGATCGTACTGGAGACTATGGTGAGCTTTGAGGTCGCCTCGTTGGTTTTGGGGGGGTTGATGCTGCATGAACGATGAACGGGGTTACTCATGGGATCAGTCTTCCGACTCGTTCAATTACATCGCCCTGATGAGTCCGCATGCCGATAAGTACCCTCCACATTTCAATGACAGCATTCCGCATTTTAGTAAGGAGGCGGATATCTTCAGATAGAAGGGGATCTGCTTGATCAACTCATTGAACCAGGAGCTGTATGGAACTGATGGCTCGTGTAGCTAGAGCTTTGGAAGTTAGTGGTCAACGATTAGCAGATGAGTTGGGGATCTTCTTTCGGATTATATGTCAGTGTAACAGATTTGTAGATGGAGAGAGTATCTAGTGAGTTCCAGGTCTGTCCTATTTGTATTGCAAGAAATTTCTTCTTTGCTTGGAGACAATTCCGGTGCCCTCATTGTTAGTATCGTGTTGATTTTTTTCATTTCCAGCTTTTGTATAGGATTGGCCGGGGACGAATCACGCATCACGAACTAGGCAATTCTACACGGATACACCATGTGTACTACCGACCAGACCTCCCCTCTACCCCATGACTAGGGCCGACCTAGACCTCTTTACTACCAGGGTTGGCCTCGCGTCGGCATGGTGGATTCCTTGAAGAACCTCAGCTAAGACATAGTTTCATTGGTCCATGAATGTTCCCTTTTCCTGTCCGAATATAATAGTTGTCATCTACAATGGCGCTTAAGCGTATCGCCGCGAGACTCCGCCACTGTATCCCAAACCCTCACTTTCTTGTTGTCCTGTCTCCTCCATTCACTCTTTTTACTTGCATGTCTTCTTCCTGCCAGTGGCTCAACCGCCCAGTAGGCGAGCATCCCTTCGTGTTCGCCCACGTACTCCCAGCCACTATTCCAAGCCATCGGTAACCCAACTGGGCCAATGACTTGGTATACTTGCTCGGCTCTCGAAACCCAACACTGCAGCAGCAATGCTAAGCAAGGCTCGCTTAGGCATACCAGCCACGGGCGGCTATATAGACTGCAAGAGGCGTGTCGATCTCTGTCAATTTACGGAAGTTGTCGTCAGCTCACTCGTCAGTCTACTTAATATTGCTCTTTAAAGCGGAGCTTTTCGTCGAGGTAATTACACAGACAAACACCACGACTTCATACCCTAAAGTAATCCTAGATCATCATGGGATTCGGGAGACTGTTCTGCTGGAAGAGACCAGGTAACTCCACTCATGCGCTCAGCATTTATAAGCCGATCTCAACTAACTAGTAGCCAGCCACTCCCCCATACCTATCCTCTGGTGGCTACGCGAAGGCCGCCCCAGTTCACGTCCCGGCCCCACCGCCTGCGCGACCTACTCCACCGTCTGCGCGACCTGCTCCAAATGCCGGGCTGTGTTGGCGCTGCTCAGCGCCCAACCAGATTCGTACCTCAGGTATGGATTCCGAGAACCCCAACAGCGGACGACCGTACAGGGAATGCACGAACCGGAATTGCGACAGTTTCAACGGATTCGCCGATCATCGGGGCCTCGATCCGAATCATAGGCACTGCGAGTGTGGCATACCATCTAGAATAGTGGCGAGGAGAAACCGGAATGCGAGGGGGAAGAGGGAGTTGTTCTACCGTTGCGCGAATGGGACTTGTGGTGCGCGCTTGGGCGATGTCAGGGGACCGAGCGGACGAGTGCTGGAGTTTACGGATGCCCAGATCGATAAAATGGTGGATGCGGGACAGATTTAGGTAATGCATATTGTTCGTGTCCCTGGGTTTCTTTGGCAGTAGCGAGGCAGAGCGTGTTTTGGGCTGGGACCGAGGATCAGGCTTTCAACGCGTTCGCTTTCCTAATCTTTTTCCCTTTTCTCCTTACTAGTAGCTCGAGTTCCTTGTTTCCTTAATGATCTCATGTCTCTCCAGTTTGAAACGCATTGATGATGTTACTTGTTCTTGAGATTGCCGATTAGGCAGAGGGCAGCTGCGATATACGGTTTGCGGTCTGTGGCGGAGATATCACCATAGAGCAGCAGTCAGTCAGTACACTTGTGATGTGTAGTGGAGCGCATGAAGTTGTCGCACCTTTCCTTACGAACTTGAAGTTTTTCTGTCGTGCGGGCCGTTGCTTTGGCTAGGTGTGCGTTGAGAGCTGCTCGGCCTTTGATAGCTAGACCATCAACCGCATCGGCCGCAGATACGATATGCGAATGAGGAGAAGCAGCGGAAATAGAGACGAAAGTACACTTTTTAAAACCATCCTGCCAGTGAAAGACAGACCTAGAGATGCTCCACGGAGTGGATCAAATGTTGGTAACGCTCGAAGTATCTCCGGGGCCATGGCTCTGCGCATGGGTCGCAAGCTCAACGGACATTGAGCCCGTATCATACCGGTATAGAGCTTCATAGGGGATGTTTGGTAGATACTGCCCTGATGTAGTATGAAGGAGCCAATATCGATAAGTAATATAGGCATATGTTACATTCATCTGTCGTTCATTTCACTCTCCCGCGGAGACAAAGCAAACCTTCGCAATAGGCTACGAACCGTCGAATTGTTTGTGAGATGTTGTTTTAATTTGATGTGGACATGTTGCATTGGAAGACAGGGAATGGGAGAGGAGACAATGAACCGATGGTCCCTGAAATTCCTAGCTAACTACGGCGTACTGTTCTGTACATTCTAGTGGCGCGCTTCTAGTGTGCCGTACTAAAACTTCAGATGACCTCCTCAGACAGGCGCCAGCGAATTATCAAGGCGCCAAACGACGCGTCTGAAACCTTGGGCACGCGCCGGGAGTTCACCTGATCGAGTGCAATACTATTGAAAGCCTTCGGCGCCGCCTACGAGTCCTGCACTAGACAAAGTCTTCGCAGCTCCACCAAACTTCTCTCCACTACCTAGGTACAACGTCGACAGCCATGTCGAAAGCATCAATCGCTATCGGTGCTGCTGCCGGTGCAGCAGTAACAGCAGCTGTGTTTTCTCTGCTGAACGACTCCAAGCCCTCACCTCCCATTACAACGACAACAACGACAACCGTCGCGACGCCCTCCCGAACCGGCCCTCCAGCTCCCTACCCGGCCACTCCTGTAGCCGCCAGATCACCTCCCCTCGTTGACCCGAATGGCCTCTTCCAATACGGCTTCCCGGGACCAGTAGCCGACCTCAATCCCACCGCCTCACTCACCTCTGCCTTCGACCGCCGCACCCGCAATCCCTTCTGGGTCGCCGAACATATCACACCCTTGTCCCTATCAACACACAATGGCGACCGCAAGCACAGTGTGTTCGTGGAAGACGACTCGATCCCCGAGATGTTCCGCGCAAAATTGAAGGACTATTTCCGGTCTGGCTACGACCGCGGGCATCAGGTCCCAGCCGCCGATGCGAAGTGGAGCCAGGAGGCCATGGATTCGACCTTCCTGCTCAGCAATATGTGCCCGCAGGTCGGCGATGGCTTCAATCGTGACTACTGGGCACACTTTGAAGACTTCTGTCGCCGCTTGACCGGCCGCTACCCGAGCGTGCGTATTGTCACAGGCCCGCTGTACCTGCCGAAGCGCGAGGCAGATGGCAAGTGGCGCGTCAGCTACGAGGTCATTGGAAACCCGCCGAACGTGTCTGTGCCGACGCACTTCTATAAAGTCATATTTGCAGAGGACGGGAGCGTGGGCGGTCAAGTGGCCCTAGGCGCGTTCGTGCTGCCGAATGCGGTGATTGCGAACGACAAGCCGCTGCAAGACTTTGAGGTTCCTCTGGAGGCAGTAGAGCGAGCAAGCGGGCTCGAATTTGCGACGAAACTGCCTGCGATGCGGCGGAAGAAGCTGTGTCAAGAGGTCAGCTGCTCCATCTTTGTGAAAGATTACAAGGAGCGCCAGAAGACGTTTGCGGCTAAAAACCAGGGGGCCAGGCAATAAAATGCAGGGCATCTTGGCACTAGGACGAACTGAACATAACTGGGAGACTGTTCAGAGTTACAATGTTTGAGAGCGGTTTGCATTACTTTGGCGTTTCTTATCGTATTCAAGTTTCTCGAGCCCCTTTCAGAGGATAAGCATAGCGTGGAGTTACATCACGCTTTGTAGAGTATGCATTTACAATCTAGAAGCTTTACAATGGACAGTCCCCTCCTGCATAAGACTGTGAGACGTCACAAACGTTTAGAACGAGGACTACCTGATGTGTTGAAGGCTAGTCACGTTGCCAAAAAAAAAAAGGAGAATTAGTCCATGACCATTCCAAACTGTGTACACATACATAGCGCCTTCTTTGACGACGCAGCGAAGTATCAGGCCTGTTGAAAACAGCCGCGTTGCATCTCATGTAAGATTCTGAAAAGGGAATGAGTCCCCTCTAACGATAGCAAGCAAGTGTATATAGTAGTGAGGGAAGAACGGTCAGCGTAGCTGTCTGGAAGGCATAGGTCACCACATATTTACCTTCCCCGCTCTCTCACTGTTCACTTTACCATCTTCATCACCCATCCATCACCAAATATCACGCGCCGCATCATCTTTACCATACCATTACGAGCCAACTTTCGTTAAGCTAGCCACCTCAGATGAATCTCATCTCATTATCAGTACTGCCAGTATCGGATCTTCTCCTCAACATCTCGATAGCCACCACCGCAACTCAACATCCAGGTTCCAATACGCTCAGCCCAGCAGGATGCCTCTCTGGAACGTCTACCTGCCTGACGGTAGAGACATGTTCAGAGCAGTGGCGTTAGACTCCGTCGACGAAATCTCTGAGCGCGAAAACACATTTCGGCTCGCAGCACACGACAGGGCACTGGATAAAACAGATCGTTTAGAATTACCACCACCGGACATGAAGCGCTTCAAGGCTGACCCGCGCTACGAAGATTTCCAAAGGATTCAGCTCCAGGGCGAGATCGAAACACTCAAGCCCGGCCGGCTCGTGATACGGATGGAGAACGACGTGTCCGCCCTGCTAGAGGCAAAGTTCTTCCTGGAGGACCCACTATACAGGAACGGCGTGGATGCGGATATCCGTGTCGTGGGGTCGAAGATCTATGTAACGCGTTATCATCATACGGACAATGGTTAGCTGAAGTTCAAGAAATTCTCTGCCATGTTCCCTCGCTAATCAGAAATCTGGAATGTAGTCTTGACTTCAGACCCGAATGCTGGCCCAGTGGATACTGGCCGAGGCGAGCCGCCCAGTCGCCCGGAAATGATTGACATCGACCCAGAGGAGACAGGCATTCGCAGAGATGGGACCGTTCCCCTAGAGAGGATAGTCATTCACTCATTGGAGACGGAACCTCGCCCAGCAGGAACGAACGCTCGCCCAGAGGAGACGGACACTGGCTTGCGTCGTGATAGTGTGGAGGGCGGCCAGCCAAATTTCCAGTTTGCTTCTGCAATTATCCGCTCGATAAGCGGACATCTGCAGAATACCTGGACAGCCTTGAACTCAGGCCCGAACGCTAGCCCAGAGCCGACGATGAACATCGGCCCAGAGGAGACAAACGCTCGCCCAGAGGAGACGGACATTGGCTTCCGTCGCGAGGCAATGGAGGACGGCCAGTCAAAATATGGGATAGCTGCTGCAGTTTGCCACTCGATACACGGGCATCTGGAAAACACCTGGACAGCCTTGATCTCAGGCTTCAACGCTCTGGAGCTGACGGACACTGACCCAGAGACGAAAGCTCGCCCACAATTAACGGACTGTCCCGCTCGCCCACAATCAACAGACTGCCCCGCTTGTGCCGAATTGAATCCCAAAATCAAATGCCGTGGCTGCTACAGAGACCCCCAGTGCGCAGGCTCCGAGTCGAAGTGCAAGCAAGCTCACAACATGAATTACCACACACGGTGCGCCTTTGCCACCTGGACTGTCGTTAACGAGGATTACCCAAACCGTGGTGATATCAGGATCAGTATCGTCGTTAGTAGCCAGTATAACAATGATCCGGAGTACAGATTCAAGAAGGCTCAATCGATTCACGCGGGCGGGTTCATCTATCCCGCTATCTCGTGCACGCAGGCTCATCACTGTGCCCATACGGTGTTCGGCACCATGCAGCCATCATACTTCACTGAACGTCAAGACAAATACAGGGACGCCGCTTACAGCAGACTCAAGGAGTCGCTGAAGTCGGGGACATTGAGGTCTGGAGCAGCAAAGAGCAAGGATAACAAAAGGGAGAGCAAGGACAACAAGGGAATGGGCAAGTACACCAAAGTAGGGAACGACACGGATGAGGAGGTGGGAGCATTCGAAGACATGAGAGATCCGGAGTGGGTTGAAGATCTGGCAACGCTGGAGGATCTGCCTAAGTACGAGACCGGGGAGGTCAGACTCACGAAACGGTGCAGAGAATGCGTCAGGCGCAACAAGCAATGCTGGTCGCACCATCCGGTGGACACTGACGAAGAAAAAAAGAAGAGTAAGAGCTAGGTCTTATTCGTACTTGTCTGGTACTGTTCGAAGGGCTCGATACATTCTGAGAAGGCTGGGCGAATCGTGTGTCAGCCGGTCTGGGGCATTCTTTACATCCTGAGAGCACATACCATTGTTTGAAGTACTTTGAGAGAATTGAGGGAAAGCCGGACGCGATATAGTTTCTTGGTTCCCTATATCATAGCTGAGTTACAGCTTGTTACTACTGCTCGCTATTGATCAACGTGACTCGCTATGTTCGCAAAAGCTGGACAAGTCACCCCCCTTCACATTTGTGCGTAAGCCATGCTATTTGAGCTTCTCTTGCAACTCTTTGAAGTGCTTTTACAGAGTATCCAGGAGTAGGGTTTGATGTCGTGATATTCACAGCTCCTATGTCTCGTTATAGATATCCGCCTACTTCCCTGTCACCGCTTGTGGTGCCTCATAGTATTTTCAAATTTCTAGTCTGACGGAAGTCCTGCCATTTAGACGAGATCTCGATAGTACTTAGTCAGGTCAGCAGTGAATGTCATGAGCCAGCAATGAGCCACAATTCATCTCTCGAGCGCGATGATAGTGCCTATTTCTTCTTCCCTACTACATCTCCTACCAAAATCTACTGAACCATCTCCACAACCATCATGCCGCCACCACCATCACCACCAGAGCCCACCAGCAACCACACCTCTGCCCCCGCCATGCCTGCCCCTATCACCCGCATCGACCTCGGGGACCCCGCTGAGTTCGATCATCTCTTCGACCAAGACCTCTGGGATATGCAGCGCGTCATCGTCAATCTCCCCGGCCGACAGCTCCAAAACTTCCATGATCAACTCCTCGCCATGCAGGATCCGGAAAATTCCCTCTGGGAGGAGCACTACAAGCAGGGAGGGATCGTGCAGAAGCTGTTGAAGATCTAGGAATTGCGAAGTGAGTACGACCTTCCGGTCTTCTGAGATATGGATGTTCAGAGTAGAATGCCAATGTGGTTATGATACAGTCTCAAACAACAACCCAACCTACGCGAAAGCGGCGGCAACCCAAGGCCCGACCTGCCCTATCTGTAAGAAGCTGGCGCTGCGGAAGTGCGCTGCGTGTGAAAATATTGCGTACTGCTCCCCTGAGTGCCAGAAGAAGCATTGGGCTGAGCATAAGTTTGACTGCAAGCATGTCAAGCGTATGGGTGCGGCGCAGGCGCAGGGCCAGGATGCGAGCTAGCCGGATCGGAAGCTTCTCGTGCTGAAGCCTGGCGGAAAGCAGAAGGCTTGAGGCGCGGGAGCTTGCGGGGAGCTTCTAGAAAGTGGGAACGATGGTAGTGGGTTTGCTCGCGCGGTCGGTGGATACGGTAGTGTGGAGGCTGGGTTTGCTGCGTAGTAGCGTTCAGGTTTGGAGCCAGGTTGGGTGATTGACTGAGGCAGACTGCGTTGCTGGATGCTGAATTTGTCAATGGGCCTTGGGTCTGACGACGGCATGGAACTCTGCTGCGAGGCATCTGAATCCTAACCATGGAATTTGTATTCTGCAAACAAGAGATACACTGGTTTTGGGAAATGACCTGCGATAGAAATCTTTCGATGGCGACCGGATTACTATTCCTCAAATTACTCTGATTATACAATGGCATCAGCGGAGCAGTGGTTAACAGATTTAACATGAATGCATATGAAATGTAGAAGATTGATCAAGTGCAGGGTATCGTCGCAATACAGCCATGAAATTGGAAACGCCATCGAGGGAGAACAATACCAGAGGATAAAGCCTACCCAATCGACAAGCATGAAAGAGAGCAACACACTAACAATCTACAATGAAAGAAGCCCTACTAGTAATCGAATCTCAAAAACAAAACAAATAAGCAAAACTGAATGCAATGAGCCCAGTTGTCATGATACTAGAACGGATGTATATCCGGCCGAAGCCTTACTCTCACTTGCAAATTTTACCCAAGTCAAGGGGGGTGATTTTGCTATTAAGTGTTAGTAGCTGTGCTCTAACATTCTCTAGCACAGATGTTGCACCGCAAGACTTACTACTTGTAACTATCGGGACAATCTCCCGCTTGGGGATCGGCATTGAGGAATTGTAAGCAGAATGACTCCAGAGATCTTCATTTGGAGATGCCTACGTGAACATCCAGCGTAGTCCATCAAAGTCGGTTATAGAAACGTCTCCACCCTTGTCGCAGTTGAGTACTAGCTGAGAAAGTCCTGCGATACAGCTTGCCATAGGAAGCCTGATGTTTTTATCATTTGCGTCTGAGCCAGAATCAGGGATGTAATGGACTGCTAAATGCCAATACATCTTCGTTTGATCTCCTTTCCCCGCATTGTTGAATTCGGCGCAACCTTCCTGGACGTCTCCAGGTGGGTTTGACGTTTTCGAATAGCAACGCATATTATGGTTCTCTTTTTTTATATCGCAGTCTTTTGCCCAATTTTGCTGGCATGCAGCAAGTATTGCACCGACAGCTACGTCTTCATTTTGGCGAGAAAGGCCACCGGAGTTGCAATGAGGTTGGATAGTCGTGTCGACGGCAGCGGCAAGCGCGGCAAACGAAAGAAGTAGGTGCTGCAGGGCTTTCATATTATGTGAGGAGTTGGACGCTCGTGGTTTCTAAGATTTATGCTTTCGATATCGAGAAATACGTTATTGAACGTTCAGAAGAAGTTCTGAGTATGGGGAAGTTAGTGGAATGCATGTCTTTCAAGAGAATATATACTTGAGGAGAGAAGCGTGACTCCAACTACCAACGACATTCCCTAAGAGGAAATGCGTCAAATATGACTCTCTAGAGAGGTCATATCGATGAGATAATTTACTTCGAATCATAGAGTCAGCATTATGAGGAGTGTTTCAGCAATGGGGACTGATCCATGAAGCGACACGTTTGGATTTATGGGAGACACTCGCCGTAGCTGACTCCAACGTGAAGGAATGACAAGGAAAATAACGAAAGTATATTCGCATGATATGTACCAGTTTGAAACCACGTCCCTCGATACTGTTCAGACTCGCCTTGAAAAGGCTGCAGCATTGAGGCTCAGGGTTTCTATGGACAGTGCAACCGCGGCCGGCGAACGTGCCAACAAGACGCTGGCAACGCTCCCGAAACCGCAGAGCGATTGATCTTCGCACGGTGACTCATTTGACATGATACTGGGATCTTCATGACAACTTAATGATGTGCGGAACATGTACAGTGACAGGTCATAGGACTGTGCACACGCGTTTACCACTGCCTGGGGTGCCACAAGGAATGTCAAAACCTTAGGCGCGATGTCAAGTTTAAAGTAGTGCAATTTAGGCTGCTTCTTGACTAACTAGTTGCTTACTAGCTGGGCTGCTCCTTACAGTGGTGTCGAATGAGCAAGTTTGGGGCCAAGCAGTGATAAATGCGTGTCCCCAGACTTATGACCTAGTACCGTAGCTTCGGATCATAAGTGGTCAACTGACTGAAAAGAAGTCTCACGCTAGTGGGTCTGTGAAAAGTGGAAAGAGTAGTGTATTGATGGCCTTGGAGGGACTCATTAGGTTTCAGATTCTGGAGGTGGAACCTGGTCATCGTCGTCGTCGTCGTCGTCGTCAGGCTGGACATCCATCACTTGCTCTCCGGCCTTTTCTAGAGTCCGACGGCTCCATGCTCGGACGCCCTTATAGATCGCCTAAAGCCCCGTTAGATGCAGCTCTGCGAAATGGGAGAGGAGGTGGCATACAAAGAGGAACGTAGACACTCCAACGAGGATAACGATCCAACTGACTTGCTCGTACCTGTCTCGCCCTGTGGTCCTGCCTCTAGTGCCACCCCCTCCAAAACGAAAGTACGAGAAAGGGTTTGAGAGCAAGACTTTCAGAAATCCAAGGACACCCATCGAAGTGAAGCCTTTGAGGAAATGCTCAACCCAGGACGACTTCTCCTCAGGTTCATAGTAAGACTCAGGCTGGCTGCTGGAAAAGAGAGAGAAATAACTGTACGGGTCAAGGTAAAGATTGATGATTGGGTCTGCAACAAATCCTAAAAAGAAGACGGCTAGAACGAGGATGGCAATCGTCAAAGAGATCTGGGCGGCTTTTGAAGAACACTGGTTTAGTAAATGGAGTCAGTAATGAATTGGTAGAGGTGCTCACTTTTGCTAGCAAGGCTACGGCCCCATCCTAGTCGTGCTAGACGGTAGCTAAATCCACAGGTTGGGCACTGCCAGTAATTGCGGCGTCCGTAGGAAGGATCAGAGTGCCGCCAGGCTTGGAGACACCCCTCATGGACGTATTTGGACGAGCCTTTGCATTTGCAAGGTCGGAGGAGACGCCCTTCTTCTGACTCGTACGTGACGGATGGCCCGGGTTGAAAAATACCAGGTAGATGTTCGGGTGCCGTATGGAACGTTGGCTGCACCGTTTCAAGACAAATACGGCACTGCCTTGGGGGCCAGAACCTCCGCCGTGGCCGCTGGTTTTGGGGCTGACTGTTGCTTTGTGGAGTGCTGGATTGAGTCCCTGAGGACGCCTCATCCTCTGCCTTCGGTAAATCGTCTGGCCAATACCAGCCCGGCATGGTTTGGGGTTCATTCGCAGACATGATGGTAGGCTGATAGCTATAGAGAAAATGATCGGGACGTTGAAGGCTTCAGTACCGGCGGGCAAAAGGTCTGTCAGGAGACAAGAGCGGCGAGGCCTTCAGGATAAAGATTGCAAGCGCGATTAGTGGTGTCAGGTATTCTTCCTGCGAAATATCTAAGGTCAAGCCATACGGCAGGAAGTAATAGCAGGGGAGGCCTCATATGGCGGAGGGCAAGGAAAGGTGGAGGCATGGACGGAGGGCAAACTTGCTGCCAAATGTCTCGCGAGAAAGACGAGTTGCTCGGAGCTGCATCGGGCCGGTGAGCGTCTTGGCACGCGTCGTCTTGAGCTTGCCTAGAGCTCTGTGGAGGTATCCCTCTCTTCCACATCACCACTCTTCTCACAACCTCACAGCCTGCGTCCCTGGCATCTGCTGTCTTTTCTACATAACCCCGAGTCTTCTTCATCGACGATCCACCCGCCATGGCTGATCGATACTCGTTCTCGCTCACCACTTTCTCGCCCAGGTAAACACCTTCCCCGCGAAGCTCTCCTGTCTGCGCATCTTTGCTGACATTTCTCGCAGCGGAAAGCTGGTACAGATAGGTGCGCTCCTGTTCCGCCCGTGTCGGCTACTTGATCTTCAGCTTTGCCTAATCGTCGTGTTGTAGAATATGCCTTAAACGCCGTCAACCAAGGAGTGACATCCTTAGGAATCAAAGGCATGGAGCTCTTCTTATACTTTGAACATGCTATTGACGATCCACAGCAACGAATGGCATCGTGCTTGCGACCGAGAAGAAGTCGTCATCGCCGCTCATCGACTCCCAATCTTCCTCGAAAGTCAGCCTCATAACACCCAACGTCGGCATGGTGTACTCCGGCATGGGCCCAGACTACCGCATTCTTGTCGACAAAGCCCGCAAAGTCTCGCACACCGGATACAAGCGCGTTTACAATGAATACCCGCCCACGAGAATATTGGTGCAGGACGTTGCCAGGGTCATGCAGGAGGCCACCCAACAAGGTGGGGTGCGGCCGTACGGCGTCAGTCTGCTGATCGCTGGATGGGATGATGGCATCGAGCCGGAGTCGGAGGTGAAGGATTCTGGAGAGACGGACGCAGAGAAGAAGCGGGCGACGGGCAAGACGGGTGGCATCCTCAAGGGTGGACCTAGCTTGTACCAAGTTGATCCTAGCGGAAGCTACTTCCCTTGGAAGGCGACGGCTATCGGAAAGAGCGCTACCAGCGCGAAGACGTTCTTAGAGAAGAGGTATACCGAGGGCTTGGAGTTGGAAGATGCGATCCACATCGCCCTTCTTACGCTGAAAGAGACGATAGAAGGAGAGATGAACGGCGAGACGGTTGAGATTGGTATTGTGGGCCCACCAGAGGACAAGCTCCTGGGATACGAAGGTGTCGAGGGCGCCCAAGGGCCTAGATTCAGGAAGCTGAGCCCCGAGGAAGTCGAGGACTATCTCACGAATCTGTAGAGCTCGGTGGGCTTGGGTATAGCATATGGGTTTCACTTTCTTGGAGTCATGATGCGTTCCATAGAGCACTTCGGCGCTGCATGTATATTTTATGGCAATGAGATGTCCTGAAATATTCTGAACATCTTGCGACTTTGTTCCGTGGTAATTGACAGGGCCAATGTGAAATTAATTGACAGGAAATGATTCCTATAGCTTCATCGCACTACGATGCTTTCAACTGTAAGTATTCCAGTCCAGTGTATAAATCTTGCGAGCCAATCATAGCTTCGGCAACTGCCGCCAAGTCTGCTCCGCGATGTCGTGCAACATGTCTTTCCTTTCCAGCTCAGCCTTGAATATCCCCACGACCGGATGTTCCCTGTAGCCTGACTCTCACCGGAAAGATGTGCTCTGTTCTTTTAGATCCAATCATTAAAGGTTTATGAAGTGGCACAGTCGTGCCTTCGTATCGACCTCACCTCAGTGGCATCCGCACTCCGTGGTCTGTTCACTGAACAGTGAACTCCTACATTTCATCTCTCTATTTTCTACGTCTTCGAGAAGCCCATTATGGAAACCCATACGGACACTTCAGACAATGGATTCACGGTCCAGGCGGGTCTACCCAATGAGACCTTTCGTCTGCGCTCGTACCAGACCGAAATGGTTGAGGCCAGCCTCAAGGAGAATATTATCGTTGCCATGGACACTGGCAGTGGCAAGACACATATGTAACAATCATATGGACATCTATGATGCTAGAGCTTTGCTGAATCTCCAAAGAGCGCTCGCCCGAACAGAAGCAGCCCTAGAGACGTCCGACCCTGACCAGGTACCGACTCTTCTCCCGACTCTCTCATATGGTTGTATTGCTAATGCGGCCAAAATCATGTTAGATGGTATGGTTCCTCGCTCCGACAAAAGCGTTATGCCACCAGCAATACAACGTATTCTGCTCCCGTCTCCCAGGCTTTGGCGTTCGTTTCCTAAGCGGCGAGGACGACGTCGATCGTTGGACAGATCAAAGTATATGGGATGATGTGCTCAAGAACGTCAAAATCGTGATCTCGACGCATGCCGTTTTACTTGATGCTCTTTCTCACGGATTTGTCAAGCTGAACCGTGTGAGCCTTTTAATATTCGATGAAGGTATCCTTTCTTACCATCTCGAGGACCCATGACAACTTTACTCATTCCATCTAGCTCATTCTTGTACCAAAGATCACCCAGCACACCAGATCATGCAGAAATTCTATCTACCTCTGAAATTCTCTTCGGCCTCTGACTCAATACCTAGAATCTTGGGGCTCAGCGCTAGCCCTGTTATCAATGCCAACCCTAAGGGTCTTGAGTACGTTCAATACTCTGACTGGAGACACTAGAGATACTGAACAGCATCAGGACAATTGAGAAGAACCTTGACGCAATCACGAGGACACCCAAGCTTCACCGCTCGGAACTAATTCAGTTCGTCCACAAGCCGCAATTCACCATAGTCTCCTATTCTGGCCTTCATTCAAGGAAGAATTCCAATCCAGACTCTTATCAACGCCTGCTCAAAATTGTAGGGGCCCTCGATAGTATGCAAGACCCTTATATCCGTCGGCTAGTCGAGCAAGTGGAAGCCGGCGATTCTCAGGCCAGGCGAAGGTTGGAAAAGACATTAATGAAACATGACACGTACTGTCAGAAGCAATTGAACAACATTGCGGCCAGGCTAACCCATATACTCAATGACCTCGGTTCTTGGGCCACTGACTGGTTCTTGCGGGAATGCACTTCGAAATTCGAGAGGCTCCTGGACAGCTCAGATCCGCTACTTACTCCGTACTCCAACACCGAAAAGCAGTATCTACATGCAGTCCTTGAAAAGGCTTTAGTAGAGTCTGTTCCCGTCCTTTCTCCCGTTGGACAGTACTGCACACCTAAAGTACAAGCTTTAGTAGACACTCTAGTTGCAGAATCTAACCCTGATTTCAGAGGGATCGTATTCGCCGAGCAAAGGGCAACGGTTGCGGTGCTAGGACAGCTGCTCTCCGAGCACACCCGAACCAAGGATGCGTTTCGTATTGGAACCTTCGTTGGTACATCGATAAGCTCGAAGAGGAAAATGAATTTGGCGGACCTTGCAGAGCCCCGTCTCCAACAACAAGTCCTAGAAAAGTTCAGAGACGGCGATAAAAATCTCATCATCGCTACGAGCGTGCTGGAAGAGGGAATTGATATATCCAGCTGTCATCTCGTCATTGACTTCGACCCCCCTAAGAACTTGAAGGCATTCATTCAACGTCGCGGACGAGCTCGAAAAGAAAAGTCAAAATACATAGTTCTCACGCCCAGTTTCGGTTCGGTGCAAGTAGCTTCAAATCCTTGGGAGAGTCTTGAAGAAAAGATGAAGGAAGCTTATATGAACGATCTTCGGGAAATCAAAGCTGCGGAAGAAAGGGAAACGATAGAAGAAGATTCAAACTTAGCTTTCCGAATCGCCGCTACTAAGTGAGTTCTGTCTCTGCTTTTTCTTCCGTTTCAGCAAGAGTCCAAAATTTTGCCACGCTCGATACGACTCATGTTCACGGCTGACCAACTCCCAGTGCCCTCGTGGATCTCCACAACGCATCTCAGCATCTTCACCATTTTTGCGCAGTACTGCAGAGCAACTCTAACATTGATATGAGACCTCAATTTTCTTTCAAGAATGACGAATACGACATGGTAGAAGCCCATATCACTCTTCCAGCATCGGTAGATGCCTCAGTACGATGTTCAAGCAGTTCCAGAAGCTGGTTGACCGAAAAAAGTGCGAAACGAGACGCTTGCTTGCAAGCATACAAAGCTTTGCATGCAGCTGGACTAATCAACGACAACCTTCTCCCACTTAGTCAAGAGCTTGGAGGAACGCCGCAATTCAACATACCGGACAATCGCCCTTCACTAATTCTAGTAGAGCCCATGCTAAATCCATGGTCATGGGTTCTGTCCCAGCCGACGAACACTTCGGAGAACACCAAGCCGACGGAATCGCTCAGTGAAAGAAGACGCTCCAACGCGAACGCCACGACCTATTATCGAACTCTCGTCTGCCTATCATCCGCTGGCGAGCAATCCGCAAGATTCATCATGATTACTCAATCTCCACTGCCTCAAATTCCGGAAGTCATCCTTTACTGGAATGCAACAAAACGATATGTTATCTTGGCACAACCCCTCGAGTCAGCGCTGTATCAAAAGAAGGAAATCGAATTCTTCAAGGCAACCACTTTCCGTCTTCTTCGCTCCATATTCGGATCTCGAATGCCAGCAGAGCGACGCGACTTTATGGCATTATTCGTTCCTGTAGAAGATGGAAGCTCTCCAAAGGCCACTCAGCTGCGTCACTGGCTCCGGATGACAGAGAAAGATAGTCCAACGGTGGGTGCTTTGACTTTCTTGAGTCAGCATCAAGGGCAAGAAGCTGGACTAATTCAAGTTCGCGGGGAAGATCGCCTGTTCATCCTGCAAGAAGTTTTGGTTGAGAATAACGGCACAGAACCGCGACTTACAGTCTCTCGCTTCCCAAAACGGAGAGACTTTCTGCATCCAGAGAACCCGGGGAACCAGATTAACGAAGCATATTCATATGTGCTAGAACTAGAAGCGAAAGACTGCCTTGTCCATCGACTTCCAGCTTCTCTCTCTATTTTCGTGCTCTTCATACCCTCTCTCCTTAACAGGTACGAGGTGCACATGCTTGCTGAACGTCTTCGCACCACCATTCTAGCCCCCGTATCTTTTGATTCCACAGACCTAAGTATTATTGTCAAAGCTATAATGGCTTCTTCTGCAAATGAAGCAGAGGACTACCAACGGCTAGAGTTTCTTGGCGACTGCATTCTAAAGTTGTGTACCTCTGTAAACCTCATGGCATCTCATTTGATGTGGCCAGAAGGTTATTTGACCGCAGAAAAGGGCCGCACGACTTCCAATGGCTTCCTGGCTCGGGCTACGATGCAGCTAGGCCTCGAGCGCTTCATCGTCACTAAAGGGTTCACTGGGTCTAAGTGGAAGCCTCAGTACGAGGCGGATATCATCTCCAGCCAAGCGGAGGAACGTGTCGGGAAGGTTGAGCGGTCCTCGAAACTAATCGCCGATGTCATCGAGTCGTTGATAGGGGCAAGCTATGTAGTAGGAGGTCTACCGAAGGCTCTTTCTTGTCTCTGTACTCTTCTACCAACCGAGGACTGGAAGCCCCTTGAAGAGTCTCAAGAAGTGCTCTTCGATGCCGTTCCGGAAGAGCCTTCTCCTCGCCATTTAGCGGTGGTTGACTTGATCACTGGCTACACATTTACGAAGAAACATCTAATGCTAGAAGCGCTCACGCATCCATCATTTGTTGGACCAGCCGAAGTCGCATCATCTTCGTATCAACGCCTCGAATTCCTCGGTGACGCCGTGCTCGACTACATCATCGTCGACCGTTTGTACGCACACAGCCCGGAATTGAGCCACGAAACGATGCACTCTATCAGATCGGCCATGGTCAATGCCGCCTTCCTCGCCTTCATGTCCTTCGAAAACACAATTGCGAAAGAACAAGCCAACATCGCGATCGACCTCGTCACAAACGAGCGGCTTCCACAGGAGCCTTCCATCGTTCAAAGAGCGCTCTGGCAGTACCTACGTCACTCATCACCGCAGACGCCTCAGCTACAAAAGGCAGCGTTAGAACGCCATATGGTTTCTCGCGATGCCATTCTCAGCGCCTTGAAAGAAGACCGCAAATACCCATGGTACCTCTTTGCGCGGACAGAAGCCGAGAAGTTCTTCTCTGATGTCGTGGAGAGCATGATCGGCGCTATATACGTCGACAGCCACGGCGACATCTCTGCCTGCGAGGGGTTTATCAGAAACTTGGGAATCATGGACTGCTTAGAACGGGTGTTGAGAGATGCTGTTGATTGTTTGCATCCTAAGGAGCGACTGGGTCATATGGCGATCAGCGATACCGTGACTTATAGGCGTGTGGACACCGGCGATAAGGAAAGGTATTACTGCCAAGTTGAGGTCGGCGGGAGGGAGATTGGGGGTGTAGTGGGGGGTGTGAAGAGGCTGAATGCGGAGACAGAGGCGGCTTGGTGGGCTGTGAAGATCTTGGAGGAAGGAGAGGATACGGATATGGAAGGCGGAGTTACGGTGGTCGAGAGTGAAGGATCGGAATCGCAATTTGAAGACGCCAAGGAGGCTATGGAATAAGACCAAGGGATGGAAGGAAACGAAGAAGACCAGGAAATGGGAGAAAGCTAGGAGATGGGCAAAGATCGGCAGATGGAGGACAAATTATTTCTTGAAGGGAAGTCACCGGTATCACGACTCTGACGAATAATGATGCATGATTGAGGATCCACTTGAATGTTCAAAGTCTTCTTTCAGGTGTCCTCGGAGATTGCATTGTAGTGAAGCCATCCTTCCTCTCACCCTTACACCGCTCGCAACGTAAGCAACTCACCACCTCCTACCATCTCATTGTGAATAGTAAGTGGGGACCACCTGACTGTTCGCATGAATCGTAGGACCCTTGACGGTGGCAACAGAATGTATAATAGGCTCAGTTCTTAACAGCGTGGAGAATGTGATTGCTGGCGGAAACACCAGGAGTTCGTCAGATAGATTGAAGTGAACATGAGTTTGTATTGTATGAATGTGCGAGCTTATATACGTAATTGAAAGGAGAGTAACGTGACTAGGTATAGCTACGCAGTGCGGAAGCTGATAAAGCAGCTACGTACTCATACGTACTGAAGCCGTATAGATAAACGCTTACTGTGAATGTAGAGGCGGAGGTGTATGCCGAGTCAATAGATCTATAGGTCAAAGCTCAAGAGGAATTCCAGCAGTCAGAATGGCAGCTTGGAAACCAGAAACTATCGCAAAAAAACCGTTATGTTGAAGAGTCCCGAAGTCCTTCAACAGGTCAAACCCCATTTTAAGCCAGCCTCTCTTCTAATGTCACCTGCATCGCTTCCTCAATCTGCTCCAACCACAGCCCATGAGCCTCTCTCTTCCGCCCAGCGTCACCCCATACCCTCAACAGCTTTAAGAGATTGTCAATCTTTATCAAGAATGTACTTCTTCTCGCATCACCCGCCTTTAGAGCCTGCGAAGACCGCCGCGCCCAACTCAGTATCACCTTCGCCCCGTACACAACTCGCAACCCCAGCGTGAATACCTCCGGCTTACTCGCCCATCCGAGTGCTCCGTCTTCCTCCTCCACCGTCGTAGTAGTCAGCGTATTGACTCCCTCAATGATCCAATGCTCGAACTCCTCCAGAAGGCCGTTGTTCGGACCTGGCTCAAAGGGAAGGCGGCCTGAGACTGCCGCCCAGATCGCAATTTCTCTACTTTCGTCAATGAATAGATTTTGCTTCTCTTGCGCAAATAGTGCGGAGTTCTCCTTGCGCGCTTCTACCAGCGCAGTTGGGAACGGCTGTTCGAAGGGGCCTTGGCCAACTGCAGTACCCATGAAGCGGCGTATGGCCTCTTCGTGAAGGAGGCTATAGCCGGTATAGACGATTGCGAAGTGTTCCGCGAGCCGTTGGCTAGCAAGCAAGGGTACGACGTCCCGGGAATTTGATATGTAGTCGGGACCCGCCAGCACTCTCGCAGCGACGGAGGCAGCGACCTCGCGGATGTCGTCGTCATCGTCGTTTAGGGCATCGTAGACTAAGAATGCGAGGCGAAGCAATTGCGGACTCTTGGGTGTAGTCCAGATATGCTGGAGTCCGGCGAGGGAGCGCGCGGCGGCGAATCTAATGTCAAAAGGCTATGAGAATACATTAGCAGAAGACTGGCAATGATTGACGTCATGGGATGCGTACATTAGACTCGTCCAACCCTCTAGAAATTGTTCGGGCGTATCTTTCCATTTCTTGAATGACGTCTAGGTCCCATTCCGGACTGACTCGTGCCTTGTGGTCGAGGAAGTATCCATATAGTGGCAACGAGGCCTCGCATTCCATAGGTGGGCCACGTAGACTGCTCTTCTCGAGGTCTTCAATCGTCTGACTAATAGTCTGATTGTCGGCAGTTTTGAAGAAAGAAGATCTAACTGCTTGATCTGAGAATAGGGAAGCGATGGCGGTGCGTGATGCGGCTTTGCCTTCCGGGTCCATGGCATCTAGTGAGATGCTATTGAAGCAGGCGACGATCTGCGGTTTGGAGAATGCTAAGGAATGAGATTTTGCGCGATCAATTAGTTCGACTAGTTCCTCGAGAAGAACGCAATAATTGTCCGGATCGAATCTTGAAAGGTCTCTCAAGAGGGTTTCGAAAGCCGTATATTTATCTTCGACGTTTGATGGAGGTCTTTCGGACATCTCCCACTTGAATAACTGCTGAAAGATGAGGTAAAGGCTGACGGACTTGCGCAGCAGAGCTGAACCAGCAACCAGGCTCGATTGAAACCCCGTTGTGAGGTATCTCATACTACTTCGATAGTCTTGCTGAAGGTGACCTGCGATACTGTTGAGTGTGGCCAAGTGTTTTGATGTATGCCGTGCCCGAAAAAAGGCCTTGCTGAACTCATTGATGACATCCAGATAGGCTGAACGTATTAGAGGGTTTAAAATGTCTTCGTACAAGTCATTGAAATGATTCAGCACCTCTTCCAGGATGCTGTCAACCCGCTCTATCCAGTTGTCAGTCCAGGTCAAATACATATCATCAAAAGGAGCAGCATACTAGAGTAAGATTTGATCAACGTGGGCATTGAACGAGCCTTCAGTCCATATCGTAGACAAAGTAGCTTTCCATGAATCGCATGCTGGCCAATGCTAGTCTGGGCCAACAAGGCCTGGATCTTGTCCAGAAAGTCGTGAGAACGGAGACCAGAAACCCAGGTTCGAGCCGCCATGTCCCGAATGTACCAATATGGTGCTTTGGTCAATTCAAGAACAAGCAGTCGTATATCGTCCTCTTTGGCGGATGGGGGCGGAGCTTGTTGAAGGATTTGTAGAGCCGGGAACACGGCCTCCATTGCTTGATCGGTTTTTCTAGATGATATAGAAAAGCTTGCCTCGATGGCATCCCTGCTTGGTTCCCCTAACGTCATCAACCTGACCACAATATCGAGCAAATTGGGAAATCGGTCGTATGATAAGCGCGACGTTCTCGTAAAGCGTTTCTCTTTCCAGTTTTGCGTATCGCCTGTACCTAGTAGCCGCTCAATTAACGCCTTGAAAAGCATAAGTCCACAATTCCGGATTGGCCAACTATCCAACGTCAGTCACATCAAATGCTCACTGCTGAGAAGAAGGTGCTACTCACAATTCTGATCCTAATTTTGTCGCAGCAAGATCTAGTCCCTTGCTTAGGTAGACCTCAGATGCCGAGGATAGTTTTGTGGTTGTGTAGATGTCCTTAATGCAGTTGAGTGCATGGACCTGAGGTATGCGGCTCTCATCGAACTTCGAAAGCCCTACGTCTAAAGACGCCTCCGAGAAAAGGTCTTCCACGACATGTTTGAAAAGGGCGCTCTCTGAGTCTGCGGAAATAATCCCAGTTATCAGAAACGGTATTCCGGCAGAGCGCCGGGTGATGATTAGAGATTCGTCCCGGATGTAGAGCATGGTATCCTAAACCGCCTCAGCAATGATATATACATGAAATGGCCACGTAACGTACCTGATACCATGAGAGCAACAAGCCTTGAGTAGCTTCGTTTCCTATCTTAGAACAGCGTTGACAGCAAACTGCAAATGTCTGTGCCACCGCGGAGCACGCTCCTCGGTGCCTGAGGTTGATCAACTGAGTGAAGCACAATGTCCCTAGCCGCTTGAGCTGGAAATTATCCAAGATAGAGAGCGATGAAACTGTCTCGAATGGAGCTTTAGAGACGATCGCCCGAAGTAGCAAGCTGATTCGCTTAGCTGAGGTCCCATAATCGGAGGGATTGACTAACCTGGCCTCTTTGAGCGCTCTCCAAGAGTAACTCAATATATCTTTCGTCGTGGTTTGTGAGTCAGCTTCCATGTCATCTGGTACATGGCCTTCAGGTGCATCGTTGCACAGGACGTTTTGGACGCAATTCCACACGTCATGAAAAGCCATGTAGAGTCGGGAGTGTAGATTCCTCCATGCTTCTAAAGACTTTCGCGGTGCGGCTTCAAGGATCGAATAGAAATCAGCGCGCTCCACAATGAATCTCCGGCGCATCAGCTTTGTAATACATGTAACCTCATATAGACTTACCTGATACTAGCGAGGATACCGTGTACAGGATATTGGTTTACAGCGACGGAGAGATTATGTCGAGCGATTTTAACGGTCTGTTCTAGTTGCTCCGTTAGATGGATGATAATTGTCCACTTGGACAACCACCACTCTTCATGTTCTCCGGTGATGCTGTGAATAAAACCACTGTCATCACTCTGAGAATACAACAGCTCGTAGGCTCTCGCTACCCCGTCAGCATGATCAGCCCGGCCAGTTCGGAGCATGATCTTCTCGGCTCGTTCGATAAAACGCAAAAGCTCCATTGATTTGGCTTGGGACATCTCATTTGGACGAAGCGGGGATGGCGTATGATTATCGCTAGGAGGTGTGTGACCGTCTAGCTGCTGTAGAATAGTTCGATTTCCTTCGTACCTAAGTCTGAGAATAGAAGCTGCCACACTATGGACCTCATCGAATGGGTCTAGCAAGAGGTCTAATAGCGATCTTGTTAGTTCAGGAGTGTATATCTTCCTCTGATGGTGCCACTTCTTGTCTCCTTGCGCTTGCTTTGCAAGGCTTGTATGCGAAACGCTAGGGTCTAGGCCTGACCTGATCACGATGTTTAGCGACTTCAGCGCAGTTATATGCCGCTGATACGACGCAGTAGGTCGAAGTTCAGAGTCAATGAAACTGATGTACCACGATATGAAGTTGATATGGTATTTCAGTATAACATGCAACTCGTCTTTGTTGGTTTCTGATTTTCGGCTCCCATCAGAACTTTTGCTAGAGAGTGACTTCAGAGCTGCTGTGTTTCCGGCAAGCGCTTTGCTCAAAGTCGCTGTAGATGATCTAAGGCGGTCAAAAAGCCGTTGTATCTGACTTAATAATTCGCCGCGGAAATTTGCATCCGTGTCTGCGTGGAGGTGAAGCATGTTATCTTGAAGACATTGGAGGCTTCCTTTGGTGATTGGCTTTGTGATAGTAGCAGAGGAAGCCAAGAGCGAGATTCCCGCGAGCCTAGCTTCCGGATCCAAATGAGATAAGAGTCTTCCAAATACAACATCTGGAACGAGCAAAACACCAGCACGTACTTCGATAGTCTTAAGTTTGGCGTGATCTAGTCCCGTCAGCAGTGTAACTTTCGTTAGCTTGGGTTACATGCAACGGACCAACGTCTTTGACCATTCCAATATCTCTGCCAACTTGAAGCGCAGCAAAAAGTATGCTGGTTTCCACCGGGTCATCCGATCGGCTGTTAGTGGCGTCCTTGTCCTCCGCCACGATGGACGAAGTCTGGCCTAGGCAACGGTACAATCGGAGATGATTTAGGAAAAAGATATAGTCATCAAAACTCAGACGGAAGACTTCCGGAAAGACATGATGCCGAAACTCTTGAATACTCTCTGGAGAAGCCCGAACGCTGTTTTCGAAAGGCTTTACCCACAGTGGAAGATCCGTTCTTGGCCCGTCTTTGAAAGAGGTGAACTTTTGAGTTTTTGCAATGAAGTGGGCGACTAAATGTCCAGCAGCAAGCGCAGTGTCATTGTGTAGTACCCAGTCGAGGAATTTCGCGAGAAGGTTCTGGCCTAGCTCTGCTCGTAGCGGACGGCGGTTTGAATTCACATCAGACCCGCTGGATAGATCAATGAGCTGATCGATGGAGACCAAGTCTTTGGATATGAAGTGTGCCAGTGCTTGCAATGCAGGTTTGACTTTTCGGTGGTTTTGGTACCTAGAGATGAGGTTGACGGCTCTCAAGACCGCTTGATCACGAAATTGTAAGGAACGCGGAGTGTTCTCTCTTTTTAATACACCAGTGAAAACAACGAGCAGCTGTCTCATGGACTTCGCTTTGGATTTGTCGAAAAAGTCCAGGTAAATGCCAAAGAGCCTTGACCAAATCTGCTCTTCCCAAATGACATTGCGTACAATCTCAAATTTGGAAACCTGGCATGGCTCAAAGATTCCACACAAGGCAATGCATGCGGTAGCGCGATGTGGTGGTGATAATTCTGCAACTTCAGCTGTCCCTATCAGTGCATGAAGGGCATCTTTCACTATCCTGGTCGTCGTTAGCAGAGGACATTGTAGGCACCTAGATAGGGTAGCATATGGAAGCCATAGACCATCAAGAATTTCAACCTTACTTAAGTTGGCTTTCATCGACAGTTGTAAACGAGTCGAGGCGAGCTATGAGATGAGAAGCTTCTGTACCTATTTGACGGATGGCGTTCTCATCAATGGGAATGATTGCTGAAGATGCCGGCTCAGCCATTGCCATTTTATGCCGAGCGTGGGGCTCTATGGTCGAAGGCTCCCAAGTTTCATCGCATGTTAGAGACGGGGACTTTATCCGTACCCAGGTGCCTGAGAAGAATGTCGACAGAGTAGAGGGGATTAGAATCTTCGTCTAGCGTGCCAAGCGACTAGGACCTCGAAGTTTCTCCGGTTTCCTGACGACATCTCAACCATGGGACTGTCTTATTAATCAGGGGGTCTCGATGAGGATTGTCCGCACACTTGAAAAACTAATATGCACGGAGTTCTATCAGCTGTGTTTCATGAAACCTCTGAAAGTCTTCAATGCTCGCTGCCCTGGTGAGTATCGAGACTCAGAACCATTGACGTTCTGCAATACGTGAATTCAGAGCGTTGCAATCGCAAACCAGTGGTTGGAGGAGGTCAATACAACTCGTATATAGGATATACGATGCTGGTCAGTCTATTAACAATGTCCGCTTTTGTGCTCGACGACGGAGATTTTATTTCGATCAGCCACACAGCTTCGTTCAAGACCTCAGCCACTGCTTGTCGCCGTTGCGTTCTTGCTACCCTTCAAACGAATCCAATGAAAAATAATTCCATGAAAAGAATCCGATGAAAAGAATCCGATGAAAAGAAATCGATGAAAAGATTCCGATGAAAAGAATACGAAGAAAAGAATGCAAAACAAAAGAATACACAGAATAAAAGAGAAAAAAAAAGGGGCCGTGTAATACGAGCGTGTGAAACAACACACCCATTCGTCCGTGGTATATGCCATACTGGATCCACGAACCTGCGATGAGCATATCTTCTTTCGAAGCTACTGTGGTATCCGGGGTTTATTTTGTGTCTGGACCGTGCGCGGCATTCACCTTTACTTTCAAATACACCAATCATAGCCTTTGTTTGTATGTATCAAAATGCTCAGGCAATACAAACGGGGCTGTAATTGGTGCACTTTAAATACAAGGTGAATGCTGCGCACGGTCCAGACACAAAATATACCCCCGATATACCACAGTATGGCTTGATGGATGGATTCAATACTTGTTCAGCATTTGGTAACCTGGTAGGTGCTTCAGAAATTTCTACATGGATCAGACGGAAAACATCGCTCTGGATTCTAGTGCGACTGTCTAAGGTGGCTTCACAGGTGGACTGCTTGCTCAAAATTTCAGACCTATGTCCCGATTGGATTTGTGAAAATGTATCAATTCAGGCAGTCGTAAACAGGCGGACGCATTCACATGCTGCTGCCAGAGCATTTCGGCGTACTCTGTTTTCCTAGACAAGATGCCAGATTATAATCTTGAGATGCTGTTGAATTCACTGGGGCATCTGAAACGTTATCAAGGAAGGGCTAATAGACTGATCCCTAAGCCCTGCAACAGGTGCCCAGATCCGAGGATCCGAGTTGCACTTGACCAAGAATATGGTGGGATTCTATCCAGAGAAAGAGCCATAGAGGGTGACGCTTAGTAACTAATATTACAGCAGAAGGTTCTCTTTAGGCTTTCCATGGGCATCTCAAGCCTGGTCCCATCCATCACATTCCTACCGTCCTTCCACGGCCGGAACTAACCAAAGTTGCAGACCGTGGCAACCGCCGCGATTCACTCGTCGAACGGCCGGCAATCCCGCTCTCCTGCAACGCCGTGTCGAGGGCTATACTAAGATGGTCTCCGCTCCATCGTCTGCAATGTTCGCAGTGAAGCGCAACCTTGGTACTATGTCGCCAGTCGATGGCCAGAGAGGCGAGGTGGCTGGCGCAGGCGAACAGTCGTTTCGACGCCCGACCGACAATTCATCCTCATCCAACACCACGCTGCTATGGTCTAGTCGCGAGTACGTCCATCTTCCTGAACACCAGCCAACCGCTTCTTCGTCCATCGCGAGATCTTCCCCTATAATGGCGCAAAACACTACTCCATCAGTTACTCCGCTTTCGCCGCAGACCTTCGAGAACCTCCTTCAGCAAGTGCGCTATGTCTCTCCCCATCAGCGGCCTGCCGCATCTACAGTCACGGGCCCCCAAGCCTCTCAGTCTCCCGTTGGCTTATCTAGGGCACAAAGCATTCATCATCCTCTCGCTGAGCATCTGGAACGTGTCGCACTTCATCGCGCTCAAGAGTTGGCCGCTGTCGGACAGCCCGCGACTAGCTCATCGATAGCCCGAAACGCTCATGCACTCGCCGCGCGAGTGCGACTCTCCAGCCAGGCCCCCGCCCTTCCTGGGCTACAACCCCCTCGACCCCATACCGACTCGTCTCCATCTCTTCAGCAACCTCCCAATGAGGCCGCTCGACAGTCCTGCCAGCAGGCGGCAGCCACACCGCAGAATATCAGACCCACGATCCCCTGGTCATGCCCTAATAGTAAAATGGTGGAAATGGTCTTCAATCACGATTCTAGCTCACGCGGAGCAGGCGTCTTCTTGCGCACAAAGGCCGGGTTCGCCTACTATATGGTGCGCAAGATGTTCGTGGATAAGGGTGACATATTCCACGTCCCCGAACACCTAAAGACTGGGCTCATAATGCCTCGTGACCAGGTCGTTGAAACCTACCGGTACATCTACGAAAGCTGGTTGGAAACGCAATTCAGACGCTTCAAGCCTGAGTTCGATGAATACTACATCAGGGGCGAAGAGGCTGAAAGCCGTTTCCGCAACTTGGTTGGTCGCATAGGGGCCGCTCAAGAGGTGTTAGTTCGCACAAGAAACGCTGCAGAGGCAAAGAAAGCATTGGAGGCTGAGCCGCCCAAGCTGCCACTCGACGTGCCCCGAAGAGTTCAGATCACCCGGCCGCAGCTTCCTGACCTCATCGCCGAAGTTGTCAAGCCCTATGCTAAGCGGCGCCCCGGTATTTGTATTCACACCCGTCTTGATATACCTTTCAAGCCCTGTATGCAAGCGCCCGCCGTTTTCTGTGTTCACATCCGTGATATTGAGCATCCGCTGGCCCCAGGCGAAGTGCACGCTCTTCCCCCCTGGGCATATTTCGGTAAAGTCTAGGAAGTCATCTATCCGAGGACTTACGCTAACTCCTCTCAAGCCCCCGAAGACCAGAACCCGCCGACGGAGCGTTCTACGCCTACGCTGTCCTTACTCTGGGTGCCACTTGAATATCACCCGTTGCCCCACGACGACAATCTCACCGCTGAGCAATACAATGAGATATTCGATAAGCTTTTCGACTACCCGGAAGACCGTCTACTAGCCCACGGGAAGCAGAAACGTACGGAGGACGTTGAGGATGATGGAGCAAGTGAGCGATATGACTCGATGACTGAGGCAGCCATGGAATAAGTAGGGCACCAACGAGAAGGTATCGTAGGGATCTGGCGTCGGCGCTCAGGGTTGGTTATACTCATTCTTGTGCCCATAGGCACGATAATAAATAATCCATTGCTTTGATTTACTATCTATGAGATATGATTTGGTGATGCCTATCACCAGTAGCTTGGTTATCTAAGCCTTGACCTTTGTGAACGCATTCACGTCCACTGTCTGAGGTGCCCCAGCGAAGTTAGTGATTGTTCAAAAGGATGAGTTTCAGTCTTCAGCTCTGTGAAAATGTATCGAGAACACTCAGGTTGCCACTACTAGCGTGTCAGTGGCGTTACATCCTTCCATATCCGTAACAAGGGGGAACAGGGGAGTACCCCCCCCCCCCTTTCATAGGCTATATATACGGGCCTTATGCCTCTTCAAATCAACACAGAACTGCTTCTTCACAACCTGAGAAGAACCTTCAGACAGCGCTAGACGAGTATACACAGACAAATTCAACGGCTTATCGTATGTGTGAATGGGAGATTTCGCAGATCTCTAGACTACAGTACAGGGCCATAAGTCTAGGCACACGCATTTATCACTGCTTGGCTCTAATCTTGCTCACTCGACACCACTGTGAGGAGCGGCCCAGCTAGTAAGTAGCTAGTACGTCAAGAGGCAGTCTGAATTGCACTGCTTGAAACTTGACATCATGCCTGGGTTTTTGAAATTCCATAGGGGTCCCCGAAACAGTGGTAAATGCGTTGGCACAGACTTATGACCTGTCACTGTACAAGATGCTTTCACCGCGAGACATTTGCTTGAAAGAAGGCCGGACGCTTAATGCACATGCTAGAATGGCTATGTGTACCATTATAAATGTCTACAATGCCCTTAATACTACAATAATTCGTCACAAATCCGTGTACACTTGTCCGCCGCTGCTTAAATCCCTTGATGCATTTTAGAAACCCCGAACTTTCTTGATTGGAACGTTCAGTAAGCTTGCCGAGCGACCTCAGGCAGTGGCTGATGGAAGTACACACTTGGCGGTGCTGTTCCTCGTCCCAGACTTTGTATAGACCTGTTGGAGCACCGCACGCAGTGGCAGAACAGTGTGCATGGATCAATGTCCTTAGCACTAACCAGACATCAACTATGCACATCTGTAATCATACACTCCTCTCGGGCTTTCGGCAGCCGTACCCTGAAACTCTGTAGGTGCCAGACCTCGGGTCTGGTGGGACGTATCGCAACCTCCACCATTCCCGTACCTCCCATATTCTAGGTCATTAAGAAAGGGATAATCGAATCCACCATCTTCGATTATCCCAGCACCCTCCAAATCCCTCTCCCCGGCAGAAGCCACACCAAAATGAGCGCACTGCTGTCCGGCCCTGTCCCCAGTGCGACACACGCACTGGCGCTCACCGTCACGCAACTCAGCCCAAATCCCACCGCACAGGTTTTATTATGAAGTCGGCCGCGTCTTTAATTGCACACCATGCCAGCTCTTGATCTCGTCCGCCAGCACCTGGTTGACAAGCTTGTGCTGCTTGATGACGGTCAAGCCCTTGAAGCGCGCCGACTCGATATCCAGCGCATACATAGATCCGCAGCCGCCACTAATGTCCTGCACCTGTTGCGCGCAGCATGCGTCAGCGATCTTGCTCGGATAGACACTGGAAGTGTGGGGAAGGCCGGGGAAGCGACGCCAGCAATCCCATCGTCGATGTCCCGTTCCCCTCTTTTTCGCGAGCCGAGCTCATGGGATGTTGGGTGGGACGGATAGATGTATATGTACCTCCAGATTGACAGGGTCGAACTCGGCCTTAATCTTGTTGAAGACTGCTAGTTCCCCTTCGGATAGGTAATCCGGCGGCTCGACCGCGCTGCTGCTGCTGCTGGCAGCTTCTTGGGAGTACGGTCTCCTGGAGGCTGCAGAATGGGCTGATGCCAGGGGCGGCGGGCGCACTGCGAGAAGAGGAGATGCCTGGGAAGGCTGGGCTGCTCGTGTCCGACATGCTGCAAGGAGGCGAGGTGCTCGGTTCGTGCGGAGGAGGGATGCAGCGCTGCGCTGCAGTGCTCGGGAGGGGGCCATGCTGGGCGCGTAGGTGAAGACTGCGTGTGCGGCACTCAGAGATCGAGCTGCACAGGGTGGATCGCGCGTGCAATTGGTGTTGACTTACCAGAGACGATGCAATTTACTTTGACGTTGACGTCGGTGACAGCACTTACGGCGGAAGATTCCGACCAGCCTCGCTTGTGCCACCAATCGCCGGGTCCTGCTTACTCATCTGTATTCGGAATGTTTTTCGCGAGGTTGAGGAGTTTCAGCAACGGCGAGAATTTCCACCTCAATTCGATCCCCAAGGCCCAGATCAACGAAAACTCAGTCCCCAGCCGCGGGGCTAGCTGGAGGCTAACAAGACTGTGCTTCACGCACGTCGCAGTCCGGGGAACAGTGGAGCCCATGTGGGCAGGAGCTCCCGCATGTACCTCCAAGTACCTTCACGCATCTTTGTACCGCGAGGTTTTCTTCCGTATACGCCGTACCTACTGTCCACGCCTCCAGCCGACATCGTCGCCGCCAGCCCTGTAGAGCTCCCCACCACCGTCTGCCCGCAGCCCAACGCTTGATTGCTAGCCCTCCATGACAGCTCAACACCACAGCCAGGACCCCTCATTTGCCCATTAGCCCCTTAGTGCCGATCTCTCAGACCCTGAGAATGCAACAACGGCGTGAGGCGGAACGGGAAGCACGGTTCGAGAACGGCCCTGCACGACGTTTCGTTGTCCTTCACTGCCCTCCTTCGAGCCAGTCCGTCTGCCGATCCAGCCTTCACATGCACTTGCTGCAGTCCCAACACAACATACTTCGGCCAAGTCGAGCCAGCCATGCGCGGTCCAAATCATGGCGCGAAGCCACCGGGGTCGCACCCCTCACGGGTTGGAGCTTGGGCATATACACCTTAGTGATGGATGAGGAGCAGCAGCGATAGAACACCCTGCGCCGGAAATGCTACTCCACGGGCCTCCGATTAGATTTGCATGCAGATGTGGCTGCAGATGCCGCGGACACTGTTCTCTTCGCAGCTGCATCGTCTCGCTTGAACCGCGACGGCGCGATGCGGAGAGCATTCGAGGTGATAATACTTGCTGCAGTTCCGTGACTGACCGGCGACAGACCCTCCAGTGGTCTGATCCAACTCCACTATTTCTCCACCCCCATCAGCACCAGCAGCACCACTGACAATCGTATTCACCAGAAGCAGCGAAACCCCGAACGCTCTCCTCATCCTTCAAAGACTGCGACTAAAAAATCAGTGGGGTCCAGCATCAAGGCCCCACCTTGCAGTCAGCCGCTCTCGACGCATCCAAACCCAGCAACTCCAGACAGCCTCCTGCACCCCGGCCGCGCGCCTATCTCGAACCCCTCCAGCGTGCCAGACCTACCAAGCCCTCTAGCCAGGGCCGACATGAGGAAAGCCGGAGGCACTCCGCCTGTGTGGCGGCCAGCATCATGCCTGTCATGACCAATTGCCAACGGCACCATTTCCGGCGCCCCGACAAAGAGGACTGGGAACAGGACAAAATTGAATAGGCCTCCGACGCGAGAGCGCGCGCTGGAAACGCCACAACACCATGACAAAAAAATCTTGCCTCTCCATCCATCTCTGAATGATATGCGGCCACCACCGCACGAGGGGGCAAATTGCGACACCACCCATCAGCACACGTATGCGCGAATGGCGAAAATCCGCTCATCCACACCTCTTCTCATCCATGGTGTTGAGGGGTCTCGGGCCAGCCCAAAAAAACCCCAGAACGAGCCTCCGATTCCGCCATCTCACGAACCCCGGCCGCCGGCTTACCGCTTTTAGCACTGCGCATGTAAGCGGGCGCTGCTGGGGGAGCTGGGCTGGGCCTCTCTCGCACGAACATCCGCCTGTCACACTGACCGGGCCGGCTGCAGGGTAAGAAAGGGCTTCGGCTCGGGATCTAGAATATCGCCTAGCCTTCGGCATTAGTCGCCAGGCCGCTATCGACGGGTACGGCGCGGGCACGAGGAGGCAGGACGCCCCCCTTTGCGCGCCGATCAGGGCGTCGTCCCGGTGGAAGGGCTTTCAGGGTCTTTGATGGCTTTGATGTCCGTGAATTGTAGAATCTCGGAGTATGAAGATCAGGTGAGTGCAGTGTCTCTCCCGGATTCGGGCAGTGAACAATATGCCGACCGATGTCGGCATCTGTCGTGCTGGCCTGTTTGAGGCCCGTCGCACAGCAGCAAGCAGAAGCATGCACGCTGCTTGGGAGGCATTGACTGGATGCAGCGAACCAGTGCGTCGGAACATCTCCAAAACAACTCGCTTCTTCCTCCGATTATCACAGCGGAAGGATTTCATGAGTGGAGTGGAGTGGAGTGGGTGGCTCGCGCCTCCTTCGGGGGCAGGCGGATACGAAATATGATGTGCGCGTTCGCGTTGGATTTAATGATCAGTCCACCATAAAATAGATATTCATGATAAGAAGGAACGGATTTCAAATCCAAATTGCCTATTTGCCTCCGTAAACGGAATCTACCGTGTACACTCCATAGAAAGAGAGCTTTATGAAGCGATTCACCTCCGAAATGTCGTTATCGGCGCATTATTATCAATTCCATCTTCGCCCAGCGGAGAAAAGCTGGTATCGATGATTTGATCTGCGACTAGGCGAGCTCGGGAAATCCTTCAACGGCCTGTGAGGGCTAGTAAGAAGTGGGACTGCTGCAAGCCCTCCCTAGTTCGCCAATTGCCCCATTCGAACTCCATATTTATATCATGCCATGACTTTTGAACAGATCGAGTCGCATCTGCGTCCGCCTCAGTTGGGAAGAACCCAAGTACATAGGTGCAGCCCTGCCCGCGTTGCATGTACGAGATGCTCGAGCTTTCTTCGCCTTCGGAAGGGACGTTTACGGGGTACGTTATCGGGGCTTCAAAGTCCATACATAAAGAGCTCGGAGTCGCTCCGACAGTCCTGCGCCCACAGCTCAGCTGAGCTTGTCCTTGTGTACTGATGGTGACAGGAGGCGGAACCGTGGTCGCGGTGATACAGGGAGGAGGGAGAGTCTCACCAATACAGGCGGTGGGTACAGCTCTTGGTGGTGCGGGCGGGAGCATGGGGTTGATACTGCTCGTGGGCATCCGCGAAAACCGGCAGGTTCCGTTGCTGTGTATCTACGACATGCGTGCGAGGATTCGAAAGCCGCGGTATTCCGTACTCAGCTCGCTCGCGAGTCTGTGAACCTGTGAACAAGTTTAGTGGCGCGGAGAAAAGGTTTTCGTGGTCGTTATGTCGCTCGTCAGACGCGTAGGGCTATGCAGGCCCGCTGTGCGTAAGCCTCCTCGCCACAACCACAACACTACTTTTGTAGATTGTGAATAGTAATTGGAGCGCCCGTCGCCCGTGTTCCAGAAGATTTCGTCCAAGTCAGCCAGTGAGCGGGGCTGCGTGGTTGTTCAAGGCCGGCGATGTGCAACTGCACGTCATCCTCGCGGTGCGTCGCACTGCTGCGTTGGCAGAAAACGTTGAAAGAGAAACAGTGGCGGGACTGGCTAGAGCTGCGGAAGCACGGCATCGTAGGGCTGGCCGAGTGGGTCATCTGGAACGCGGCGAGCGCGGGGTTGGTGCGACGTGAGCCCAATTCTAGCCCGGCCGCGACGACTTCAAGATCACTTCACTGTAGTTGATAGTGACGGTGTAGTGGTGGGGTCGGACACGCGCCATCGGATCTGGCGGAGCTTAATTGCGATGGGGCTGCTAATTGCTGCCTAAATCTAAATTGATTGAGTATTCTTGAGACTTCGATAAGGCGTTAAGCTAGATGTCGCTCTCAGTGGTACGTTACGGAAATACTAAGAGAAATGAATTAGTGGCTTAGTTAGTTGTCTAGGGAGAGACAAGAGAGATGGCCCGCGCTTGAGCAACCTCTGGTGGTGACTTTTGAGGAAGCCTGTGATGGATCTCCGGCGATACCTAGCTCAAGGCTACAATCCGTGGAGTGGGAATGATGGAGGAACCGGCGGAAGCTAGACCCCACGCTGGAGGGACAGCGCGTGAGATGAAAATACGAGGATTGAAGGTGGCATAGCTGAACAATCCTGATGAACGGAAGTGGAGTTAGTGAACTAGACTCTTAAGGATCAAGCCGTTAACCTAGGCGTCCTGCGATTATGATTAGCGGGGCGTTATCTATGTACAATGATGTGAGGGAAGTGGGCGTTGGGAGCGGTGTGAAAGTAAGTCGCAGCGCGGGGTGGCGAGAAAAGTCGTGATGGTGGGCTGCCCCTCCGGTATCGCACGGCGATGGGATTCTACCGTGCCACAGTCGTGACTGTGGTTGCGCATTCATACTTGTGGCTTTTCGCCGTCGTGAACATACCGATCGCCATGTCACTGGTGATCTATTCGGAGGTGGAGTGTACTCCGCGGATGGGCACCCGAGCAACTTGCTAGAGTGGGTTGACATTAACGTTGACGTGGCTCAGAACGCGATAGGTGCAGACGCCAAAGTTGGCCCTGACCAACAACACCACGACTTCGCGGTCCATCTTTTCGCTTGCCAGCATGACTGGTGCACAACCTCCTTGCGTCAGGGGCGGATAAGAAGCTTGTTTCCTCAGTGCGGAGATTCCAGGATTCAAGACCCGTCGCAAGGCTTCGGATGTGCCCTGCGCGCGCCGCGGGATTCGTGGGTGCGAATTCGCGGGAAGCAGGTTTCTCGTGCATATTTAACGCGTTCTCGGCGTCCAAGATCGCATCCGCGTCGTGACGGACAAAGTCGTTGACTCCGGCTTACAATGAGTCCTCTGGTCCCGTGAGGAGCAGCTGTAGCTGGGCGGAGAGGATCAAGTAGTGAACGTTCTTTTGCTTTTGACAGAAAGAAATACTGTACTGTAAAAGAACTGAAAACGGTGACAGTGGCCAGTTAGTCAGTGCACGGCCCTCCATCGAGTTGTTGCATTTCCCCGCAAAGTTGGGGGCGCGAACCATGGCCTTTGCGGTGTGGCAGATGATGGCGTTTTGCTGCTGGGGTACGATTCGTGACGGGCTGCCAGCCAGCCCATGTGGCATCCAATGGCAGAAAACGAGCTGTGCACGGTCTGGATGGTGGCTCGTCAGCTGGTGAGAGCCGTTGACGCTGAACATCTCTCAGCAGATTGGTATACATGCACAGAGATGTCGTTGACGAAGTCGTTCTCTGATCTGGATGTCGAAGGGCCTTCTACTTAGTCAAGAATTGTATCCAAGGCCGGATCGGGTCAACCAAATTGATCCGAATTTGCAAAGTGATGCGTGAGCGGCACTACTGGGACTACTAGTGTGCTTCTCCAAGCTTGGTGCTGAAACTTGCCATGGACATGGCAAAGTATGTCTCCGCAGAGAACTCGGTTGGAAGCTATGTGGGGGTTCCAGTCAATATGTAGTCATTTGCACGGGGCGATCGTTGTGTTCGGCGTGGCCCTCCAGAAATCGGCCACTGACGAAGCCGTAGCTTGGTCGTGCGAATTGGACGCTGTGAGGGTCGCGCCGGCCGGAGAAAAAATCGGTAGGAGGAGCAGACTCAAGATCGCCAGTGGCTCTGATCCACGGTATATACTCCGTGGCTGGGCGACGGCAGCGCTCAAGGGCCGCTTCTGGACACGATATCTGCGATCATCGATTTTGCGTGGGACGTAATGGTGGCCTGGGCGGAAAGCCTTGGCGAAAGCCGTTTTTTAGTGGGCTTCTTGGGATTAGCCCTCGACAGGCGATCGACGCGGTGGAACGCGCGCCGCATGCCTAGCGCCAGGCGGTCAAGAAGGCTCATCTCCGCTCACGACGAGTGGCTGCTTTCTGCCGGTGCAAAATTTTACGGGTCTCAGCGGCTTGCAGGTGGAGATAGCAGCTGCAGCCTCTGGCGTGCCGGCCGCCCCCCGGCCTCGAGTCGCATGCCAGACCCCACCTGCTCCATCTGCTTAGAGCGCGCGCAGTATACGAGCTCTCGATAGCACCATGGATGCCTTCCAAGCAGTCCGCAGGAGCCGTGAGAGTCGAGGTGGACACTAAGTTCGCAACCGGGAATGTCCGTATGTGCAGTGGGGGTGCAACTGGTACATCAGAAGCGTCCAACGATCGATCGGATGCGCGAGCCGTGGTTCATGTTGTTGTGGTCGTCGAGCGTACGGAGTACAACGACAACAGCTCAGTATGGCGTCGTCGAGGGAGCGGATCGCGATAAGCTCCACCCTCAGCTCAGGCCCGCCGTGAAAATAAATTTAGGTTCAGCCACCAACCCGATGCGGGCCTGAATCGCATTCGATACCTCACCTCCGCCCGTCTCGGAGAGTGGGCAAGATTGGTATCCGTTGGGGTAGCCGCGCGCAAACTACGGCGTGGTTGTCAACACCACAACAAAGCCTCGTTGCCGGCTTCGTCTCGTCCTGCCAGCATGGATTGGGTGCTGCGCCGAGTCCGTATCAGCCGCTGAGCATTCCGCGACCATCAGGTGTCTCAAACCCAGACTGCGGCGTCGTCTGCATGCAACAGAGGCAGGGAGAATGCGGGGAAGAGAAGGCCTCGTCTGAGCGTGGCATGGAGTCGTGAGACGGCGTGAAGGCGTAGGCAGCCAATTGCAGGCCACGCCGTGTGAGCGGCCACGGGAGCGTTCTGCAGACGGAGAGGTCTGAAGGGTCTGTCGAGGGTCGCTCTGGAGCATCGGGAGGCTCTTTGTCGGAGGAGCTGAATTAAGGCACTCCCGTCGCCGCAAGCGTGCGCTGAATCCTGAAAAGTTCGCGATGGCTGCTCGCGGACAGGCGTCGCGAATGCCATGCTTGGACGGCCGGGCGCTTGAGACGCGGCCCACAACACCACGACGGCTCGCTTGCACAGGCCTAGGAAGACGTCCGACGCGATGTGCATCCCAGCACGCCAGCTGCACGTCGCGCAGGGAGAGGGTGGCTCACGCAGGCCTCTCAGGGCTGATTGGAGGAGGGCGTCGACCGCCTTTTCGCGAGGCCCGGGGTCGCGAGAAGATCTTCGCCGTTCTTTGCCACCGCCTGGAGGGGTGTTTTTAGAGCGGAGGATCGCGATGGCGGTGGTGTTGCGGCGCCGTGCTTCAGGTACAGCGCCGCTCTGCCAGGCACTCCGGCCAGGTGGCCGCTCAGGACGAGCAGCAGCCGCGCGTGCGGGCGGCGAGAGGTCAATTGAAACGGAGCAGGCGGCACAAGAATCGCGATGGCGATGGCGTGGTGGCATGATGTCATGCTGGGAAATAATGGGCGCCAGATCCCGAGGGGCTCATTTCGCTGCCAAGGTGTGGCGATGACTAAGGGGGCGGCTCTCCAGCTCGGCGGGCGCCAGGCCAATGCGACACGGGCAGCCTCAGCGTGCGGAGGCTGGCTCGCAACGTGGGTGGAGAGTGGAGGTGCGCAGACGCCCAGTCAACGGCGGTGCGTGAAGGCGGGAGAGCAGTCTCGCAGGGCTCGCAGGTCACTCCACGCCGCTCGTCGCGGCGACGCGAACCTTGGAACGAGCGTTCCGCGCGGCGCCGTCGAGCCCGCCGTCATGATGTGATGGAGGCAGGCCGAGCAGGCCACAGGGCTGCGTCGCCCGCTTTCGGCGGCCGTGGTGCTGTGCCGGGCGATGGCATGAGGTGGCCTTCAGCGCAGCGTCGCAAGTACTTGTATGTACACGCCCGCGAGCAGTGTATTCGCAAGTCCACAGCTGCATCTCCAGGCCCCGCCGCCTGCATCCACCTCCGCCAGCACCTGCGAAGCCCGTCAGAGGCCGATGCCGCTCGCCGCCCGCCGCCCGCAACCCGCGTCGATAGCACACACGGCCGGTGTTGCACGCCTGCGCTCACTGCAGATAGCTCCCCCGTCGCGCTAAAGAGCCCTGGTCGCGCCCCCGGTCTGTTGGGGTGGATCAAGCCGTCTTGGTTTGCGCCGCGCCAGCCTTGATTCGCCTACGCGAGCGAGTCTCGACGAGCAGCCGGGGCCATATCGACCTCGCAGGCCTCTGCTGCCCCAATAATCCCAGGCCTGCCTGCTGCACCACCATCGCCCTCAACCCTCCTCTCTCCCCTCCCCTCTCCCCTCTCCATCCTCACCCATTCTCTAGGCCTCTGCGAGCCTGTCCCGCTACACACAAAGGCCTTCTCGTTCGCGGATCCGACTGTCCCTTACGACCACGCCGACCTCGGTGGCGCCCTTATCAAACAAAGCTGCTTTGTTGCTGATTTATCAGTCCACCCCCAGCAGAGGCAGCAGAGAGCCACCGGATCTCCCGGCCTCGCTTTCCTCGACGACAATTCACCTCATTGTCGCCTGGGCTTCTCGTCTCCGCCTCCTCCAGCCGTCCTCGCAGCGTCCTCGACGACACAGCTTTCACTAGCTGTGCCTCAGCCTGCGTATTCACCTCCGAGCGGCTTATCACGAGCGTCTCCGCCCTCCAGACGCCCGCACCCCATATCATGTAGGTTTCCTTCTCTTCTCCTCTCAGCACCAAACCCAGAGTCACCAGCACCTCCACACCTTCCTCACGCCACGCATTGCCCAGTCCACCACTCTCGCTAACCACCCCGGCCTGTCTGCAGTCAGTATTTGTTTTAATACTCTCTTTTAATGCCCTGGAAGTCCTAACAGCCTCCCTCCTTATTCGATCCACTTCTTCGACGCCCTAGAAGTCGGCCGGATGCCTTACACGCCGCCCTCCCAGCGGTCACCTGCGTCCACCAAACCAAACAGTCCTATCCTGAGCCGGAACCATTCCTATGCCGAACAGGCCAACCCCTCGCCCGTTGCTGTGAGCCGGCCCGCCCTGCCTCGCTCCATCTCCTCGACCTCCTATCTAAACAAGCACCGCCGGACTCCGTCCATCTCCCAGAACAATGGCCAGGCCTCGAATGGCGAGGTGACGAGCTCGCCCACGGATACTCGGGAGCATCATAGTCTGGGATCTACGAATGGTAGCCTCCGCCAGTCTCCTCCTCCTGTGAACAATCTTCTGATTCCGTCAGGTGCGATTACGACGCCTCCTGATTCCTCTGACGACGACGAGCGCGGCCGAGAGCTTGGCAACCTCGCGGACCTCCATGTCGCCCTCCAGAACATCGACGTGAAGAGAGCCGGTTCGCCTGTCCGCAGCAATGAGAAGCCCATTCCGCTGCCGCCGACGACTGTCCCGTTCGACTTTTCCGCTCTGCCCCGTGCTCTTACTCCAGAGGCTCGCAAGATCTCCCACTCTCGGTCATCCAGCGAGATTACACTATCCCAGCATGTTCCTCAGCTAAATACTGAAGCTACCCTCATTAGCTCTTCTGATGACAGCGATCTCGATGACGATGAGCTGCGGATAAAACCGCCGCTCCTCCGAAAAAAGTCTGGCGAGTTGGTGAAGCCAGCCCTCCGACCTACATCGCGTCGACGACCCTCGAGCATGCCTGGCACTCCCACATTCTCCAAGGCCGTCCACTTCAACGAAGATATTGAGCAGGTGCGACATTTCCTCCAGGTTGATCGCCCGATAGCAGTTAGTGCAGGCTCCTCTCCGGTGGAGACTTACGACAGCGAGTCCGAGTACCCATTCGGGTACGAAGATAGCCACAAGTCTCGCCCCGTCGAGTGGGAAATCCGCCTAGCAAACTTTCCGGATGAGACCTACGAGCGAAAGACGATGCCCATCCGAGTGGAGCGGATATTTCTGTCGTCCGACAACAAGACGCTGGTCGGTAGTGTTGCCGTGGCAAATATCTCGTTCCAAAAGTATGTCGTGGCTAGGTTCACCTTGGATTACTGGAAGACGACGTCAGAGGTGGTGGCAGAGTACAACAACGACGTCCGGAAGAAGCAGACCAACGATGGGTACGACCGGTTCAACTTCAACATCAAGCTGGCTGACCAAGCCAACCTGGAGACGAAGACCTTGTTGCTGTGTGTGCGATACAACGTTAATGGACAAGAGTTCTGGGACAACAACAACTCAATGAACTTCCAAGTCGACTTCACCAAGAAGAATGTTCCGCGTGGAAAGGGTGCGAACAAAGGACCAAGTGCTGGTACCTTGGGCGCCATTCCTCGCAGCAGACATTCTCCGCCGACAGCTCGTCCTCGATCGATGCCCGCCGCCTTCGACGACGACTTCGGCAATGGCTTCGAAACCAAGTACGAGTTCGGCTCGACAAGGTCCATCATCGGCGACTCGCCCAACTCAACCATTCGACTCAAGCCAAAGAGCAAGAACCGAGCCAACTTCTTCCCTGACCCAGTAGCACGCAAGCCTACCGGAGCCAGCCATGCGTTCTCCACTCGCTATGACTTCGGTGCTTCGCTCACTGCTGCTTTGTCAAATGCGCAAACGGCTCTCGGCGACAAGAGTGGACTGAAAGGCACAGCCCCCACCAAGCCTACCGGGTTCTTCGACAATGCCGTTACCGGCAGCACACGGCCGACCAGTGTCCCGCGTCCGCCTGTTCCTGGTACTCGTCCTGATGCACTTCAATCCGAGAAGCCTGACTTGCAATCCGCCGAGTACAATGAGTTGATTCAGAAATTTTGCTTCGTACGTGCTCCACGCCCTGGGATGGCCTGACCCTTCCGTAGCTAATTGTCGTATCAGTTCGGCACGCCCTCTGGAAAAGGCTCGCCGCAAGTTGCTTCTCCTGCTCCTAAGAACACTCATAACGACGGTGCTGGTGATTGTGTTCTGGAGTATAGTTCTGGAAGCAACCAAAACTCTGGATCAAGCAGTCCGGAGAGTCCGGAACCTGGCAAGGACATGCATTCCCTTGTCGATGGTGCAAATGATAGCAAATATTCCTCGAAAGCTTCTAACCCTTTCCTGTCCCGTTCGTCCTCCCCGGGGCCAATGACCGGATCTGACCCTGGAGATCGTACGACGTCGCCGCTGTACTACGGAGGGTCTCCGTACAACCACAACGTACTTGGCGGAATTTTCGCGGAGCCATCGCATACACCGCAAGCATGTGTTTAGTCGCTGGAGGAGGATTGTGACAGATTCGGTTGTTCCCCATGGACATGGAACGACATTACGAATTTTCTTAGTCACTATGACGCTGTGAACGACCTGTTAGTGATTACGACGAAGTTGAGCGGAGGGGTACGATGCAGCATCTGCAGGATACCTCGAGAGTTCGCCAGTCATTTTCAATGCGGTCATTGTTTTCGAGTTTCGGTGCGACAATTGGCGAGCGTACGTCGGTTATTGCGCTCCCTGGCTGCATTTCTTCCGGGACGGCTCTGCTCGTGCTGCATTTTCGTCGGCGATTCTTGCATGTTATTTTCAACCACGGCGTTTTGGGCGGGCTGGCGCTCTGGGTTTTCTGGTCATCTCTTTCCTACTTATCTGGCTCCGTCCAATAGACTGGTTGTAATTGTGCGTTTCTGCTGTCCGGTCTTCTCCTCTCCAGATGCGTCTCTGTGCCTTCTGCCGATGTTCCTTTCTTCGCCTTTATCTACGGTCTAGGGAAGGAAAAAGTTGGTCCGGGGCGCGTGTGTCTTTTAGCGTGCTCGATCGTAGGTGCTAGTCTTGTGCTCACCCACAGGTTCTGGACGCATTTCCGTACATATATGGTGGCCCGGTGCGGCTGCTGGCGAATTCAGTGTCTCCATCTTATTCATGTGCGCTAGAGCTCCTGCGTGTGTTTTGTTTCCTTGCTCTTTCTTCTGCTGTGGGTCTGGTTTCATGGTGTCTCTATCCCGACTTTTCGGGATCGCTTTCGGAGGCGAGCGTGGTCGTTTGATTTCTCTGGGAGGAATGGACGTCGTGCAGATAGTTCTCCAACAGACCTAAGAACAAAGCCAAAAAATTCGATAGACGAGAGTGCCTGCTGCTTCCCACCGTGACATACAAAGGTATAAACATAGGCTGGACGCGCGATTGATGCAGCCGAACCCACGCGCAGTGAGTTGGTGGCCTCGTGGCATCCGGAGCTTGGAACAGTCGGTGTCCTAAACGAGAGACGACACGCCATCCTGCCCGCGGCCCGCATTCACCGCCTACCGAAGCGGCAGCATATTTTGCTTACTGCACGTACAATTGGACTCCCAGCTCCACCATCGCCAGCGAGACACCGCTTCTGTTGCAACGCGCTTCCGCCCAGGAACCAACCCGCGAACTCCACGCGCTGCCTGCATATCCTCCCTCCCAATCCCGCCCACTCGCCCGCTGTCTCTCCCGCAAGCCACCAGCAATGGGCTCCTCCCAATCCACGCCCGCCGCGCCGCCGCCGCTCCCACGACAACAGCCCGCGCTCCCCACGACGCCGACCTCGCCCACCATCGACGCGACCACCATCGTCTCGCTCCTCAGCGTGCTCGCCCTCCTCGCCGGCGCCTACGCCGCCTCGGTGCGCCTCCTCCCGCCCGCATCCACCCTGAAAACCCGCGTCCTCTTCGTCTGGCACCTCTTCGACGCCCTCATCCACATCGTCTTCGAGGGCTCCTTCCTGGCGCAGTGCTTCTGCGTCTACTACTCGCTGCCCACCTCCTTCGCGACGCGCGGGCCGGCCGTCACGCCGCTGCTGCTCACGCCGCCCGACGTGCACTTCCTCGGGCAGCGCGACCGGCTGTACGGCGCCGCGTACGGCACGAACCCGTTTGCGCGGCTGTGGCAGGAGTACGCTAAGGCTGACCGGCGGTGGGGCGGAGTCGATCTAGGCGTCGTGAGTCTGGAGATCTTGACCGTGGGCGTGGGCGCGCCGCTGGCGGTGTATGTGTGTGCGTTGTTGTGCAGGCCGGAGGGGAGGGGCGCGCTGGGGAAGTGGTGGTGGATGAGTGTGTTGGCGACGGGGGAGCTTTATGGGGGTGAGTTTTTGGTGTTTTTTTTTGGGGGGGGGTTGTGGAGGGGTTTGGTGGGAGCGAGGGGTGTTCGGGGGGAGCGATTGCTGTGAGGTGGTCTGAGATGGTCGATGGGATGCTAACATGTAGCTTCTAGGTTGGATGACATTCGCGCCGGAATGGCTCACTGGGTCACCGAATTTGGATACGTCGAATTGGATGTATCTGTACGTATATCCCCCTTTCTCACTCAGACCATACCACATCCTTCTGCAAGACGCTCAGATGCTAATATTGCTGCACAGCTGGGTCTACCTCTTCTTCTTCAACACCCTCTGGGTTTGGTTCCCGCTCTGGGTCCTCTACGAATCCTACCACGCCATCAACAGCGCCATGTCGCAGGCCGAGATGGTCGACTTGGTGAACTATCTAGGGAAGAAGGATGATTGAGCCCGCAGCATCCACGACACCATACTATACCACCCTTCGCTCGACGAATCTTCCACTTCGATCTCTCCGCTCTTGTTTATTAGGAGGACTTCTATACTTGACACACGCGCTTCTTCTTTTTGAGCGAATCTGTTTGGAGGATTCATGGGAACAGGCGTATTTGATGCGTTTGCGAAAGATTTCTGTTCTGCTTTATATACCCCCAAGTTTATTCTATATTCTTCCGCCAAAAGGTACAATATGCTAGAAACCGCTGGTTTGTGATAGCTACTGAATCCCCGCCAACTCATCCGTGCAATTCGATGTCATGCAGTCTATCACCTATGCCACACAAGCCCAAAATTCAGCCCTACAAGACGTAGAAATGCTATTAATCTGATTCATAAACTCATATATGCATAAACCCATTCATGCCCCCCCTCCCTCACACCACCCTCGTGAAATTCCCCGGAAACAGCCCCTTGGCGCCCGCATAACACCCCCAGAACCAATCCCCATTAATATCCTCCGCCTCCCTGATCTCCGCAAACTTCGGAAACATCAACTCATCCTCGACCCCCTCGCGCGGAAACCTCGCCCACAGCGCCACAACCCTCAACCCGACGCCCCCATCCGGCGGAAACCTCCCCGGCGTCCCAAGCCCCAGCTTCGCGCCGCCCCCAGCCACACCACCACCACCACCACCACCACCACTAACCCCCCTACTCTTCCGCACCGTCCCATCCACATCCTTCCAGCTCCAATTCGGCGTCCCACCCACGTCCGCATTCGCGCCCCGCGTCCGCACCGCCTGCGAGTCCAGCCCGTCCTCGTCGCGCAGCGCCAAGCCGCCGACCAGGTCGCGCGACACGACGCGCCGCTGCCCGCCGGCGCGGTCCTCGAAGCCCACGACCACCATGCGGTGCCCGCGCAGGCAGCGCCGCCAGCCCTGCGGCCCGTTCTCGGCCGCGATGCGCCCCGACGCCACCAGGCCGTGGTAGCAGGGCGTGCAGATGTCGTAGTCGCCACGCTGGCAGCGCGGGCAGTGGAAGCGCGTGTGTGAGGGTGGGATAGGGTACGTGCAGATGTCGCAGCAGGTGCTGAAGGTGAGCGGGCGGTAGAGTTGGTTCGCGAGGGGCGTGGCGCCGGGGCCGCGGATTAGGGAGGCGGATTTGGGGGTTAGGGGGGGCGTGGAGGGGGTTGGGGAAGGGTGGAGACTGGGTGTGGACGGGGCGGAGGTGGTGGTGGAGGTGGGTTTGGGAAGCGGATTGTGGGAGAGGGGGAGGAGGGGGTGCGTGCAGTGGCGGCCTTGGTTGACGCAGTCGTTGCAGAAGCCCCAGCCGCCTTCGTTGCAGATGTCGCACTTCCAGTAGCAGGACGAGGCGAAGGCGGAGCACATGTCGCAGAAGACGCCGGATTCGAGGCGCCGCGCTGGGCCTTGGTCCGCTGTTGTGGGTCGAGGCTCTGGTGGCATGTTGGAGGGTCGTTTGTATCGGTGGCCGACGAGGACGTGAGGCTGTTCGTAGTTGGCAGGGTGGCCTCCAGGAGGCGCTTTTTGTTCAAAATTCCTCCAGGCGGCGTGCCCAAAGCCGAACCAGTGCTTGCAGCCTTTGCTCGATCTATAGCAATCTAGACAAATGTTGTAGTTGCCATTGTCGCATAGTGCGCAGTTGTAGTGGAGGTCGTATTCAATGTGTGTTTTACCACATCTATTACAGACTATTTCGGGTTCTGGGTACAGAGTTGGCGGTGCAAATACGCTGGTCCCAGTGGAAGTCGCCGGTCTGGCGTCGGCGGCAGATGGCTCGGTAGTCGCCCGCGGTACTCCAAGAGCAGGAGAACTGTTGTTCGTAGGTTGAGCTGGTCTTGCATGCGTTGGGTCTGTGGTTCGACGAGATGAGGAGTTGGGTGATGGATTGATGACGGTTGATGGAGGGAGACTCGACAATGGACTTTCTGTGTTCACGTTGAAGGCCGACCGTCTTGGAGAATTAGGATTAGATGATGAGGTATGGGTGTTGAGACTGCTTCGGAACTGCCTTGCCTCTGGGTCAGTGGTGCTCCGATCATTCTGTGACATACGCCGTCTCCGAGGAGGATTGGCCTCAGATGACGACGGCCGGTCATTGAGTTCACCGGCAGAGCGAGCAGCTTGCCTCGAAGAGGTAACAGACAGAGAATTAGGTGCATCTACGCGAGCAGATGAGCGAGTGCTGCCTTGACTGGAAGATCTGCGATGATGTGCCCGACCGTTGTTGTTCGCGGCATCAATTAGACCAGGACGGGATACAGGAGGGCGTGATGAGTTCGGGGACGGCAAAGCGAGAACGGCGCTTTCTGACCGACCATGAGGCCTCCTGCGTGTCTGTTCCCCATCAACTCGTATTGGCTGAGGAGCAGAGGCTCTCGAGGAGCTTCGACTGTCGAGAGTTGCGGGTGATGGGAGAGTCGCTGGCGGGGATGGGAGAGCCGTTTCAACTCGGCCCTCTCCCGTATGGCGCTCTTGCCTTTCTGCTCTCTGCTGCTGTCTTTCTCTCTGCCGTCTCCGGTATGCCTGAGCTATTCTCTCGCTGATCTCATCTTCCTGAGCCACATCGATGTTGGCGAGATCGATGCCGTCCAGGAGCCCCTCCTCCATGATCTGCCTCATGATCTCCTCTTCCATCTCTTGCGAGTCTAAATCCGAGGCGCTGAGAAGGGATCTAAGACTTGATTGGTGTTCCACATGCCGTGCCGGTACATGATCCCGTGAGGACCGTGAAGGCTCAGGCGGGTTCCTGCTCGAGTCTCTCGTCCTCGGCCTCCTCCCATCGGGGTCTCTGGAGTCGCGACTTCTTTCCCTACTCCGATCCCTTCTCCTACGCTCTCTAGGAGCTTCTAGCCCACCGCTCGATATGCCTGCCTCCCTCAAGCTAAGCTGCTGGGCCTCCGCTATCAATCTGCGCTCTTCGTCCGCACCAGGGTCTTCCCGCTTCCTGAGCTTTGGCAGTACATTCTCCCCAGGTTTGTACTTCCTGTCCTGATCGTCCTTATCCTGCTGCGACTTTCCCCGGTCCGGATGCGCCTGCAAATACATGTCTAGGAGTGTCGTGACGGAGGCATTGTGGCGCGTGTCTCGCACCGACGCCCGGCATGACGGGCAGGTATACGGATGGATCGAGGTCGCACTTGAAGCCTGGAAATGGAACCATTCTTTCAAGCACGCGCCGCAGAAGGTATGGAGGCAATCGAGGAGGGTGAGGGGTTGGTAAAGGACGTCTGTACAGATCTAGGACTCGCATTAGCAGGAGGACCCTGGAAACGACACCGTAGGACCGAACACCACCAAAAGAGAGCATAGAACAACATAGAAGCCTTTATGTAGTGAATAAAATGTCTCAATCTCCCGCTGAGACACAACATCAAGCTTTGGTCTTGAACCTGGCTGTTGCTCTGCTCCCTCATGACGTTGACGTGCCCCTCTACACAGACCAACTTACCGAACAGCTCAGCTCCTTCTCTAGATCCATCATCCCAGTCTTTTCTTCCTCGGCCATGGTGCCTCTCGCTCGCCCGGTGGCAGCAAACCCGTCGAGCTGTAGACTTGTTGTAGGGGAAGGAAATTGGGGATGTTCCCAGCGGCGTCAGTCAGCCTTTTAGAATAGGACGCCATCAGCTTGGCGATTGGGTGAACGTCGTTGCGGTGAGCGGAAGCCTTCCATCGCCACAGATACGCCATCAACTTGACAACGACACTGTTCGGGGTACCTTTATGGGCTTTTGGCACTTAGAGCACGATGTGAAGGCTGATACAGTGCATGATAGACTGTCTTTTGGCTGAAGGATTACGTGCTAGCCGGGCTACTCCATACGGTGGTATCAAGCGAGCAAGAGGTAGCTGACGCAGTAGTATATCCGTGTGCCTTAACTTACGACTTGTTCTAAATTATGATCTGGAAGAGGAAGAGAAGGCGCGTAGCTTACAGTGTCGCGTTCTTCACATCACCATGCGAGATTTTGAATACACCTAGGAGACCTCCTAGGGTACCACTATACTGGCAATTCACTAGACATAGCTACTCCTCTCAAAAGATAGTATTTCCATGATGCTGGAGGCCATGTAAAGGTTGACGCGGTTCGAATCAGACATCCTGCTAACCGATCTGGTACCCTCACTACTCCTTGCAGTGTTATTGGGCCAGCAAAAGCGAAGCATTAACTGCAGTGTATTCGTGTGCCTAGACCTAAAACCTGGTCTATATCACGATGTGAAAGAAGAATATGAGATGTTTCATTTACAGCTCCAAGTCTTTTACATCACTATTCTATGCAGGATTCAGAATACGTTCAGGAAACCTCTTAGATTACCGCTCTGCTGGCAATCAACCAGACACAGCTACTCAATTCTGACTACGCCGCAGCCTTCAACAATAGCTTGAAACTACACCGTAACAACGAAGGTGTTGCCGCGGTACGAAAAATCTTGATGGTCTCCGGCACCAACCGATGTGCTAAAACACAGGATGTAAAGGATCACGCCGTGGATATCAGGCTCTCTCTAGTCCGTGGGGCGGATACCTCCTAGCTACCTCCTAGCTAGGCCTAGTTCGTTCGATTCCGCAGCGACGAGCTCTTCGGCGTCAAACTCAAAGTCTTCTTCGTCGTCATCAGGATCGACGTCTTCCTCCAAGTCCGATTCGTCGTTCTCCAAGTCATCTTCGGAATCATAATCGTCATCCTCGAAGCCATCTTCGGAATCAAAAGTTCGTGATGATACTACCGCTATCACAAGACAGGAGAACCTTTGCAGCTTCCTTGAAGTTGAAGCTTTGTTGGAGTGAGAGAATCGCTCCTGCAATGTCACGCACTTGTTCCGACTTGACTTCCTTGACCACTGCATTCGACATCTCCGGGACTTTGTGCAGGGCGTTATGGATCTTCTTGGCATAGCGAATATATTCCTCCATAGACTTTTCGCCCTGAGACAGATGCAGGAAGTCCTCGATTGCTCTCTCGACGTCGCCATTATCTTGTTTGTTCTGCATCCAATCCTCCAGAGATTTACAGAGGAGATTAAAGTCGTTCTCGGTTTCGGACGTGGCATTCTCGTAATGTTTCTTGGCTTCACCCCCGAGGTGGTCGATCAGATCCATCAGCTTCAATTCCCGCCGGTCCTCTTCGTCTGTGTAATGCCTTAGGAGAGGTGTGAGACGAAGTCTCAACCGGCGTAGGAATTGGGCGAGATCCTCGCCTGGTTCGCCATTGAAGGTAGGCACGGTCATCAGCGTGTTCATCGTGGTGGTCGTAAATGTTGAAGGTTCTTTCAGAATTAGCAATATCGAAGGTCCATTCGTTGCTCGCATTAATATTCCTAGTAGGTGAGGTTAGTAAACTGGCTAGATTGCAATTTAAGTTCAATTTAAACTAGACTGGCCGGATAAAAATAAGGATTGAATGGGACTGGCCGCTTATAACCGTGGATCGTCTCTGCATGCCCAACCGAGGCTAGCATGGCCATCCTGAGGGGCGTCTGGCCAATATACGGAGCCTCAAAACTGGGGTTTTCAATACGGAAATAGCGTATGCGAATGTAAAGGTTCGTGCGATGGAGATCAGACTGTCTTTTGACAGGACGGTTACCTGCTGATTAGGCTGCCCCTTACGGTGGTTTTGAGCGCGCAGAAGAAACACCTAGGGGCTGTCTATTATTCTAGAGCTTCGAGCTTCAACACATGCTCAATATCAAGCCGTAGCGACGAATCGACTGCGGCATCGCAAATAGTCTCAAGGGTCTCCTGTACTATCCAACGTGCTAAAAAGCGGGATGTCAAGATGGGCGTCACGTATGTCTAACTACATTTTGGCTTAATAGCTACCACATAGCTGGGCTGCCCCTTACAGTGATATTAAGCTTGCAAAGGTAACGCCTAGTAGCTGCGTATTAGGATAAGCTGCGACCTTCGACGCAGGCTTGAAATCGGACCGCCGAAACTGGGGAATCGAATCGTATTGACGAATGGACTGTGGTACGGTAAGCAGCCTTGAGGGCTCCTACACTAGCTAATGTGCCGAAGAACAGGACGTAAAGATTCGTGTGATGGAGGTATTGCGGTGCTGTGAATAATCTTGAAAACCTCCTACACTATCTAACGTACTGAGAGCAGGATGTAAAGATCTATACTGCGCATATCAAACTTCCCTTTGACGGGACGGTCGCTTGCTGGCTGAGCTATTCCTTACGGTGGTGTTGAGTGTGCAAAGGTAGTACCGCTTGGCGATACATTCGTGCGCTGTGCTCTATAGTTTTGGATACGATCTCAAGGTTAGTGGACTGTATATTGGACTTCTTTTTAGCCAACTAGCTACCTGCTAACTGAGCTACTCCTAACAGTGCGTTAGGCGTGCAAATTCAATGCCGAACATTAATTTTTCTGTGCGCATACCACCACAGTTTCTCGGGAACGATGTAAAGGTTAGTAGATCGCATATTAAAATTCTTTTTGGCAACCCAGCTACTCGCTCGCTGAGCTACTCTTTAAGATGGCGTCAAACGTGCAAGAGTAATACTAAGCATCGAAATTTTCGCATCCATAGCACTATAGTTGCTTGGGCACGACGTGAACGCTCGTGGACCGCATATTGGACTTCCTTTTGGCAGCCCAGCTACCTGCTAATGGAGCTACTGCTTCCGGCAGTATTAAGCGTGCAAATTAAACCCTAAGCAACGTTAGATTTGTATACCTTGTCCTTTAATTTCTCGGTTACAATATAGATGTTAGTACACTGCATATCGGACTTCCTTTTGGCTACCCAGCTACCTGCTAGCTAAGGTAATCCTTATGGCGACGTTCAGCTTGCAAAGAAAGCGTCCATCAGCGGCATATAGCGTGTCTAAGCCTACGTCTACTCTAGTAAAATGTAATAGTTAACGCGGTAAGAATTAGACCGCCCTTTAGCTAACCTGCTGCTTGCCCGCTAGGCCGCTTCTCACGGCGGCGTAGAGCGAGCAAGAGAGCAATAAGACCTATCACGTTCACGGGCTCATACTTAGGGCCACTCCAAATACAATGTAACGATCAGGACAATGGAAAGAAGACATCCTCTTAAACGAACAACGACCTGATCGCTGAGCCACTCCTTACAGTGGCGTCGACCGTGCAAAGGTAATGCATAGGAGTAATATATCCGCGTGTCAAACTCTACAATCAGAAGAACACAATGTAATGCTTGATGCCCTATATATTAGACCTGCTTTTGACCGAACGGCTGCCAGCTAGCTGAGCTACTCCATACAGTCGTATCAAACGGGCAAGAATATAGCGGGGGCAGAGAGATATTAGAGTACTCGGGAAAATCCGAACTAAATACTATGTGAGGATTGATGCACTAGATATTGAACTCGCTTTTGACTGAACGACTGCCGGCTAGCTGAACTACTCCATACGGTCGTATCAAGCGCACAAGAACGCAGCCCGAGTAGAGGGATATCGGAAGTCTTTGAAAATGCTAAACTGACGTGGTGCTAAAATTGGGGCAGTGGAAATCAGGCTTTCTTTTGACTGAACGACTGCCGACCAGCTGAGCTACTCTATACGGTCGTATTAAGCACGCAAGAACGCAGCGTAAGTAGAGGGATATCGGGAGTCTTTAAAAAAGCCGAAACTACATGATGCAAAGATTGGGGCAATGGAAATCAGGCTTCCTTTTGGCGGGACAACTACCCGTTAGCTGAGAGGCTCCTTACAGCGGCGTTGAGCGTGCAGGAGTATAGCCTAAGCAGAGGAACATTGGGAGCTATTAGAAAAGCTAAATCGAAGTGATGTAAAGGCTAGGGCAGTGAGTATTAGGCTTCCTTTTGACTGAACAGCTATGTATTAGCTAAGCCTCTTCTTACAGCGGTGACGAGCATGCAAGAGGGTAGTTTAATAAAAAGGATATTAGAGTACTTTAATGAAGCTGAACACCGTGGAAGTCACCCTACATTTCAACCAACTAGCCACGTGAATACCAGGCCACTCCACACAGTGCTATCAAACGAGCAATAGCATCCCTCGATGTGTCGGATATGGGGGCCCATTGGAAAAGAAGAACACGAAATGATGTAAAGGTTAGGGCAGTAGAAACCAGCCTACATTTTGGTTAACCAGTGACGTACTCACCGGGCTACTGCACACAGCGCTATCGAACGAGCAAGAGTGTCTCCAGATACGAGGTAAATGGGTGTGCTTCGAAAATCTGGAAACGGTACGATGTCAAGGCGGAAGCAGTGCAAGTTGAACTGCCTCTTAACCAACCTGTCAGCTGCTCGCTGGGCTACCCCGTGCAGTACTATCGAATGAGCAAGAGCCCCCCCCCAATAAGATGGATACTTGGGACCTTAGAAAAGCCTGGGAATAGTACAATGTCACGATTGGAACAATCAAGATTAGACTACCTTTTGGCCCGTTAGCTCATCGACAGTCAGGCTACTTCTAACAGTGCTAGCGAACAAGCACGAGACTTCTCCGGTACAAAGGATATTGGAGCATCTAGAAAAACATAAGAACGGTACGATGTCACGGCTATAGCAGTGGAGATTGGACTATCATTTGGCTGATTGGCTCATAGATAGCTGGGTTCCTTCTAACAGTGCTATGGAATGAGTAAGAGAGACCTCCAATACGAAGAATGACATAATGTCAAATTTGAAGCAGTAAATATCAGAATACCCTTTGACCGGCCAGCTTATCAGTAGCTGGGATACTTCTAACAATGCTAACGAACGAGTAGGAGAGTTCCCCGACGCGACGGATATCTGGGTACTTGGAAAAAGCGGATAAATGTGCCATGTCGAGTTAAAGCAGCGGAGGTCGGGCTCTCTTTCAGTCAGTTCGCTACTTACTAGCCGGGCTGCTCCTTACAGTAGTGTCGAGCGTACAAAAGTGAGGAACACGATGTAAAGGTCGATACGGCGGGAACTGGAGTTCCCTTTGGCCGGTCAACTTATTAATAGCTGGGCTACTTCTTACAACGCTATCAAGATTGCAAAAGCAAAGAAAATGATGTAACGGTCGATACAGTAGGAATTGGGGTTCCTTTTAATCAGTTCACTACCTACTAGCTGGGGGACTCCTTACGGCGGTGATGAGCGTGCAAAAGCAGAGAACACGATGTAAAGGTTAATACGGTGGGAATTGCACACCTTTTGGCGAGTCGGCTACCTACTAGCTGGGATACCCCTTACGGCGGTGAAGAGCGTACGAAAACACAGCACACGATGTAAAGGTCGATATAGTAGGGTTTGGATTACCTTTTGGCCGGCCATTCGTCTCATAGCTGCGCTACTCCGTACGGTGCTTTCAAGTGTGCAAAAGGGTAGAGTCCAATGTCAAGGTCAACATGGCCGGAATTAGACTACCTTTTAGCCGGCTATTCTCCTAGTAGCTGGGCCACCCCGTACGCTACTTCCAAGTGTGCAAAAGCGGAAGTCACGATGTCAAGGTCAACAGTGTAGACATTTGACTTCCTTTTGCCCGACCCAGCATCTACTAGCTGGGCTACTCCGTACGGTGCCATCTAGCATGCAAATGTGCAGAATAGGATGTAACGCTTGGTAAAATGAAAATTAGACTACCTCTTAAATAATGGGGTACCTGCTAGCGGGGCTACTCCTAACGGCGCTCTTAGGCTTGCAAAAGACGGAAAACGATGTAAAAATTAATAGAGTAGATGTCAGCTATGCTCTTGGCCGACTAGCTATATACTAGCTGGACCACTCCTAACAGTAATGTGAAGCATGCAAAAGAAAGAATACGATGTTAAGTTCAACGGAAGAGATATTAGATATCCTTTTGGCTAACTAGCTACGTGATAGCCGGGCTACTCCCCACAGTGCTATGGAGCTCGCAGAATGAAGAAAATAATGTAAAGATTGATACAATATATGTTAGATATCCTTTTAACGAACTAGCTATGTGCTAGCTGGACTACTCCCGACAGTGCTCTCAACCATGTAGAACGAAGAAATTAATGTCAAGTCCGGTGCAATACCAATCAGATATCCTTTTTACTGAGCAGCCACGTGCTAGTCGTACCACTCCTGACAGCGCTCTAAGCCAGGCAAAAGACAGAAAACGATGTAAAGATCAATGAGATAGATATGCTACATCCTTTTGGCTGACCAGCGAGCTGCTAGCGGAGCTACTCCCTGCAGTGGCATTAGACATGCTAATGATGTAGAGGTTATCATTATACGAATCAGACACCTTTTTGACGGACTAGCTACGTGCTAGCTAGACTCCTCCTGACAGCGCTCTCAGCCATGCAAAAGGAAGAAAACAATGTAAAGCCCAACGCAATAGGAATTATACATCCTTTCAACTGGCCATTCATCTGCTGGCTACGCCGCTCCT